CTTTGGCCGCCCAAGCTGCCGAAGCCGCCTCGATGGCATTGTACAAATGGACACCACCAACTCAACTATGGTTACGGGCCCCGCGAATACCGCATTCTTACTTTAGTCTCAAAGGAGTCAAAGACTCTGGGTACTGCGTGCCCTCCCACCATCTCTTTACTGGAAGAGAGCCGCCTTTACCCCTACCTTTACGCAAGCTACCCCTGCCAACGGGCCCCTCCACTCGGTCTCCCTCCTCGCACGCAGTCTCGCGGAAAAAACATTCATCATCACCACTTTATGGATACAGCCTACCTACAGCATGTCGGCACACACATAGCAGCGGGCGCTCGTTCCCTCACCTGCATCGTCCGGCCTTCCTCCCACCCGGCACACCTTGCCGCACTTTGCCTGAAGTACACGACACGAGCCCATCCAACCCCAGAGCCGAAGGAAGAGCACCTAGTATAGTCATAGCCGCTCCGCTTCCGAAGGCCAACCACGATTATCTAGAAAGCTTGTGACAGTCTTGTTTCTGTCATCAAACTCTTTCTCATAAGCACCCGAAGGAGGAGGGACATCCCCGTCTGTTCACAGATAAGCCCGTGCATATGTGCAGATGGGAAACCTGCACGCCACATGCCACATGGGATCTCACAAGTAGGCCCCGAGGTGGGCAACGTCAAGAAGGGTGGGAAGGGGGACAAGTGGGCTGGAATCTGCAATGCCACCCCCGGGGATGGCCGTCGTTGTCGACCGCCCAGTCGTTCCTTGATGCTAATATGGGCCCGGTAGCTTTTGCTCTCCGGGGCTAATTGACAAAAAGTAGAGGCCGCGTCGGTACTAGGGCCGCTTCATCAAGGATGCATCGAAATTCCCGTTACACTAGCCGGGCTAGCCTTGACCGCCATGCTGGCCTGGCTCTCTGTAACTCTCTTCGAGGGTCCCCGAGATGGGCAAGATGAACCAAGATCCCTCATGGCACCCCCACTCTCTCCCCTTCCTTCAACCAACTTTGCCGTCTTTGTCTTTTACCTTTTGAGACAAAGATTTCAATCCTGAGATTAGGGTAGGGCAACCCAAAAACATCGAGACCCTGTCATTCCAAATTCCCGGGGCTTAAAGAAGTCGAGTCCCGCCCTCTCAGCCTTCAGCCAGGAGATCTTACCGTGTATTGGTTCTTGTGACGTCCCCCTTTTACCACTTTGCTAGATATCCTCTGCCTCAAGGATCCTGCTATTTTGTTAGGTCTCATCTCCCACTCGCTGTGCTTTACGCCGGCGCATTCTCTTTCCCTCTCCTTTTCCCATTCTCAACCTTTCCACCCCTTCAAATAGAATACCAGCCTGGCATGGACGCCCAAGGCACCCCAACGACCCCGAGCGCTCCTAGAATCACAATCGAAGACAAGCTCGAGAAGCACAAGTCCGGTTCGACCATCGACGAGTGGTCTACGTTTCCGCGCCCCGGTCCTGATGGAGGCTCCAGCTCCGGCATCGCCGGCGGCATCTACTCGAGCCGCGACCTGAACCGCGTTGCTTCGAACCGCCTCTCGCGCGCTATTACGAGGGAATCGAAAGCCGAGGCTGATGATGGTGGCGATGATTGGCGTCGTGATGATGGGAGGAAGAAGCAGGTTTTCACTGGCACGACCTTGATGTGGTATGTTGTTTGGCCGTGATGCGCTCCATCTGTCAGGTTTGAGGAAATTCATGTGCTGACGGAGTTTGAAAGGCTTGCGTATCAATCTATTGGTGTCATCTACGGCGATATTGGAACGAGGTAAGTTTTGATCAGAAAACGTGTACAGAAGCTTTGTTCTTTTGCTGACAACGGCCTAGTCCTCTCTACGTATACTCGTCCACCTTCACGGATCTTCCCACCAAGAACGATCTCACCCAGGTTCTCTCTCTCATCATCTGGTCCCTCACTCTCATGGTTACAGTCAAATATGTCCTCATCGTCTTACACGCCGATAACGAGGGCGAGGGTGGTACCTTTTCGTGCTACTCCCTCTTGACCCGATTTGTAAGTCGAATCAACCTCCAAGACTTCACACTCCCCTTTCACGTACGTATTGTAACACCAGAAAGGCCAACATCACAAACTTTGATCCCCGCGAAGAAGCGACAGTGCGCATCGAACGCCACAACACTCAAGACGTCCGCCCCGTCACCCGCGGCATCCGTTCCGCCATTGAAAAGAGCAAGTTCACACGAGGCTTCCTCAAGACCATCGGCGTCCTCGCCGTCTCCATGGTCATCGCCGATGGTATCCTCACTCCCGCGCAGTCCGTTCTCGGCGCCATCCAGGGTCTCTCCGTCGTCAAACCCGATATCAGCACCTCCACCATCGTCGGCACGACCTGCGGTATCCTCGTCTTGCTCTTCCTGATCCAACCCCTCGGCACCACCAAGCTCGCCACCACCTTTGCGCCTATCGTCATCATCTGGCTCGGCTTCAACGGTGCGTTTGGCATCTACAACCTCGTGAAATACGACTACACCGTCCTCAAGGCTTTCAGCCCCTACTACGCGATCCACTTCTTTATGGAAAAGAAGACGGAGGGATGGAGGATGCTCGGCGGCGTTCTCCTCTGCTTCACCGGTGTCGAAGCCCTCTTCGCCGACCTCGGTGCCTTCAGCATGCGCGCCGTGCAGATGAGCTGGCTGCTCTGGACATACCCCTGCCTGATCCTCGCCTACAGCGGACAGGCCGCCCACCTCGCCCTCATGCCGGAGAAGTACACCAACCCCTTCTTCAACACCGTGCCCCCCGGCATGCTCTACCCGAGCTTGATCCTAGCCGTGCTCGCCGCCATCGTCGCCTCGCAAGCCATCATCACGGCAACCTTCCAGCTCTCCAGCCAAATTATGAAGCTCTCCTACTGCCCTCAGATGAAGGTCGTCCACACCTCCTCCACCTTCCACGGCCAGGTCTACGTGCCCCTCCTCAACTGGCTCCTCATGCTCGGCACCATCCTCGTCACGGCAGTCTACAACAACACGACCAGTTTGGGCCACGCTTACGGCGTCTGCGTCATCTTCGTCACCTTCTTCGACACCCTCATGGTCACCCTCGTTGCCATCCTCGTCTGGCGCCTGCCAGTCTGGCTCATCGCCCTCCCGGCCCTCATGTTCGCCACCCTCGATGGCCTCTACCTCTCCTCGGCGCTCAACAAGGTCCCCGACGGCGCCTGGTTCACGCTGCTCATCTCGGCTCTCATGGCAGGCATGTTCCTCCTCTGGCGCTTCGGTAAGGAGAACCAGTGGCGCGCCGAGGCCGAGGACCGATTCCAGCCCAGCACGCTCGTCACCAAGAACAAGGAGGGTATGCTTGCGCTCACGCAGCGTTGGGGCGGCGATGTGCTTTCACCCGTCAGCGGCTTCGGTATCTTCTTCGACAAGACGGGCATGCAGACGCCTAGTGTTTTCACGCACTTTGCCTCCAAGCTCGGTGCCCTTCCCGATGTGGCGGTATTCTTCCATCTTCACCCCGTCGAGGTCCCCACCGTTCCTGGTTCAGAGCGCTACCACATCTCACGGTTCGCAAATCTGGCGGGGTGCTATCGCCTCGTCGTGCGCCACGGCTTCATGGATGAAGTTGTCAGTCCCGATCTCGGCGCGTTGATTTATGAGCAGGTGCGTAAGTTTGTCGTGCGGCAGGCGGCCAGCAAGGCGGCCACCGCATGCGGAGAGACGACGACGGACGCCTCGTGGGAGGACACGGAGGGCCCCGTGGAGTTGCGAGACGAGAAAGTTGCGGCGGAGCTGGCAAAGCTGGATCGTGCTTACTCGCAAAAGGTGTTATATATCGTCGGTAAGGGTCAGATGCACATCCGGACGGGGACGAGTATTCTCCGTCGCTTCACCTTGGGTACGTTCTTGTGGATTCGGGATAATACCCGAGCCAAGATTGCGAACCTGAGGTTGGCGATGGATAGGGTTGTTGAGGTTGGGTTTGTCAAGGAGATTTAAGAGTTATACATACACACAAGAACATAATGATGTTATGTCGAGGGGTTTTGGGTGGTTGGGATTAGATGGCGGTGCTGTGCTGGAATATGTTGGTTTCGTAGTTTAATTCGAACTGAACCTTTCCCCCGAACACCACAATTGCAGCTGTGGCTGATCTCATACATCATTCTTCTTCGCAGTCTCAGCGGTCATTCGGAAATTGTGCGTCGGCAGGTACTTATCCTAACCATATAGATCATTCAGAGGTAGGCTTCTGTTCTGTGAGCTTATGTGGTCTTGCTAGCTGCGGATACTGTACTTGAGACATCGCCTTGAGGACAGATGGCGTCCCTTCATGAGAACAATATCCACTATCTAAAATTCAACTTAGTCCATCCTTTCGTTGGATCCAGTATCTAATCCCATGGGGAATTCGAGTATGTGGATAATGAATTAAGCTATGGCGAGCCCACTGAGCATGTTATCTTCATGTTAACAATGGGATTAGTATCAAGTGACTAGAGCATAAAATGTCATTCAGGGTATGAAGATCTGATGTGAACTATTGTGCACTGCTTTGCCCTTCGCATTATTGACCGCAGTCTTCCGTAAAACGTGTCTTCCGAAACGCTGTGCGTGTTTGCATGTGGTCAGCTTTACGTAGGTAGAGAGGTCATCATCTCACGAACGTCTACGTCTTTCCTGCATGTCTACATGTGGCAATCCAGCACACATAGATCCACGTGAAAAATGAGGTAGCTTGTACCTGTCGCAGAATCTTACTCCGCCTCCAATTCACATTCGCTGTCCCCCTAGACGGCAACGTCATGCAGTTCAAGTGGTAAATGAGAATTGGAGTGCGATTATACAACCACAGACCTAGAAGGGGAAATGCGGTATGAAGTGTATACGTAGGCTCTTATAACCTCGCGCCTCAATGAAAGATATGTTTATTTGAGCAAAATTCTCTGGGAAGCTGAATATGTCGACAAATGAGAAATTTGATTTTGAGGTCGAAGCTATGAAAATACTAATTCTGGACAATCTGAATATTTCTGGACGATCCTATTCCTGGACAGTCTTATTCCTGGACAATCCTATTCCTGGACATCCCTTTTTCTGGGCAACCTGAGGTGGCGTCTCCTTCTTCATCGTGATCAGGTGGGTAAGCTTCTGCTTGTTCAAGATGTCCCAGTAGTGGTTCCTGAACCCTTCGGCTTGGAGAAGCTCCTTGCGCTCAGTGGTACGCAACCTCTCGATGCGACGATTCTCCTCCTGCGCAGCAAGGAGAAGTCTATCCTTTTCAATGCCCTTATCCAAAGCCGCTTGCTTCTCGTCCTCTGTGTCGAGAACTTCCTTCTTCAACCTTGCGATGTTGGATTTTGCTTCCTCATCCGCGTTTGTCAGCTCCTGAACCTTGTCTTGCAGGGCCTTCGCGTCAGATACAAGCTTCTCATTCGCCTGAGTAAGCGCCTTCTTGTCTGTGGTGAGTGCTTCGTTGCGCTTCCGAAGAACATCGAGTTCAGACTGGAGAAGGAAGATCTTGGCCTCCAACTTTTGGATCTCCTCGGTAAGCCCTTGAATACGAGCCTTTGCCTTATCGTAGGAGGCCTCGGCCTGGTCCAGCTGTCTCTTGAGTTGGATTCTCGCATCCCGCAGCTCCTCCATCACTCGGTGGTCATCCTCATCATGCTTGTCTCCATCCCTAATCTTCTTACGAAGCTTAGCAATCTCCTTTTCGAGGTCGTGAACTGTCACTTGTTCCTTCTGGAGCAGTTTCTTGAGGAGAGCAGCCTCTTCCTGCTGTTCTCTCTCTCTCTGGAGCAGGATATCTCTGCTCCTCAAGAGCTCGCGGACCTGGGTCTCGGCGGCCGTGAGCTGGTGATCGCGGGCGTGGAGGTCGGTATCGAGGGCAGCGAAGCGCTATTGGCTATTAGTATACCATGTGCGAGGATCAATTGAATTGACGTCTCGGGAACATACCTGCTCAGCATACTTCGCAAGGTAGCCAGCTTGGTCGATGAAAGCCTGGGCGTGAGTCAAGGTGTCAACCAGTCCTTTGGGGAATGGCATCGGCGCCTGAATGCGAGACAACGATGGTTGGGCCTGAGGAAGTCGGAGCTCGACCTCAGCCTTGTTAGGGGCGGACTCAGGGGGGCTGAAGTCGCTGTTTTAGATGGTCAGCTATATCCACATCAAGGCACAATAGTTTACTAACTGAGAGTGACGATCCAGGTGGACAGCAAGAGCGAAATCACCAATCTCTTGGCTGACATTGCTCTCGATGCCACTTCCCTTCATGTGGACAGCAAGTCTCTCGGTGCTCTGCTGCCAGGTGCAGGTCACATGATAGAAGGAGTTGTACTCGAACTTGACAGTCTTGTCGGGGCTAGAAAGGATAGACTGCTTGGCGACGTGGACGTTGGGGTTCTTTGGCTTTCCTTCACCATTCTTGGTCCACTGCCAGACAGCCAAAACAGGCTTATCCTTGCCGAAGCCCTCGGGAACGATGAAGGTAGCCATCTCGTTGGTAGCATAGTTGGGCCAGTTGATCTTGCCGGTCCAGATGCGAAGCGAGCCGGAGGGGGTCTGAGACTCGGACTTCCAGATACGGTTGAAAGTCATGGTGCTCTTTTCCTTATTGGGGTTCGACATGGTGACCTTGAGCTCGCCATAGACCTTCTGGGTGGTGATCTCCCAGGAGTAGTAGTGCGAGTTCTTGAGCGTGAAGACATCGTCGCCGCTGGCCGTCTTGGAGACCTTGTCGACGACGAGGTTGAGGAACCAGTTGGCCTTCTGTGCGCCGCGAGCGTCCTTGGTCCACTGCGAGAAGAGGTAGGCAGGGTCACCGGCGCGGGCGGGACCGTTGGGCAGGGTGATGACAAAGGTCTCGTCCTGGCCGTACGGCTTCCAGTCGAGCTTTCCGAGATAGACGTACATGACGGTGGATTTGACTAGCGGAGCAGGAGTAGGACTCGGAGAGGAAGAGAGAGAGGGATTGTTGTTATCCTTTGGAGGATTTCTGGGTTGAGGCAGTGGGGATGGTGGAGAGGGAGGTAAATATCTTCTGAATGGGATGAGAGGAAGTGAGAGGATTCGTAGGATGAGACTGAACATCTTATAGTTTGTGATGTGAAAGAGGAAAGCCTTGAGAGTTGTTCTTTTTCCTGCAATTTATGCGAGTTTTCCAAAGCCTAGAACACAATGCGAGATGGCTTCTACCGTCAGCGTCTCTCTTCTTGGAGTTTGTTGTCGCAATTGCTACTACGCACGCTTTCGTTCGATGGCTGCTGTAGCTGAACAAGGTCCCAGTGGCTACCTGAAAGCTGAAGCGAGCGAGACAGAGCTGATGAAGTGTCAATTCCTGATGTTCTGTTGGGCAGAAACCGAGATGTTGCAATCTGGGACCTGGCCACCTTCATGGGCATTGGAAGAAGCGCATTCGAATCTCGGATGGAGGAGCCCGCTTCTGGATGATATTTTGAGGCTTGCCTAGCACCGGCTGATAGCTGTGCCCTGCAAACGTTGGGAATGGGCAAGTCTGTTGCGAATGAGACATTCGGGAGCTCGGAGGGGCACTGCGATTGGCCCAATACCGCAGATCTCTAGAGCTTCATGAGAAGCTCTCCTGGCCTTTGTTGACAGTCTGTTTGGTGCTGCATATGCGTCCTTACTGAACATGACTGCTCCAAAGCCTAGGTAGGACAAGATCCTGATGCAGTGAAGGATTCAGATTCTAATCGCTCATCATACTTTTTCAATAGTATCTACGAGAACCGAACCTTTAGAAGGGCTTCAGCGAAGAGCTGAGAACAAATTGATATGTGCTGTTTGAAGATCTCTCGACGGTAGGCATGTGCCAACGATAGCTGCAACCCGCCCATTCCCGCCCGTTATTGATCGATGCCGCTTTCGGATCATATTCTAAGACACAACAAAAGCGAGAGTTCCTAGAACTTTCAGCTTGGCGTCCAGATCAAGTGCGGGGGAGCTGGCCAAGAACTTCACCGACTGACATACGCAAGCCACAGAACGAAAAGCAAAAGCATCTCGTTCGAGTCTCTCGGTGAAGCTGAGGCCATGAATGGCCTGGACCCCTTATACGAGTAACATCAAGGTGATTGATCATGTACCAGTAAGGGACGGCACGCGGCGGCTGAAGCCACTAGCACAGTAGGGAATTTCTGAACACTGCAGTTTGGATGCTTGGCCGAGACAAAGGTCTCGGCTGGGCAGTGACCCTGGATGAATGCGACGAGACAGACCCTAGATCTCAAACATCCGCCCCCAAGGGACTGCTCAGGGAAGATTCATCACAATGCGGGAGTTGTTACTTGAGTAGATGGCAAGGCGAAGACGAAAATACTGGGATCGAGAATTCCTCCTTTAATTCATCTAATCATATCGGCCACTGTCAATATTCACTGGTTATATCACATACCCACTGAATATCGGAAGACCCCAATGCATTTTATCGGTCATCTGACGTTTCTCGCCACGTCTGTAGATCTTCAACCTTGATCAGCGAGCCTCAATTCCCAGTGACGACCGCATGCTTCCCTCTGTAGTCAAGCTAACAGGCTTCTCCGTCGGCATTGTTTGGAGCACCTCTCTTTCGAGATTGATTGCATCCGAGACTCGCGGGGTGCTGCGTAATCAGTCATATCGGGCTCTGTGGCAACATCGTCAACGAGAGCTACGTTGCATCTAAGCTAACAGAAAGCTGGCGTTGCACAAACTTCGTCGGCCATCTGTCTTCGCAATTTGATGCCTCGAAGTCTCATGCCAATGTTCTGATTTCTGACGCCTCAATAGCGTCGATGTGATGTAAAATCGTGGGCTGAGATTGTCGTCGAGCAGTGTCGATCATACTACATGTAGCATTGACCGAGACACCGAGGCGCGCCCTTGAACGAGCCTTCATGGTCCACACAAATAGGTCATGCACACTCGTGACTCGACGTCATCAGGTTCGCCGTGTCAATCGATGCTCACAACATCACCGGTACTGGTGGCTGATGATGAGGTGTTCGGCGTTCTCGGCCGAGCGCTCTTCCGGACCTCGGAGGTCCCCTAGTGAGCAGCACGGCGGTGCGAGACGTCGCCGAGAAAGATCGACTAAAGTACCGAGTCCCAATGAATGGAAATAAATGAGGCAGTCGAGTCCCCATCGCATGATTTGGAACGTAGTATCATGGTCGGTGACCAAGCTACAATGTGATCAGATTCAGCATCTACAGGAGGTCCCAATGTCAGCAATGATTATATCAAAGTCGAAAGAGGTATTCTTACAGTTCCCAGATGCCATCGACTTTAGTGGCGCTTGGAAGGATGTCCACTAGCTCATCATCCGACTCGGACGGTGATTCTGGAGTGCATCCGTAAAGGTTGACTTTGATAGCAACGTCGCGAATAGAGACCACACGAGTAGAGGGATCCAGGCCCTGGAACTCAACCACGCGAAGGGAGTGGAACATATCACTTGGAATCTCCTTGTGGACTGATGATATGGTCAGCGTTGCAGCTTGAGAGAAATGATGAGAAACTCACAAACTGGCTCCTTCAAGAGGTCAGCCTCAAGTGAGATGACAGTGTCATCCTTGAGTTTGGGTGCGCTCCATTCTCTTTCAAGCTTGGAGAGAAGCTGGGTCAGGTTAGACGATGGACAATGAGATCAATGAGATTCATATCAGAAAACAGAACATACTAGTTGGCATCCCTTGTCTGTGTGCGCAAGCTGTTCTTGTCGTAAGCAATTGTCCGACGAATTTTGGGGGAAAAGCTCGTGAAAATGAGCATTGCGGGCAAAACGTACACCTTTGTCATCCTTGAAACGGGCCTCAACATACGCGATGCCCTTTTTGGGCTTGGAGATGAAGATGTAGTCGTCAGTCCGACCAAAGGTCAATTGCGTCTCGCTCATCTTGAGTGTATCGAGCATGTCCCTGTTTCTCAATGGTTTTCGGAGATCGGTGTCGATGTCGGCGGGCAGTTTGCGGAGGAGAGAGGGGCATGGAGGGGTTCGCGAGATGGGGCAGAAAAGATTGGAAATTGCCGAAATTTTCGTGGTCGATTGGCGAATCCGGGAGGAGTGGAACGACCGGGGAAGTGGTTTCCCTCTCTTTTTTTTTTTTCTACTTCCTTCCTTTTTTTCTCGATGTACTTTGTACCGGTTGTGGGCCGACAAAAGCCGTGGAGGCAGGTGCATCCAATGCAGGTCGGTTTGCAGGAAGGTGCAGTCCAATTGGATAGGGAGGCAAGGGCTGATCCCAATTCCACAGCGTCGGGAAGGAGCGACTCGGGAGGGATGCGGTGCAGCGGTACAGCGGTGGGCTGGAAGTCTGGAGTCTGGACGGGAATGGACGGGACTGGACTGGGGAAAAGGGAGGGCGGGAAATGGCTAAATGGAGGGGAAGGAGCGGGAAGGCGAGCGCTAATAACCACGGCGGCAGGGACCGGTCATCTTAAGGATCCTTGGGAACGTCTCCAAATGTCGCCGGACGCAGTTTGTCACTCGAGTTTTGGTACGGATGCCCGCTTACAGACCCAAATACAGGGAACCTCGAGACTGAGACTTTGACATGAGAGAAAAGCGGCACTAGGAGAGCCAATCCAGGCCCGTCGATAACAAAGGCAATGGCCACCGCTCCCCTTCCCTCGATGAAGTTTGCTGAAGTTTCGGTTATCGAAAAGAACGGCGGCCGGCCAGAACAAGAACAAGCAAATAATGAGATGGTTCTTCGACCGTCTTTGCATCAGAGCCACCCACACTGCACTCGTCCCCGGCCGGGCCGCATCTTGGCACTCGAGTGGCCCTGCAGACTGTTTCGCCCGAGTCTCAATTGTAGCAAGACGTTTTATTCCCTTTGCTGCCTGTTCTTCGCTCTTCTCATGCCGCTACTTACAACTTCAACACCATTCCCACGGAATATCATCCACAGCATTCGTAGGTACATGCGCCAAATCCAGACTTGTTCTCTGCAGAAGCCATATCTGGCCATGCACAGATGGGCGCATCAGTTGTCATCGTCTGCGTCCTTGGGCGTCATGCCTCTCTGAACTCTGTACTGCAAACGGTGTTACTCAAGACGCCCAGTAGACGCTAAGTCTCTGCAGCCACTGGCGCCCAATGATTTTGCTCTTTGTTGCCGACTGCAGATGACCAGGCTGCCACCCAAAGAGTCGAAGAAGAGGTACAACACCGCGATGCACCGTCTTCCCAGCAATCACCTTGGATGCACGATGTACGATGCACGAAGCTGGAACATGGTTCCAATGTCTGTGATGGGCACACTGCAAACATTACGTGTCAGTGCGCGGCTTGCCCAGATGGCACTTTCACTCAGGTATGCATTGAAACCTCTGGAATTTTGAGGCGGAATTTCCCATCCATCTCAACTTTTGGTCGTCCGAGCACTTGGTAATTGCTGCCAAATACCTTACTCTGCCAGTGGAACATAGGGTCACAGCATGGGATATTCCGCAACCGCCTCCCCCGCCAAACGGCTTCTTCGTTGAGGCTGTGCTGTCTCACGGTGGAGCTTTTCGGCGTGCTCGTTCGACGTGCAGCTCGCCTGCAGCACCGGGCATTAGTAGCTAGACAGAGCGCCGCGGGGCTGTGTAAGCCCTGCAGCTTCACTTCATGAGCGCTGATTTCTTGCCCTGCAAGAATGGAGGTAAGTATCTCTCCCAGACTAGCGGTCCATGGTGAACAGAGTGGAAGGGCCGAAATAAGCCAGGAGGGCGCCGGTCTAGGTCCCACACCACGGCAGTGGGGCCGATGATCGCCAAAAGTTTTGAGGGAGCAGCCGAGCAGCCGTCCGTCTTGGCTGTCGATAATTGTCTTGCAGATATACAGTAAAAGGCGTGTATCTTGATGCACCGCGTATCAACCCTAAGGTAAAGTGGCTTGCAGGAAGGTAAGCTGTGCCGTAGGGCCTCCCATTCGGCATCTACAATAGGCCTTGCTGACCCGGCCGCAAGCTTGCGTACTCTCTTCCCCATTGAACAATTGGAACCGTGGCCGAATAGTCGAACGGAAAATTTACAAAGCAGCCGGAGTACTTCGTACTCTTGATGAATCTGATTTTGCATGTTGCTACAGAAGAATGCAGGCACAGGATGCGCACTTACACCCTTCGATCCTTTGTGTGGCTGGAGCGCCGGTTCATCCCAGCCACCCCATTAAACCTGTGGCGTTGCTTATCTAATGCCGCCAGAACCACATTCACCCGACGCATCATCACGTCACAGGTTCGGATGAAGGTGGAGACCTCCCTCGCGCCTGGAGCTCCCAGCACCCGTTTCAACCCACTACGACTTTGAGTCTCTCCAACACATCACCAATTTCTGCCCAACGACTCGCGACTCAATAGCTCCATCAGTCGCATCCAAATCGGAGTGACCTGCTTCACGCAAGATGGAATCTTTGGTGTTCGAAGATAAACCGCCAGAGGCCATAAAACCGAGCGATCGTGACATTTGGGTCCAGCTCGGCTTGTCCCTGGTCCTTGGCATCACAGCATTCACCACCTTCTGCTTCTTGCGCCCACGATGGCCGACCCTGTACGCCGCGCGTAAGCGCAGACTGGACCCCAAAATCGGTTTGCCCGCACTGCCGGATACCTTCTTTGGGTGGATTCCGGGACTTTACCGCGTCACTGAGGAGCAGGTCCTCGCCTCTGCTGGTCTCGATGCCTTTGTCGTAAGTGCGAAGCTACCAGTCGTGACTGGGCATACTAATCTAACGGGAACAGTTTCTTGCCTTCTTCAAAATGGCTATACGTATTCTGGCTATACTGGCCTTCTTCGCGTATACCGTGATGTTACCCATCAATGCATCGCTCTCACCTCGAGACGTATTCCCTACACCGTCGAAACCAAAACCCAATGGTACTGCCACGGCCTCCATCGCAATGGCGACTCGCGCCCCGGAAGTTCATTCACACGACAGAGACTCGATTTGGGCTGCTATGGACGACGACGAGAGTTTTAACACGGAAAAGAGCTACATCTGGGCATGGCTGGCCTTTGGCTACTTCTTTACGGGCTTGACCCTCTACGTCCTAAACAAGGCGACCTTTCGAGTCATTCATGTTCGTCAAGAGTACCTCGGCACACAGTCAACAATCACCGACAGAACCTTCCGCCTTACTGGCATTCCCCAAAACCTACGCGACGAGGGGAAAATCAAGAAGCTCATCGAAAAGCTAGAAATCGGTGAGGTGGAGCATGTCAACCTATGCTGCGACTGGCGGGAGCTCGACTCGCTCATTGCTCAAAGAGCGCAGGCTTTGGCCCAGCTTGAAGAGACTTGGAGCGTTTATCTAGGAAAACAAGCTGCACTTCCCAAGTCAGTCCAGCGCCTTCGCGATCCACAGGCCGAGCCTTCAGTCTTGGAGCCTCGAGAAGACGAAGTCGACGAGGAGGCTGGAGAGAATGGTGGATTACTAGGACACGAAAACATCAACCCCGAACTCGTCGAGAGACCGCGCCCCAAAGTGAGATTATGGTATGGCTTGCTCAAACTTCAGAGTCGCAAGATAGACGCCCTTGACTACTACGAGGAGAAGCTGCGACGGCTCGATGACAGCATCCGCGAGGCGAGAAAGAAGACATTCACCCCGACCGATCTGGCCTTCGTCACGATGGACTCGATCGCCGCTTGTCAGATGGCAATCCAGGCCCGCATCGACCCTCGACCCGGACAGCTTCTTACGAAGCCCGCACCCGCTCCTTCTGATGTAATGTGGCCCAACACGTACGCACCTCGTGGGATTCGTCGTCTCCGTTCATGGATCATTACAATATTCGTCGCCTTCCTCTCCGTGCTGTGGTTGACAATCGTCGCGTCTATTGCTAGTCTGCTGAGCGTTCGCAACTTCCAGACATGGTTCCCTGGCATTGTTGGATTTTTCGACCAATATCCAACACTGCGTGCCTTGATCGAAACCGGCTTACCGACGCTTCTCGTTTCGTTGCTGAACGTTGCCGTGCCATATCTCTATGAATACCTCTCGTACGAGCAAGGCATGATCTCCAAGGGCGACGTGGAGCTCTCCATCATTTCCAAAAACTTCTTCTTCACCTTCTTCAACATCTTTGTTGTTTTTGCCACTTCCAACGCGGCTTTCAGCGTTGCCAACTTGGTTCGTCAGATCCAGGATGTCTGGAAAAGTCCTGCTACCCTGACGCGACAAGTTGCCGGCCAGATCCAGGATCTTGGAATATTCTACACCAACTTCATCATGCTTCAAGGTATTGGCCTCTTTCCCTTCAGACTGCTCCAAGTCGGCAGCGTCTTCCTCTACCCGATCTATCGAATGGGTGCCAAGACCCCTCGGGACTTTGCAGAAATCATGCAACCGACTGTGTTCAGCTATGGATTCTACCTGCCGACGGCAATGCTCATCTTTATGCTGTGCTTGTTGTACAGCACACTGGCATTTGGCTGGCTCATTCTGACCGTCGGCCTCTTCTACTTCATCCTTGGCTACTTCACTTACAAGTACCAACTGCTCTACGCAATGGACCAGCCTCAGCATGCGACCGGCGGCGCCTGGAGAATCATCAGTTACCGCGTTATTCTCGGTCTGTTCGTGTCGCAGGTGATACTTTCCAGCATCATGGCACTGTCGCTTGCCTTTTTCCAGTCTATTGCTGTCTTACCTCTGATTGCATTCACGGTCTGGTACAGCTTCTACTTTAAGCGTCGTTTCGAGCCGCTTACACGATACATATCTCTGCGCAGTATCCGCATCGAGATTGACCCTGAGGATGCGGCTGTACTTGACGAAGACTTTGAGGGGCCGAGACCCTCGCAAGGGTTGCTCAGGCGCGGAAGCACCATTGACGAGGATAAAGAAAAGGGCTTGACCTTTGCGAATCCCAGCTTAACCTCTCGGTATGTTGAACCACGTTGATTCGTTTCTATTTTACTAACTCTCTGCAGACTAGAAGAGCCGTGGATCTACCAAGATCCACCACCAGTTCATCACAACACGGACGACGGCAACGAAGACAGTGGCCCGGATACGGAGACTCCAAATGCTCCCGAGAATACGGCCTCGGCCGCCTCGGACAGCTCAATGAGCCTGGGCGACACGCACATCTGGCGGCAGCAGGATGACAGCAACAATCGCTAGTGCGTAGGAGCTTCGCCTAGCTGCTCGCAGCTGCGTTTGTAGATATCTTGACGTGTGCATACGGGAACATTACTTAATGATTAGGAGACGCCGGGGTGGGTAGCGGGGGTAACAGCACTATACCACTTTGGAGTTCGGAGTGATTGAGTGATTGAGTGTTTTCATCAAGATAATGAGAATTCACGAACAATACAGACAAACAGATTCGGAGACAGATTGATCCATGTGATGATGTTGTCAAAGTCTCAAGGCGAACCTCCCCAGTTTACATGTCTTGCCAAGACACCGCGGCTTGACGCCATCATCAGCCAGGGATTCGCAAAACTCGTAATGACGCTGGTAAGCTTGACGAATCCTTGCACTCGTGTCACACACCCATTCATGAACTTCCAAGGCGCCATCATTGACCATTAAGCCGACATCTTGACCATCTTCTACCTCGCTATGAGCGGAGCCTAGTCGTTCCGGATCGTGATAATGACGAGGAGGTCTACGTTCGCGGTCGGAGGTCGGGAGCAGTCGGCGGAGATTGAGGCGAGGGTAGATAGATTAACGGGTCTCCGTGGCTGCATGTCAGATTTGTGTGTCCTACGGGCTACCTCTTGGCTCACCCGCGAGGAGAGTAAAGTAAAAGTCCCGCGAGATCTGTGTGTGTATCTTTGGTATCTGACACCGGCGATGGCGACGGCAACGGGTAGGCAGCCAAGATCTCACCTCTCGAGACCCGAGTGGCCGACCGACCGGCGCTGTTTCCCAAATAGCCCAAAGGGTTGATAGTCGAAAAGCCAAGGCTCAAAATGCGTCGCTCCGTCTACCTTACCTTAGGATCTAGAGACGATCGCAGGAGGGAAGCTTTTCCTCAAAGGCTTGGCGGCTTTAGGGACGGGGGCTAGAGGGTTGGAAACGCCGACCACGAGGTGTGCCGGTGCGGATGGGGCGCGGGAACCGTAGGCGCGAGCTCCGACTTTTCTGCAACTGGGACCCACTCTTTTTTATCTTTTACCTCGTGAGCTAAAGGTACGCGATAGCGCTGGTAATGGTTTAACGGTTCGTTAATACCCGTTTGTTTACACCTTCGTCTAGTATCCGTATTCATGAGTAAGATGGGTGATCATGAGATATAACCTACGATACCAGGTGCTAGGTCATAGGGCACCAATCGCCAGAATCCAACCCACATCAATGATCAAGGTCTCAGGACCCAAAAGAACTGGTAGCATCCCGCGCCATCCACACCGTCCCCCATTGATACCATGAGAAAAGAGCGACCAGGAGAAGAAGGGTCTCTTTTAGAATGAAACCTAAGCTTGCCCCTATTCCCACTCCCACCATTCCGGGCTCATCTCGCAGGTTTGCGTTGAGGGAGAATCACCCCTTGGAGAATCGTAAGATGCTCTGACATTGCGGGCTCCCACACCCCACCCTTGACAGGTGCACTGCAGACTACAGTATCCCCTTATCCACCTGCAGTCAGTTCTGGAACCGTTGGAGCCTCTGGAGCCTCTTCTTGTATCACCACATGTTGATCTCTGCGACATCGGTGCATCTGCCACCCAGCTTCAAGGTCTCGAACCGCTCGAGACACGCCCGCTGGGCCCTCTTATTAACCTCTTGGCTCGCCTCGTGGTCTTCTCCTTTGGGGGTACCGCCATGTGGGAAGAACTCAGCTGTAGCAGCAATGCAGCATGGCTTCGGAACTTCCTAGTCGCCTATCAGTGGCATGGTGTTACGCCCAAACATTGAGGTGACCTGGGTTTCTCGCTGATAACGCCGCGGGGCCAAGCCTGTGGTGAGTAAGGTATCGAGAAGTGAGGTCCTGCCCGTGGCCCCCGCCCCCCCATTTGGGTCCGGCGGGAATAAGCACAATCTTGCAAGCGTAATCAAATGCATGCACTAAGAGTCTTGAGATCCTTGAATTTCGAGAAAACCTTTTTGTGATGGTATCCACCTGCTCGAGTCCTTGCTTGGTTGCTACGTTGAAGATACCGTGCTTCGAAACCTCACCGGTGTCGTTCATGTTGGCTATAGGTCCAGTGTGAAAAGGAGCATCGCCAGCTCAGGTACCATATCTGCGTACCCTGCGTGAGCCCTGACCTTCAAGACATCAAGAAGCACGTTGAAAAGCCTTTGGGAGAGGAGCGTGTGGGCTCCGGGGCAAGAAGCTCCCCACGGCAAGTTCCATGGCAACGAAATCTCGGGAAGCCATCTGCGTGACTGACTGTGTGCGTCCGGCCGGAGGACCCACTTTCAAGCCCGCCGGGTATCCACACAGTCCGTGCATCCCGGACGAAAGGGGCCCAGCTCGGCTCTGGAATCGTAAATTCGCAAGGTGCTTCGGTAAACAGCACTGGTCAACCGATACAATCAGCTGTATCCCAGGCTCCGTTGGCCTGTGTTGCTCGATTCCCAGATACATGCGGAGAAGGGGAAATGAAGCTTATCGAGGCTCCGACGGAGAGAGGTAGCAACCAGGCGTCTGTCTCACGGCAAGAGGTAGGATAGAGAATGCCATCGCGGAAAGAAGTATCGAGGAATCAGAACTCCATTCCCTCGGTTATGGTGAGAAAATACCAGGTGAGAAAAATTTGGTCGAGATTGCCTCAAGTTTGATTTAGTATGACGACACCCCGAGCTCGTCCCGAGATTTCTCCCCCCTGTTCCTCAGCCCTGGAACGACCACACACACAATCGCGGACGGCGGACCGGGACTGCCCCTGTCGGCTCGAGGCCAAGACGCCCTAGTGCCGCCCAAAAGTCATTCCCTCTTATTCCCAGACCCGTCCCGCTTTTGCTTTTTTGCGTCACCGGGCAGAGCCGCGAAGAAGTGTGTACCTTTCACGAGAACGAGAAGCGCGTTGAGAGTGTCGTTTTGGCTTACTGAGATCTCGAACCTGGAATAGCATCCATTTCTCTTTGCAATAATCTCAAATCCGGGGATGCCGTCGAGATCAATCATGGGGGCTCCGGGCAAAGTCGTGATGACGATTGGCTGGACCCCGTTCCCGCTACGTGCTCTTCCAGGCCGTGGGTACCTCGAAGGCTCGAATGAAGCTTTTTTCGAACAAGGCCTGTCGACCAGACCTGACCAACATTCTTGGTCTAGTCCAATCCTGGGATAGCCTCCAAATCCGATTCAGTCTCTTCACAGCATGAAAGGTCAGAGAGGCCCCCCTGCACGCGCGCCCAAAACCAGTACCGCCCTCCGTAGAGCAAAGCCAAAGAAGCAACAGTCGGCGCTCGTGTCAAACGCGCCGCCGACATTTTTGTGAGGCTCTACCTGCGCAGGCCACACAAACTGTTACTTTGTTACCGCCCCCCCCTCCCCCACTCCAAACCCGAATTCTTGGCTCTCGCCTCCCCGTGATGGCCGTCCATTACCTTCTTCGACCCAGAGCCGCCAAACCCAAAGCTGCAGGGAGCTTGCCATTGCATCGCTAGAGCGGCGCGAACGGGCAGCACGTTATCTCGTTCCTCTCACATGGTTCTTTTTACTTTAGGCAGTTTGGAATGTCACCCCTCCGTTCTCGCAGCTTTTACCGATTGACACACGCCCCCTTGGCCTTTCCGCGGTGGGGAACATCCCCACCAAGAATGGAATGGCGGAAAGAAAATCACAGAACGTGGTCCACGAAAACGTGACGCGTGTGTACTCAGCACGTCCAAACCAGGAAGAAGAAGAGGGAAAATCTCACTCACCCGAACGACTCACGGACCATGCTGTCATCGCTGCGTCTAGACTCGACTTTACTGCAAATTTTGAGAGGAAACAAGGGGGGAGGGGGGGGAGAACAATGGAACACGACGATAAACCGGGTTGGGCGATTCGGACGGGAAAAGCGGGTCTCCGTCTATCCAGATAAGTGGGGCACCACCCCGAATGCCGCCGCCGAAGTATCCCATTCCCAACCCATAGTCCGAATTGCGACCGGTTCCCTTACTCTTAGGTTGTTTAACCATTCACTGGAGTGCAGGGGAGGGGGGCGTGCGTATCTTTCTGATGCAAGGCACCTTGTTCATCTCACACCAGCAGTGACTCAGTTCTCTCGTGTGTTGTTCTTCTTCCCAAGATGAGGCCGAGTATAAAGTCAGGGTAATGCCCCCCCCTTTCATCCGAGGAGGACATCCTACTATTCCTTGATTATCGTGTGTTCATACCGGGCCATACCCCCCTAACCCTCTACTCTTCAGACTTCCATCCCAAGATCCCCCTTCCCACCAGGGACCCCCTGAAGACAAACCACATCAACCAAAGCATAACACAACCAAACCGCAAAGATGGATCAACCATCACGAACATCATCTCACACCCTACCGCCAGGCTCCTCCTCCGACTCAGACGGCGCCGCACCGGCACCCCAATACGCCCCGGTATCCTCCCACACCCGCACACCTTCAGGTAACGCCCGCCCGAACCGCCGCTCCTCCATCGCCTCAAACGTCCTCCACCCCGTAAAGACAAAGGAGGAAATCGACCCGGAGCTGGACGTCAACCTCCCCTACCGCACCCTCTCCCCCAACGCAAACCTCGACGAGTACCGCGTAGAAACCCACAATGGCGAGATCCCAGCTGTTGCAGCAGACGGCTCTGCAGCGCCCGCGGGCCGAGGAGATTACAAGCTCGTCACCTTCGTCCCCAACGACCCCCAAAACCCAAAGAACTGGAGCAAAGCCTACAAGTGGTACTGCACAATGGTCGTCGCCCTGACCTGCTTCGTCGTCGCCTTCTGCTCCTCGGTAATCACAGCAGACATTGAAGGCGTCGCCGCAGAGTTCCACGTCTCAGAGGAGGCCGCCCTCGTCTCCATCTCCGTCTTCGTCATCGGCTTCGGCATCGGTCCCATGGCCTTTGCTCCCCTCTCCGAAATCTACGGCCGCCAGGTGATTTACGCATCCACCCTCCTCCTTGCCGTCATCTTCATCATCCCCTGCGCCGTCTCCAAGAACCTCGCCACCTTACTCGTCTGCCGCGCCATCGACGGCATCGCCTTCTCCGCGCCCATGACCCTCGTAGGCGGCACCCTCGCAGATCTCTGGCGTAACGAGGAGCGCGGCGTCCCAATGGCAGCCTTCTCCGCCGCGCCCTTCATCGGCCCCGCCATCGGTCCCTTGGTCGGCGGCTTCCTCTCCGACGCGGCAGGCTGGCGCTGGCTGTACTGGATCCAGCTCATTATGGCCTTTGTCGTCTGGGTCCTCATCTCCTTCACCGTGCCCGAGACCTACGCGCCCACAATCCTCGCCCGCCGCGCCGCGAAAATGCGCAAGGAGACCGGCGACGCGACCCACGTCACGGAACAGGACATCGACATGCGTCCCTTCAGCGAGCGCCTGGGAATCTTCCTCATCCGGCCCTTCCAGCTGCTCTTTGGCGAGCTCATTGTCTTCCTCATCTCCATCTACATGTCCGTCCTCTACGGCCTGCTCTACATGTTCTTCGTCGCCTTCCCCATCATCTACCAGAAGCGCAAGGGCTACTCCGCCTCCTCCACGGGCCTCATGTTCATCCCCCTCGCCGTCGGCGTTCTTCTTTCTGCGGCCTGCTCCCCCTGGGTGAACAAGCACTACCTCACCCTCGTCGCAAAGCACAACGGCCACCCGCCCGCCGAGGCCCGCCTCATCCCCATGATGCTCAGCTGTTGGTTCATCCCCATCGGCCTCTTCATCTTCGCCTGGACCTCCTACGCAGACCTCCACTGGGCAGGCCCCGCCTTCGGTGGCTTCCCCGTCGGCTTCGGCTTTATTTTCTTGTACAACTCGGCAAACAACTACCTCGTCGACTCCTACCAGCACCAGGCCGCCTCCGCCCTCGCCGCAAAGACCTGCATCCGCTCCTTCTGGGGCGCCGCCGTCGTCCTCTTCACCGAGCAAATGTACGACCGCCTCGGCGACCAATGGGCCTCGTCCCTCCTCGCCTTCCTCGGTCTCGCATGCTGTGCGATTCCGTTCCTCTTCTGGGTCTACGGCGCCCGCATCCGTGCCAGGAGCAAGTACGCCTACTCTGGCGATGACGAGGAGACGTCCGGATCCGATGAGGAAAAGGCCAAGCCGCCAAAGAACGCTTTGGCTCCCACCCGCACCTTTGAGCCCGCGTAAGCAACTCGCATATCTCGACATGTATACATCTCGACACATAGAAAAACACCCAACAAGTTGCTGTATTGTAACAGCTGTTTGTTCTTGGCGCCTTGGCTGTCAGCTCTGGATTCGTTAGTAATCTTTGTTTATTCGGCGTAAAGAGGAGGCTGGCGTTGGATAGTAGAATCCAGGAGCGAAGGGCACTTTAGACTATAGACGCATGTAAATCTCAACGGCCGGCGCCGTTCTTAATCCTAAATAAAACTGAAATCAAATGAGCCGTGTTCAATTGCACGAGTACGTGAGAAATACAATGACTTGGACGCATCATTCCGGACGTAGCAATCGGTTGCCCGACAAACACTATTCTACACGGGAGGAGCGATGGAAAAGTAGATTTAGGGAATCGTCTATTCGTAAGTCGTAATGTGTAGCCATCTATTTGCTCAAGAGTTGAAGAGAAGGGTATTCACCAATCTACAGGTCTGTGTCATGAGGTACCCACCAGTCGCCAGTAAGCTTTCTATAAACTCTCAGACAATGCGCACCGGAAGGGACTCTCTGCGAGACATAACAAACTCTTCCTTGACCAGAGAGTTGTTGCACTTGCGTCCCAGCATAAAGTCCTCGAGGTTGCGGAATGTGCACTCGGAGATCTCCTGCAACGCTTCCTCGGTGAAGAAACCCTGGTGGCCGCAGATGAGGACGTTGGGGAATGTCATTAAGCGGGTAAGCAAGTCGTCGTCGATAATATGGCCTGAGTGGTCGTTGTAGAAAAGATCTCCCTCGCCTTCGTATACGTCGAGGGCCAGGCCGCCGAGATGCTTAGTCTTGAGGGCGTGAACGACAGACTTGGTATCCACGAGACCGCCACGAGATGTGTTGATGAGCATAGCGCCGGGCTTCATCTGTTTCAGAGTCTTTTCGTTGATGATGTGCTTCGTCTTTTCCATCAGAGGGCAGTGCAAGCTGATAAAGTCACACTTGGGGAGAAGTTCCTCCAGAGGGAGATACTCGCCGAGCTCCTTGAAGGCGTCCGACTCATAGGGGTCAAAGGCGTACAAGGTGCAGCCGAAGCCCTTCATGATGCGGGCCATGGAGACGCCAATCCTGCCGGTACCAATGATGCCCACGGTCTTGCCATGTACAGTTTTGCCAAGGAGGCCATCGAGGTTAAAGTTGCCCTCGCGGGTTCGGTTGTAGGCTCGGTGGGTGCGTCGGTTGAGGGATTGAAGCAGTGCGACGGCGAACTCGGCAACGGCCTCGGGGGAATAGGAAGGGACATTGGCTACGAAGATGCCCAACTTTTCGGCGGTCTTAAGGTCGACGTTGTTGAAACCCGCGCAACGAAGGAGGATGGCCCTGCAGCCGGCCTTGTGGAGCTCCTCGACAACGTCGGCGGTGAGGGAGTCATTTACGAAGACGCAGACGGCATCAACATCTTTGACGAGCGAGACGGTCTCAGTGGAGAGGGAGAAGTCGTGGTAGATGATGCCAAAGTCGGTATTGTCGTCGACGAGCTTCGCGTTGTGCTTCTTGAACTCTTCCTTCCTGACGTCGTGGGCGGCATTGATGTATTTCTTGTCGTACGCCTTGGCGCTGAAGACGGCGAGCTTCATGATGGCGGTTGGACGCAATTGAGGGGTAGATGATTAGGTGAATGCTGTCAAACACGGTAGCTGACGGATTAGGGATTGTCGCCTGTGGATGGTCTACGGAGGGGTTGCAGAGAAGGATGTAAAAGCAATCGGATTTGGTGACACGGATTGAGGGGATTTTGTATGAAGATGGGAGAGGGAAGATAAAGAGGAGAAGAAGAAGAAGAAGAAGAAGGAGGAGGGTCAGGAACGAAGCCAAGAAAAGGCGCGCGTCAGCTCCCTCCTGCTCCTTCTTGGCTGCCCGCCGATATGCTATGCCTCCTTCCTCGTTTCTCCATCCTCGTTCCTCCCTCCTCCCTCTTGCCTCAACTTACCTTGGATACCTCTCAAAAGGTACATCTTGCCTTATGCCGCATTGGGAGCATCGAGCGTGTTCTTTCCGCCTCCATGTCAGTGCCATTGTCGAAATCTGCGTCAGCATCTTTCTGTAGTTGCCGAATCCGGCGCTCAAAATGATTTTCCAGCTGAACTCTGCCGGATGACGTGGATGAACGAACCCCCAACTGCAGCTGCTGCTCTTTTTTTAAGCTTGACTGCGTGGTGAATGCCATTCGTTGCGCCCAGAGCTACCCCGCCATCAATGGATGCTTTTCTGTCAGGTCGGGAGCTCTGGGCAGCTCGCTAACCGAAAGCAGAATTACAACCCCACTGGGTCAGGTCCTGTCAGATGAGCTGTCAGGCGCCCTGCCCTGGATTTTCAGGGGAGCCCCAGTAATTCTTCACTCACATTTGACCGTTTTCATCGACATTACAAGCTTCACGATTGAGAACGCGATGAATAATGCAAGGTAGTTCACACAATACTTGATTGTATCTTCACTCTTTGATTTTGGAAATCAATTTGACAACAAATCCCGTGTCTTCAATCAGCCTTGAGAACTTTGCTGGGTACCATGATCTGATGCAGTACCTATTCTCTCCTCAAGCATGGTGAATGAGTCAGCAGCAAGTGAGTGCAGCTTGAAGAGGCGGACAAAGCTGCCACCACAACGCTTTTATTGAACAAGAAACTCGCCAAAAACTGTCTTCAATAACAATTCGGGGACATGATGAGCGTTTCTGACAAAATATTTCCATCAAAATGCAAAAGAATGATCAGTGGGAGGCTTGAACTCCCGGCCTTGGCATTACACAACATTTCAGGTGAAATATTAGTACCACGCTCTAACCAACTGAGCTAACCGACCAATTGTTGAACTTCTCGCGGCCTAGCTCATACTTGATGGTTCAACTGGCTCGGTTCTTTGATTCTCCCTCTTCTGTCCCGGTTTTGCCATACCTGCTGTCCTTTTCCATCATGTCCAGAGTCCTTCTGATGAGAGAGGCCTCGGGTAGGAACAATCTGGCGTTCAAATCAGAGAATTTCGCACTTTCAGGTACTTTGACGTCGTTGGCAACTGCTTTCCTGCATTCCTGCAACCTACACGGCCCGGCATCCACCTGCACTTGTCTGTTCACCTTCTCACTGCAACTGACAAGATGGAAATTCCAACAGATTTTCAGTCATCTGCTGGCAAGAGGCTTTGGATACATACAAGGCTGCGATTGCTTACGAGCTTGCAGAATCCCGGGCCCCCGTTTGCGTGAGAACCCTTTCATTCCTCACCCACACAATCATCTTCAATTCATCCAACTCTCGCCAGCATCGACATCACCCACGTCGACACTTGCATCATCAGCAGTGCTAGAAATTTCGATCACCATCCAAAGCACGCACTAAACCTTTATCCCGGTCTCTACTCCATCGTTCTCTTTAGGTATTCTACCTCCAACAACATCCCAATTCTCCGATTCGCAGCTCGACTCTGCCATGACAACCCAGCTCGATCAGCGTCCACCATTGCACGGCCATGGCCATGGCTACCATGTGGTACAACAGCTGCCGGCTTCTCAAAGGCTCCCAGTCGAGATTTTGCATGATATCTACTTGCTATTGGATCCATACGACTTCAATTCCTCACGGCATACCTGCCGTTTCTGGCTCTTAGCCGGCATGAATGAGACTATCCTTAGTTGCATGTTAACGAGAGGCGGATGGACCTCGAGTATCAATACCATCCTCGGCTATCAAAGTTTCAGCAACACGGACAAGTCGATGTCAAGTCGAGCGTCTGTCATGTCCAAGTGGCTCGCGAGAGAGTGCAATCTCGGCCCGCGTCACCACGGACGTGAGCCAGCCTTTGTCGAAATCGGTCAGACGCAGTTCATCGGCAATTCTCCGATATATACCAGCGACGAACAAAAGATCATCTACACCGCAAGTATGTGCGGTCGATACTTGATGGTCACCCACGGATGCACCGTACTGGTCTATGAGCTGCATCATCAGTGCGAAGAGAGCTTTTCGCGTCCATGGCCTATATTTTCTTAGAAGGAGCATTTGAATCATCGCAAGGGCCAACTTCGACTTATCACTACTATTACCTGCGGATATCCTGTGCTTGCATGCGCCATGGACACGACGTGGGCACGCACCCACGTTGCTGTGCTCGTTCAAGGCCGCCTTGGCCTAATCTTCGAAATCCAAGGGTTATCCGTCTTGCCCGTCAAATACTCAACACAAAACAAACAGTGCAACTGTGGTACATGGGAAATATCGCACCCCCTGCCTTTGCAGGCAAAACTACAATCCACCCACTACAACGTGGGCACGGCCGACTGTCCTCCTCGCTCCGTCGCCATTTGCCCTCATCGTTGTTACGTCGCCTTTGGCAGCTCTTCGGCCATCGAGATACATAACAACGATAGAAATGGAGAGCAAAATGTTCGCCGCTTTGCTTTGTCCACACCCAGCGACTACATCTATTTCCTTCCTCCGGGCGACGCAAACGATCCAAGACGTAAACTACGCCTGATCAGCGCCGCGTCAATCTCAGACTGCCACGCCGGCTCGCTGCAAGACGTATTGAGTGGTCTAGGCCTCAATGAAAACGACTTTACCCCCCAGGTCCCGGTTATTATCTCGCGACTCGAGACGTCTGACTTAGAGGAAGACGCTTCGAACGTCTATACCATCATGGAGCAGCAGTTGTCCGCCTCTCTCGGTCCCTTTGCCAACCAACGACGCAACTGGACAAGAACGGAAAGAGTCCTCCCGAGACCTAGATTAGCCACTGCCGACAACTATCGAGCCGTGCCCTTGAGCGACGGGTCTCACATCCTCTTTACAGACCCGAAGACTAGGTACCTGAGCCTGGTATGTGATCAGCCCAAATGTTCGAGGGCCGGCACTGTGACCAAGGTGAAGTTCTTTCCACCTGCGGCGGCATGCGAGAGCGCGCCGCTCATGTATGCCGTTGGGAGAGACTTGGCACATGGTGTGAGAATTGCTGCTGTTTTCCCGACGACACGGTGGACGGAAGGATTAGGGTTCCAACCAGGGGAGCAAATTCTCGCTTTCTACACCATCCCACCAGATGTGCTCCGAGATATATCAAGCACTAACAGCCTCCTGAGTTTGGTCGACAGCCATGGGGAACATCAGTGGGCTCATTGGTGGCCGACATTGCAGCATACAGTTCAACCATACCTCAAAGCCAAGAACAGCGGGTTGAACAACAAGGACAACCGGAACCCAAGGGCACAATATCCAATTGATGTCCATGGCCAGGCCGTTGCCGTTTGCTCCGGAATTGTCGACCTTTCGATGGGATTAGGCCCCGATATGATGATCTGGGCATATGGAAGAGACGGCTTGGCTCGTTGCTGGGCATTGAACACCGGAAATACCAGGCTCGTGCGGAGTCATGCGATCTTGAGTGACGGCAGCATGCGAAAGGTGGACGGCGATGGAGATTTGACGATGTTATAGGCGGGCTGGGATTGGTCACTGACGGACCATTGGGCAGCACGGGACGAACGCTGGTATCCTGGTGACCAATACTGATGCATCTCTGGTGGCGAGGATTCGAAAGGCTATCTTTGAGGGCTTTTTGGAGTCTATTTGTGTAATAGCGAGACTGCGCCATGGGCTTTGCTCATTTCAGCAATGCTGGCAGACAGCGGATGATGCACGATTGTAGAAAATGGAAGTGTATAATTTATAGAAATGATTAGATGCTCAAAGCCTAAGATGTGAAACTTCGCTTCATTCATCTTCTATCCTTTGATAGTTCTAGCGTCTATAGATGCCATGTATCGTGTAATCCTTCTGCGGCCCGTTGACCGTATACTTGATATTCCACTCCTGTAGGTTGACAGCCTTGAAGGCGAAATCGTACTTTACATCGTAATAATCGTCAATGCAGAGGTGTCCTGCCTTTGCCTGCCAAGGCTTCTGGTCATCTTGCGACGGTCCTTCGAACTCGATCTCGTGGAAGAGGTAGTCTGCACGCTTCGGCTCGTTGACTTTTGCGAACCAGACGCTGATTGTGTCCTTTTCTTCGTCGTAGCGCCAGACGTAGCGCCGGGTTGCGCGGAAGACGAGCCCGTTGGAGGCGCGGAATTCGCCATCTTCGATGTAGAGGTACTCTGTCGCTAGGGCGCCGTCGTCGTTGGCGTCTGGGGTTTCATCCGCGGAGGCGGGTCTGGAGGCGCATTTCAGGCCGTCGGCGGTCTTGTTGCGGAGGAGGAATTGTGCTGTGCCGCTGAAGTGGCCGCTTGGGTGGCTCGGTAATCTGCTCGTGAGATCGCGTTCCAGCTTCCATGTTCCCAGCAAGCTGCGGAAGACGGCGCGGGGGACGAAGCGGGATGTCGTTAGGCCTGCGATTGCTGTGGCGTTTGTTTGTGATAACGAGTTCTCGGCCTCGGATTTTGCGGATTCGGAGGCCTGCGGGGAGAGGTAGCGGGCCGGGGTGAGGATATCCATCGGTTTGTTGTTGTGAGGGAGGGCTGGGGTTAGAGGTGCTGCGGGCGGGGAGATTGGGATGGAGAGGGCGAGGGAGAATTGCTGCATTAGGTAGGCGTAGTCGCCCATTGGGAATTGGGAGGCGCGGGGGTCATCGCGGAGGGAGACGGTGCGCCAGTCTGAGGCGTCGTCTAGGAGGGCTTCGGTCAGGGCCGGTGGACGTAAGGCGGGGGATGATGACGATGTCCAAAGGGCAGAGAGGAAGCGGGCTTGCATTTCCATTACGCCCCAGTAGGGAGATCTGTAGAAGCCTACGAAGCCTAGAGTCGGGAGGTCTTTGACGTGGGTTCCGTGGAAGGCGAGGGCGAGGGGGAGAGAGGGGTGGGAGGGGGAGTGGTTCAGGGTTGTGAGGACGGAGGAGGGGAGGAAGGAGAGGCAGGGGGAGGGGTCGAAGCCCGTTGCGAGGATGACGGCTGCGATGTTCTCGACTTCTGAAGTGGCGGCGGAGGGAGGGTTCGTGATCTTTGCGGTTGTTCCAGTGACGGAGTCGAGTTTGCCAGTTGTGATGTTGATGAGGCCGGCGCGGACGAATTCCATGTAGTTCTCCGAGACGGCGAGGTAGGCTGGGTCCGAGTGGTGTTTGGACGTCACGGCGACGGAGGGGGAGAAGTCAGATTGGTCCTGGCCTAGGGAGGTTGTGTAGATGCCGTGGGTTAGGCGTGCGACGTCTGGGGTGATGTGGCCTTGGCTGTTCTCGAGGGGGTGCGGGCGGTTGCTGAGGTTGTAGGATGGGAAGTCTAGGGGTAGGAAGGGGGCTGCTTTCGCGCCGGGCTTGGATTTGTGTCAGCGAATTGAGTCTCTTTCACCTTTAGAAGATGAGGCTTACCTTTGGCGTGGTGTGGAGGGGAAATACCCACGTCGGACGCTGGGTGAGATGCTCGACCGTGAGCTTCTCCGCGTTCGGCACGGGGCTCGGGTCCGGCGCGTTGACGGCGCAGGAAATGTGCGTGGCAATGGTGCCCGCGATTTCGACGCCCGACATCTGCCCTCCAACGACCAGGATCTTGCCGCCGCTCTTCACGCCGTCCGGGAACAAGGTCTGGAGATCGCGGTACTTGCTGCTGTGCACCACGGGGATCTCCGTACCGGCACCGCCAGAGACGACGTCTGGCACAATGGGCTTGCCAAAGAAGCCAGAGGACACGAGCAGATAATCAAACACGCTTGTCTCCCTCCCGCCGGCCTCGCTCTCGACGGTGACGGTCCACGAGCCGTCTTCGGGGGAGAGCTCCGTCTCCACAACGCGGTGGCCGAGCTTGACGTTGGCGGCGACGGCAGCATCTTTACCCTTGAGGTAGCGCTCGATGTAGCGTTCTAGATACCGGCCAACCATCCAGGCGCGCGGGAAGTCCGGGTCCTCGGGGGCCCACGCGAGGTCGCTGAACTGCACGGTGTGCTTGCTCTGGTTGGCAAGCATGAGAGGGTGGACGAGACCGTCGACGTCGTCGCGGCGCGTGGGCCACAGGCCGCCGATGCGGCGTTGGGCGTCGAAGATTGTCACGTCAAAGGCGCCCTTTGGTGCGTTGTGGAGGAGAGTCTTTGCGGCCACGAAGCCGGAGGGGCCGGCGCCTTAAGACTATGGTGTAAGTAAAGACTCATGCATGGGGGATATGGTGGTCCTTACCGACGATGCATACACGTTTGGCCATGGTGATGGGTCTCAACGCAGGGGATGGTGGGGTGTTTGAGAGTGTGTGAGTGAATTGCCCCTCAATGAGAGAATCAAACCCCTGTGGGATGAGCTGAGAAGTCGATTTCGGGATGAGTTAAGGGAAGGGTATCGTATAAAGCCTCCCTTGAAGACCAAAATATGTGAAGGTGAGGACTGCAACCTCTCATCGCCTGAGAGATGAAGTTCTCACGTCAGAAGCCACCGCCGAAGGCGCCATTGTCGCGGTCGGGGATTAGCGGCAATGGTGGGGCTTGTCGCCGATCGACACCGGCGCTATCCGCGATGACTCAGCTGGGATTGTCTAATCGAGCGCCAGCCGGCGTGATGTTTTGCCGGCTGGCATCTCCCGTCCACTCCACTGGCCTCTGGCAGCAGCATTTCACAACTGTCTTCCTCCATCCTTCGTCATCGCATCAACCGCAGCTCGCGGTCTGGGCATCGCTCTTCCTTGCACGCCGATATGTTATCAAGAGAATTAGATCCCTCAACGGCTACACAGAGTTTCGAATCGTTCGCAATTCATGCAATGCAGTCGAAGCCGGACCATTCATTCAAACCCCTCTCGCAAACGACCATGTGGCACGCATCTTCAGCCCCAGCAGTGCCAGAAGGCCAGACATGCCAAAGACCTTCATGCCCAGTTATAGGCAGCTTGCCTTCGGCCAAGTTCGCCCGTCGAACAAGTCCAGGATGTCGAGCTTGGAAGTCCAGCTATTGTCCGCAAGTTCCCGAAGTCCCAAGAAACCCATTCAGTCAATGGGTTCTAGAGGCAAGCTCGCGCCCCGAGAGCTTGGAACACGAGGGCAGGGACTTCCTGAGACGGCCGATGGTTGGAGCGGCCCAAAGACGGCCAGTCGGCTTGCGACAGAGAATTATCGACGGCTCTCTGCCATGTCCCGAGCTACGGGCCCTCCTTACCGCCAGCCTAACCCCGGGCGCGGATTGCCAAGCCAGGGCGCCGGGACCCGTTACGGCCGGTTCGGGACCAGACGCCGCACCGACATGGATCTCTCTTCGGCTTCGTGCAGTTAGTGGGCCTACCTACGTTTATTCAGAACTTCAGATGGCACCAAATATCGAGCCTCTGTCCACTCATCTTTGGATGAATATCCAGCACCGACTAATCCTTGATCCGCGCAACGGTTCATCATGATTAGCAGTATTCTCTGCCGGAGACCAAGGTGCTGCAGCATGCCAAGCCGGGACAAGACCTACCATCCCGGGGATATTCAACGGCGCAAATGCAGCCGGTATCATTGGGTCCATCTATTGACGAACCCCCCAGCAACGTCGTTCTTCGAACCAGCGAAATGCTTGATTCATGCCCGTGGTTGTACGTCAGTCCAGTGTAGTCACGGACCTGCCTATTCTAAGTATCAAAGACTTATCTGCGGGGCGGCCATCTGCAGTATATCTCAGTCGCACAGAAAGACCAGCTCAATCGAGCAGGCCGCATCATTGGCCATCCAACCTCGCCATACCGTGTTTCTTGTGCCACTCTGCGGTGTTCGTGCGACTCCTGCACAGATCTCGAGCAACGGCGTTACCCTTGTCCTCACGTGGATGTATTTGAAATACGTGCACAACGACCCAGCCCGTTCCCCGTCCCACTAAGACTAGGTAGGTAACTGGAAGGGCGGAGTGGCTGGCATCATCTTGGAGGAAAGTCAACCAGTTGTTATTGATCGAGCTTACTGCAGATCCAGCGGTACTTTTTTTCCGTCCGAAGTGTCGGCCGTCAAATCAAGCTTGCCCGGCATAAGTCCGCCCCAATGCTAGAGCGCCTAAGGCGCAGATCGATGCTTGTTGTGGTCGAGTGACTGAGCTTGCAACCGCGGGGCCACGCCGGAGATAAGCTACTGTTCGCTTTCCCACGCGGACCGATGACCGTTAGATTGCCCCCTCTCCTCTTAGTCTCGACGGGTAGAATCCCCCTCCCCAGACTCTCCCCACGGGCAAATGGAGTCTCGGAGAGCGCCCCTGGCCCATGCCATGTTGTGAACTTGTTCCACTGGCAAGCTCTCACCTTGTCGGTAGAATCATTCGATGCGGATGGGATGCACCCTCTCTACTGTCGTCCTGTAGCTTCCTCAAGCACAGAGTCAGAAAATGCTGTGAACCCAGCTACTCTAGATTGCCCAGCAAGCCATCGTGGGTCTCGGGATCACGGTCCACGGCGAATACCTGTTCGTGGTCATGAACTGGAGTTCGCAAGGCCAAGACATGTCAGAGAAAACAGCCGATGCACGCATGTCTCCGATGTCTTCCCCTTGGCTTCCCTCGCATCCTTCGAGAAGCACATATTGCTGCCGAGGTTCATCCCTTTATCATTGACATTGCCGCCCGCGTTCCTAGCCTTGGTCCTGTAAAATGACCACGCGGTCTACTCGATACTAGACAACCTAGCATAGTAGTATTTCAGATTCACTACGCCGCTCGAGAGCGGCGCAACAACATCCCTTGACCGAGTCCTCTGTTCTACGTCAAACGTGGAGCCCCCAATGGCTACTAACGATAAGCCACTTGTTCCGCTGCAGCGGTTTGGCTACCAGTCACAAAGCAGGTTCCATTGCCGAGTGTATCCCGAAGGTCGTCTGCCGGCGATGGGGAGGGTTGCTCTTGCGTTCCCCACCTCCCGCCGTCGCGGGCAGGCCTCCTTAGTTTATATTTGACCTGGTCTCCCGCCGATCTGGTTTGGCTTCCGTCAAGGACTTTGGTTACGACCCCAAAATCATTCGTCCGCCACCCGAGCCAGCGTTTACCACGGCTTTCCTTCACGTCTGACTACATTTGTTCAAGAAACTTGAGCCTTCTATTGCGAGGGTTTCTTCTTTTTCGTCTCATAAGCGGCCGAAACCAAACTTTGAGATCGGCTGCAGATACATCCCGCCACCATGAGCGACACGGAGAAGGCTGCGGCCTCGCATACATCAGACCAAGGCACGCAGGATATTGCGCGCGACCCAGATGCGCATCTCAGTGAGGAAGAGAGGCTTGAAGTCGTGCGCCATGGCCCTCGTATCCAATCAATTACCCAGTAAACTGACATGCACATATAGGAACGAAAGTTAGTCAGGCGGCTTGACTGGATCTTGATTCCTTGGGTACGTATCATGCATGCAAGGCATTCTCCGGGTGTAAGTGCACTTGACTGATGCCGACACAGCTGTGCATCCTCTATCTCTTGGCGTTCCTCGACAGAACCAACATCGGAAATGCGAAAATTGCCGGTCTGAACAAGGACTTGGGCTTGACGAGTTCCATGTACAACTCGTCGCTCACAATCTTCTTCGTCTCGTATGCGGTGTTCGAGCCCTTGACGAACATTCTGCTCAAGAAGCTGCGGCCTTCAATCTTCATTCCAATTATCATGTGAGCTATGGACGGCCCCTTGCGAGCTTCTAGCAGGCACCGTACGCTGACCACGTACAGGATTCTCTGGGGTGCATCGATGACGGGCATGGGATTCGTGCACAACTGGAGTGGGTTGATGGCCGCACGCTGGTTCTTAGGCCTTACCGAGGCTGGACTCTTCCCGGGTGTGAACTACTACCTGTCGTGTTGGTACAAGAGGTCAGAATTCGGCATTCGTGCAGTACGTCCCCAGCCCAGCATGACATACCATCCCACTAACCTGTCCAGGCCATCTTCTTCTCAGCGGCAGCCATCTCGGGCTCATTCGGTGGCGCCCTCGCAGCAGGCATCGAGCAAATGGCCGGTGTCGGCGGCCGCCCGGGCTGGGCATGGATCTTCATCCTGGAAGGCCTCCTGACCGTGGTCTTCGGTGTTGCGTCCTTCTGGATGGTCCACGACTTTCCCGACGAGGCCAAATTCCTCTCCGACGACGATCGGGCCCGCGTCATCCGCCGTCTCAAGATGGATCAGCAAGCCTCTGCCAACCACGAGGAGTTCAAGATGACCTTCTTCTGGCAGGCCGTCAAGGACTGGAAGATGTGGCTGGGCATGGTCATTTACATGGGCTGCGACATGCCGCTGTACGCCTTCAGTCTGTTCTTGCCTACCATCGTCAACGAACTTGGGTGGAATACGAGTATCGTACGGTCGCAGCTGATGACGGTCCCGCCTTACGCTGCGGCAGCGATTTTCACCATCTTTATCGGATATGTGGCGGACAGGACGAAGCAACGTGGTCTATGTAATATTGGAGTCAGTCTCATCGGCATAGTGGGCTTCTGCATGCTCATCGCTACCGAGAGCGCCCAAGTCAAATATGCAGGCACCTTTCTCGGAGCTCTGGGTATCTACCCGTGTATCGCCAACACCATCACCTGGGTCGCGAACAACAACGAGGGCGTCTACAAGCGCGGCGTCGTACTGGGGTTCGTGATTGGATGGGGAAACCTGAACGGAATCGTCAGCTCCAACATTTACTTCCATGGGCCGCGGTTTCCAGAGGGTCATGGCGTTGTGTTGGCGTACATGTCCATTTTCTTGTGCGGCGGCAGCGCTCTCATGACGACGTTGCTGAGGATCGAGAATAAGAAGAGGAGGCAGGGGAAGAGAGATCACTGGGTGGAGGGTAAATCTGAGAAGGAGATCGAGGCGCTCGGGGACAAGAGGCCAGACTTCCAGTACACTTTGTGATGAAGTCCTAGCAAGGCCATGTCTAGTAGCTGAGACCGGGTGTCACAGACAGTATCTCAAGAGAATGAACGATACTTTTACCCAAGCAAAGATCACATGGCCAAAGAGATACACTGATTATTGGTAAACGCGTCTCCATCAATGAAAAATGTGACACGGCTTGGTCAACTAAGAGTGGGAGACTGCTATGATTGTCCCGCAAGCTCTTATTGATCAAGTCAAGGTCTTTCTGTCCCAGATGTAACTGAGACTCATCTCGAAGAAACAATCTCAGAATATATAAGTTGTAAACTGAGGTAACCGAACACGAATCAGACCTCAAATCTGATCCACCGCCCTGATGGTCTAGCGGTATGATTCTCCCTTAGGGTCTTCACGACACGTCTGGGAGAGGTCCCAGGTTCGAATCCTGGTTAGGGCCCAATTCTTTTGCATTTTGCTCAAAGTAGCAATTTTTATGATCTTCATCTTCCAATCTTTCACCCGATGACATTTTTGAAGACGTCGGCCCCGAAATGCAGTCAAGGTGGCTGACCGTTGATGGGCCACTGAACCTGACAACTTTTGAGACATTACAGCACATCGCCGCAAACCTTCCAACACAGCGGCGTGTCATGTAACCTACCACAATCGCTCAACCGTCCCAAATCTGGAAAACGATTCACTGGGTCTGTGACGCCGCTACTCAATACGTAGGCACTAGATTGGCTTTTTTCGCGCGTGCGCAAACTTCGCAATCTGGGGTGTCTCATGGACCTCGGTTGCGCGGCTACACGACGGATCTTGTTTTGCGCCTCTCCCAGGAGTAAAAGAGGTTGGTTGGTGACAGGATACCGAGGGGTCTGTGAAGCTGTTCCGTCTGATTTCTCTGGACGACAGATCCGACATCGAGTCCTGTGCGAGTGTTGCAGCCGAGTTTGCGGAGTCCACTGTTCACAACTAACTGTGGCGACCGTTGATTGTATGACAATTACTTTGCTGGTTATATGTCCAGTATAGATCTTGAGATCAAAGTGTACTACTTGATCTGTCAGTTTCATCACCAGTAGTTGTTTCCTGTGAAGTCGTTCGGGCCGAAGCTCTGGATGAGAGTTGCGGTCCAAGGCCTTGTGGGCTTCCAGCTGTAAATTGGCTCTGCGATCTACCTGAAGTGCACCAAACTCGGAATGTCTATGCTTCATGCTTCACAAAAAATGGGCTTTTGTCTCTATAGAGTTGCACAGGACTCTTTAAGAATTAAGCAACAGACAATCCGGGACGAAATCGCATCGGTCGTGTGCCTTTGCCATGAGCTAGAACGTCTTTAGAATCTGGGTGGTAGAAACTTTGAACGAAGTTACCCTGCCCACGAAGGAGGCTCACTTGCATCCGCGGCCCCGCCGAGGGTCAATTACAATTGTTCAAGGTTGTGTTTTTGGGCTCCGAACATGCACACAGCCACAATAACTTATGACAATTGAGGCACAGAAAAATACTCCGCGTGAGAATGAGGAATTGGGAATGTTGCGTGATTTAGTTTCACCGTGGTTGATAATAGTTTTCGTGAAGCTTGGCACTTGATTCCTCTCAGTCGATGCTACGTTCTGCTTACTTGCATCGTTGCACTCCGAGGGATCATTACTTAGAAGTCAGGCTGACAATCACGGAAAAGGTAAGGTTCATCGAGCTGCATTTTCGTCTCACTGACCGGAAACTCAAATGCACATCATCTCATGTGATTAGAGTTGGCAACGGCGGATGTCGGCTTGATCTCAAGTGGTAGTCGGATGCTTGTAGAGTTGAGACGATCAGATATACATGGTCTTTGCGGCTCTGGTGCAGACCGACGACATTGATGCCTCTAGTGGGAAAGTGAAGGCCAAGAGTGATCTTTAGGATGAAGACAAGTTATGCGAAAGTAAGGTAGGTCTCTAGCTAGCAATACTGAAAACGCCACTCACGACCGTAAATGCGCGCTACCGTTCGTCCGGTTGTGTTGTTTCCGCAACCATCATCCATGAATAGGCTTCAACTTAACATAGCCCTGAAGGATTCTGTGGAGTTCGTCTGACTGCTTCCGCGGCGGGTGGCATCCGCCTCAGCTCAATCTCGCAACCTAAAAAACCCGACAGGGATAAACGCGATCTCACCTATCAGCGCTGCAAGACTGTTCAAACATCCCCTGAAAACCATCCCGTTTCTCATCTTCCTTTGGATGCGCCAAGCATTCCTTTTGCAAAGGTCTCTGGTCGGCGCCTGATGGTCCCTAGCCCTTCCGTGGGATCGACAGGGCAGAGTTCTGAATAGCCGCTCGCACTCATAGCGCAGACTCAAAATTCTAACCGTTCCCTAGTTCCCGAACGACCGTTCTAGGCGCTTATGCTCACTTCCAAGTCCGACGCTGGGGGCCAACTTACCCCAGCTCAGTCTAACTGCGTAGCAACATCGTATAGAGCTTGATTGATGGGGCCTAAGTCGTCGTAGCATTCATTCCCAGGCAGCAATGATCCCAGTGAACATCCCCAGCTTTGGGCCATGACCGGGTCGAGACCATCTCAGTATTGACATGATGGGAAGTTGATATCCAACATACAGGAGTATAAAGTCTGCTTTGCTCTCAGACATCATCGAGTTCCAGGAACAGCTCATCTCAGTCTCACATCCCGATCACTACCAACTGGTTTCTCCTTCAGCCCTTACATCAAGATGGTTCGCTTTGTTCCTTTCGCTGCCACCGCGGCTCTCTCTTTCGGATCAGTCGCCTTCGCTGCTCCCACGGTTGAAGGTGCCAACCTGCCAGACCCAGCAACCTTGATCAAGCCCATCGGCTTTGACCCTACCATTGTCTCCTCGCTCAAGGAGCGCAAAGTCGCGGCAGTCGCCCCCGAGGTCGTAACCCTTAGCCTTACAGGTCAAGATGCCAACTTCACGGACTTTCCCCCCTCAAATCCCGGGTCTTCTCAATCCTCCAAGCGCGGCATCATTGGAGGCGTAGACAACCGCGTCCTCTGGACCAACAAGGACTACCCTTACCGTGCCATGGGTAGAATCGCACTCTCCAACGGCGCAATCTGTAGCGGTGCCTTGATCGGTTCCCGCCACGTTGTCACAGCACGTCACTGCATCCCAGAGAATGGTGCTACTGCCCGTTTTCAGCCCGCCTACGACAATGGCGAGGCACTCGGCGGCTACGACGTGATCCGCGTCTTCCGTCCTGACTACGGTCAGGAAGGCTGGTGCGCCAACGCCTACGACTGGGCTATCTTCGTTCTCGGCGAGAAGGCTGGGTCTACCAACGGCTGGCTTGGGTTGAAGACGGTGAACCCTGATACTCAGCTCAACCGTGCCATGTTCTTCCACTACGGGTACCCTGGCGATAAGGGAGGCCAACAGGCATACCGTCAAGAGGCTATCACGGCTTCGTCCGCGACGCTGTGCGATAGAGGCTCGCCTGTTGTGACTGATGCCGATGCTCAAGGCGGACAGTCTGGAGGTCCTTTCTGGATCAACGAGAACGGAGATCGGTATCTCTATGGTGTCGTTGTCGGAACCAATGACCAGATTACGGTTGTTGCCGGTGGCCCGTCTCTGCTTGAGGGCTACGGAATTTTGCTGAAGGACTACCCTAACTAAGGGATGGATCAGAAATGCGTTATGACTGGAGTTGCGGATGAGATAGTCACGGTTCGAAATATGAACACCTTCTAGAGCGATTGGTTCAATATGTACATAGTTTAAGGAGCAAATATAGAAGCAAATAGCTAAGAGCATCTCGTGAGGGCATTCAAGGCAACGTTTAGGCTTTGTGGGAAATTTGTGCATCGGAATTCATGTGCCGATAGCGTTTGTAGCTGTATCGGGCAAAGCAAAGTATGTACAGAATTAAATGACAGTATTCACTGAATCGGTGATAACACTCTGGCTAGCAACTCCCCAAGATCGCGTCCGAAAGTCCCCTCAGGTTCAAGTTAAGACGACGAGACCGAGACGACTGCAGTCGACAGAGTAGTAGGGGCCGCCGTTATTTCCGTAGCAGTAACAGAAGTCGTCGTAGCTGCGCAGTTCGGATTCTCTCTAGGACCAACTTTGAGAGTGACAGTCTGGCAACCATCCAAAGGCTGAGTTCCGTGACGCAAAAGTCCAGTCGTGCTATCGCAGACGTAAAGCGCAGACTTGCCGTTGGATTCGCACCCCAGCACATCATTTGTGACAGTGCACCCAAGGAAAGAAAATGCGCCAGTCACACGGCTCGAGGCGTATACGTAGATCAAGCTGTTGGTATTGGTATGCACCGAGAGGAACCTCCAAGACGAGTTGAACCAGGTCTGAACCTGAGTGCTGTTGGTGATGGAGAAGTTCAATGGAGTTTGAGATCCCGTAAGATCGATTGAAGCAAAGTCCGCGTAAAGGTACAGATTGTAAGGACCTTCACCAGAAGCAAGAGTCGCCTCAATGCTTACTGGTGTCGAAGTTGCGGCGCATGGTTCTGGCAAGCTAACTGAGGAGGTTGTTGGGGCCGGAGTAGCCTCCGCCGTCGTGGGAGTTGCAGTTACCGGAGGCTTCTCTCTAGTGGTGCGGAACCAGGGTGAGACCTTGTATTGCCAGTCATTGAGGTTGTTGGGATTGCCGAAGGTACGGAGTGCGCGGCAAAGAATGCGGTACTCGCCGGCTGGGATGTCGCCCCCATGAGCGAAAACATTCTGCGGAGGTGCATACACACCACCGCTGTTCCGCGGGTAATTTCTCAGAGGGAAAGAGGTAATAGAGTCAGACAGCCCTTGGGGAACAGTGATGAAAGAACCATGATATTTGGCCTGCCCAGGGACTGCTGGGTAAGCCCAGTCTGTCTCATTCCAGTCACGCGCGACATACTAGTGATGCAGTGTTAGAGCTTTGTAGCTATGAATGAAGTGCTTGGTCTTACATCGAAGCTGATTTCTTGAGTTGACCAAAGGACATTGAAGTACGGCTGCGGAACATCGCCCCCTTCTTCAAATGTGTAATTGTGGCCCTCCTCAATGAGGCCGCCATATCCGCTGAGTAGTAGGGGAACGCCTCGTTCCATCTCCCAAATATCACTGGAATACAGAGAGCCCTTGATTCCTGAAGCCTGGTTAGCTGAATCGAATGCGGTTTTTGAAATGCAACTGACTCACCCATGTAGGACACTCGTACTGCTTCTCCCTGAGACCCAGCGACCACGATTGATCCTCCATAAACTGGAAGAGTGGCAGCTTCAGGTGAAGACGGCTGAGTGAAAGCAATAGAGACAGACCCGCTTTCACCAGGACCCAAGGTCAGCTCGGCGGGGGAAAACTCTACCGTGGCAGTATTCCCGTCCCCGGAGACGTATGGAGGTGAAACGGATACCCAGGCAGTCCCGGCACTCTTAGTGAGGGCAGTAATGCCGGCTTCGTGAGAGAACTGGTACGTCACAGACTCGTCCCCAGAGTTGGTGATCTGCACACTTTGAGTACCCTGGAAATGCTCTGTGTCGTTGAGGTTGAGCACCGCTGGGCTAACGAGAGTCGAGTAGCCAACAACTTTGAAGGCATCAACCAAACCTGCTCCCTGATGAATTACGGAACTAAGAGCATAGAAAATGTGTTAGCGTATGTCTCCTAAGAACAAGAAGAGACAAAAGGGGACCACTCACGCGAGGTTATCAGTGCCGTCGTAATGACGAATTGGTTTGCCGCTAGAAACGATGACTTCATGAGCCAACTTGGCACCACCATCCCCGAGAGCAGCCCGTCCACCGCGGGATGAGAAGAACAGGGCAGCAACGCCAGATATCTAATGGGCATTAGTCAAACATCGAGCTTGCATGAACTTTGTCGATACGATACTGACATAGGGAGTAGCCATGCTGGTTCCCGAAAGTGTCGCCCAACTACCTGAGCCTATCGGGAAGGTAGAGAATATCGAGCCACCTTGAAGTTGTCAATCGTCTAATCTCCGAGATCGGTTAGGAAACCTACCAGGTGCGGAAATCTGGGGAACCATGCGCGCATCCAGGGTTGGACCCCAAGATGTGAACTGGTCAATTCTTCCTCCGGCGAAGGAAGGACGATCAATTGCAGCAGGTTTGTCGTCGTTGACAAACTCAAAGGTCACGGTGTAATTCCTCTCATGTTGGCTGACGAGCCAATCTCCGTCCTCATAAGTGATCAAGCTGTCTGGTAGTGGTTGTTAGACTCGATCTTATACACCAAGCGAGAGATCTCAAACTTACACCCTTTGGCTTGTCGATCAGCATCGTATCGAACACGGCCAGGGATCTCCCAGTCGGAGCCGTTGTAGTTGTAAATCAGGACCCAGTCTACCTTTTCCATCAAGCCGCTATCGGTTCTTTGCCATCCACAATCCGCTCGGCTGGAGTCCTGTGTCAGAAAGGTTCGGGGCAACTGGCAGCCATTTGAACTTACGGCAGTACCAAAACGTTAGTGTCAGGAATAGTGAAGTCAATACCACACTGATCAGCGTGGTCCCGAGGATTTGGGGCCCATGAAGCGGGGGCCGTTCCGTTAAGAGACCATTGGACTCCGTTATCTGCAAGGTAGATCTGAAAACATGTATTAGCTGCAAGTCAATCGAGAAGATACAACAGCCGCAGTAGCTAGGGTATCAAATACGAACAAAATCACGAGTTTCGCCACTGCTCGAGCGCGCGGTTGCCGCCCACGCAACGAGCTCATCATGCTCTACACTTCCAACGGCAGTGCTACCAATGCCATTGCCGCCGCTGCTAGTATACCACGGGCCATCTATCGACGCCACTCAGCCAGAAATGACTTTCCATGGATTGAGGCGGACTTACTGCTTTCACCAGCGTTTCCGGCAGCGATGGAGACAAACGTGCCGGCAGCTTGGATGGCGGTTGCTACCACCGCAAGAGGGGTGTCAACAAATCCTCTGTTGGAACCAAGCGAGGCACTGACTACGTCTGCGCCCTCCTCGTGAGCTCGGAGGAAACCCGCAACAATTACATCCTCGTAGGTGCTACCCCCGCACCCAAATACTTTGTAGGCACGAAGACGAGCCGAGGGTGCAACACCAGGCACGAACTCGTTGCTGCTGGCGACGATGCCAGCAACGTGTGTGCCATGGCCATTGCAGTCAATGGGATCCTCGTCTGGAAGGTAGACATCTCCAGGTTCGTAGTTGTCACCGACAAAATCGTACCCACTCTCGACTTTGAATCCGGAGCCGAAGCCGCCACCAAGGGCGGGGTGATTGTAATCAATGCCGGAGTCAACAATCGCAACTACCACACCTTCACCGAAATGGCCGTTGGCATGCGCAAGAGCGACGTTGGTGTCATTGTGAGGGTTCCAAGTGGGGAACTCTGTCTGCACAACTGCTTCAGTCGTGATGGGAAGTGAGAACAGTGCAGCGGACCAGATCTTCTCAACTTCCGGCAGAGCTTGAATATCGGCTACGGTTTCAGAGGTATCATTCTTTAAGTCAAAGGAAGCCCCGTGGAACAGCTGCGAGTTGAAGCTTACTGCTGGAGAAGCATCCTTGCCGGCATCCTGGAGGGTGGTAAAGAAGCCGGCAGTGTCCTGTGGTTGTGTCAGCCGAGTTGCATGTCTTTTGTAGAACAGATCCAGGGAATATCCATACAAGATCTCCGTCACGCTTTCTGAACTTGGCTGATCCGGAGGACGAGAACTTTACGATGTACCGGCCACTTTCGATAGAGATTGGAGAAACTGGGCCAAGAATTGCTTCAGGGTCATCTGAAGACGTTTGAGCAAGGACTTCTCCACAGAAGATGAAGGAGGCCAAGGCCAAGAGAGACTTGATTTCCATGATAAAGCGTAACGTCTGACAACGATTACATAGAGCTCACGGTAAGTCTTGATTGACAAGAAGGACAAAGCAGCATTGAGCCTTAGCCGGTGGGATAGTGCAACATGAATAACCAACAGAGCAGGTTCTTGTCATCTTATGTATTACGGAAGCCACCGGAGTAGGCTCTCAGACAGGGGATACCTTCAAAATCACCAGTCCTCCTCATCCCGCATGGCGCGGAGTATCTTGTCAATGGGACCATGGTGAATGCAGGGGTTCAGTTATTCTTAATGGATTAGTCGCATTCGAGTGGATCGGGCAAGATGGTCATGATTAGATTAGATGCCAGCTTCCTGCTCGGTGATAGTCGGTGGTCACCTTGTTTCTACCGAGGTGACATCCGTGGTCGGATCTTGGCATATCTTCGCCAATCGAATTCTTCGAAACGGATCACGGAACAGGCGCAGCAGAAGGCGAGACTTTCCAGCTCGGGTCTCGCGCCGAGCATAATGGCGGTGATGACTTCTTACCCCGGCCATCACGCAGGAGTAACGACCATCATGAACTGACTTTAGAGACATTACACTACCACTGTGCGTTCCAATGAGGATTATGCCCCGGCATCTCATGCAGGTCCCGACCTGTTTGCTGAAGTCAAGGTGGGAAGGTTCGGAACAAAGCCTAATTGGGATCCTTGTCGAAGATCCGAAGTCGGCCGCCTATTAATGTGGAATCTGTTACAAGATGGAAGGTTTACGGGTAGAATCAGGCACAGATGGTTGATCGTCATTCATTGGAAGTTAATTCTGGCTGGCAGGTCGCGGAACTGACTAAAGTCTTACACAATATTCACCTTAGAAGGCCCCCAGCGAAAAGCCGAGCCTTCATATATTGCTACGCGCAGAAACCTTCCTTGATTCATTCTGAAATGCCTGTCTTGGCGTATAAAGTTATTCCCGAGCGGTGCCAAGCATGCAATATTGGGCAAAGACCCTGCATGTCGTGGTAGGTGAGGTGATGAGGGGTAAATCCCTCGCCAGGAACAAAGTTGGGCGGCCAAGACACTTCGTCCGCTTGATTGCAACGGAACCGGGGACAAATGTGTCCGCACATCTTGATCCCTGGAGCCGAAGGATAACGACTTCCAACGCACCTTCCTGAAAGAGTGTGCAACTAGTTGAGCGTCTGGAAACTGGGAATGGACGCTTGCTGCCCTTAAATTATTACTGCGCTCGCTGCAAGAGCAGCATGTCAGGCCTTCTCCCAGCAAAGCTTCCAACCGGTACGACTCACTGGAATACAGAGCGAGCAGCAAGCGGCAAGCAAGAGAGGGACTTTCTTGATACAGGCTACTACGCTATCCAGAATGTTGAACTATCATTGAGACTACAACCTAGGAAGTAGTGATCTAAAACCGGTATCATAGCATGGAGCTTCAGAGATTATTGATGCATTTAGTGTATAATGAATTGATTCCCTTGGGTTTTGCAAGAAAAGAAACCGCTTCAACGAACCCTCTAGCTGGCGACGGCTTTCAGCCCTTGGAAAACAATTGATAGCAGAAAACTCACGTATTAATGGAGTATTTGCCGGGCTCCAAACCGAAGAAAGTGCGGCGAAAAGGTTGTGGGGAGCGGCGAGATTAAATCTCAATTATTCGATTTCGCGGTTTGAATTGCGATTCATCGACGGAGTTGTCGCAAAACCATTCAAGTCAAATAATCGTATAGTCTGCAGAGGCGATTTAGCAGTCTACCTCTGGGGCGTAAACGATTGCGTTGAGTTGCATCGCCCTGATATGACCAGTCTCGTCATTATTCCCAATCTCGTCACCAATGGAAGCCGAATCTCCCTGTCAATGACTGGGGTCGATAGAGGAGAACCAAAACACGGCGACGAAAAAAAAAAAAGTCCTCCCTACCTTGAAAGATGGTTGGGACTTCGGTGCTGTCTGATCTGTCGCAGCATTTGGGGTTGGTCACATCATTACAATAAACAAATCGCGGAAACTCTAGTGATTAGTGGGGCGAAATTGAGGCCAATTGAGCATCCAGTCATTAATAAACCGAATCTCTCAGGTTGATTCGCATTTCACCTTTTTTAAAAGCAGCTTGCCAACTTCCTTTCGACTAGGAGGCCCATCGACCAATTACTTCCAAATCGAGACTCTGAACACTCCAAAACTTCTGCGTGACTTTATTGCATGTACTGTACCACATCTCCCGAGCCACCTGAATTTTGGCGATGTCTTCGCCAGCAGCAACGCCTCCTCCGAAGGACCCAAACTCTGAGAGAAACTTCAGATTCCATCAGAGTGGTACACCATGCGAGTGGGCAGAGTCTTACCGTCCAGGAGGATTTCATCCGGTCCACTTTGGCGACATCTTCGAAGGCCGTTATGAGATCATTCGTAAGCTCGGGAACGGTTCATTTGGCACGGTTTGGCTGGCATTCGATTCATCGTAAGTCTTCAATTGTATCCATGTTCTCAAGATTTCTATTCTCACAACGATGTTGACATCCTTTCCAGCCGTAACCGCTACGTTGCTCTGAAGATTGAAGTAGCCAAGCGGAAGGAGCCAACTGAGGTAAAGATATATCGCATTCTTGCCAATAAGGTATCAAATGACCAGGGCTCGAAGTTTGTCGTGGGTCTTTTGGACTACTTTTATCACGACGGTCCCAACGGCAACCACCTTTGCCTCGTACTTGAACCTATGGGTCCAAGCCTGTCTTCGGTCCTCAACGCCCCGCTCGAGATGTATGATCCCCGGAACCCGCCTGTACGACGCTTTGAAAGTGATCAAACAAAACGCATTTTGCGGCATGTTCTTTCTGGCCTCAACTTCCTTCACAGCAATGGAATTGTGCACGGCGATCTTCAATCAGGCAACATCCTGTTCGCTCTACAGGATCTCCATCTTTTGGATCGCCAAATTCTCAAGCAAGATGAAAATGACGCCTCAAAAATTGACATGTTGCGTCGTCTTGATGACAAGCCCGACAGGTGGGCCCCGAAATATCTGGCCGTATCGGATCCCCTGTCAAACTATATGCTCGAGGGGCAAAATCAAGTGACAAAGCTTTCAGACCTAGGTGGAGGTAGGCACGTCTGAGCCTCTATAACTATTGAAGTTAACATGGATCCAGCCTTTTGCATTGATGATCCGCCGCTGTCTGTTCTGACTCCAGTCTCCCTTCGAGCACCAGAGGCGCTCCTCAACGAAGCTATCGGAATAGGCATTGACATCTGGAGTTTTGGCTGTATCGTCTACGAGCTCGTCACAGGCGCGGCACTGTTTCAACTTCCTCCTTTCGGCCTTAGCGATAGCGAGAAGAAAGACGAACATCTGATACAGCTGACCGACATCATTGGACCACTCCCACAGACTCTTGTAGCGAAATGGTCTAATGCAGCAAAATACTATGATCGTAGCGGAGAAAGACTCGATACGGTCCCAACGGATATCATAGACGAAGTCACTGAAGACAGCAATCCCGATTGTCGTTTGGAAGATGACAGCTCTGATGAACTCGAAGATATGGACAGATCGGGACTCGACTTAGCTGAGCGCGGACCACCACAAGTCCAAAAATCCCTAGAAAAGCTGGTGAAGACCCTTAAGGCACCTGATCTTGGTGATGAGGAAGAAGAACAGCTCATATTATTGCTGAGGGCCACTTTCCATTACGATCCTTTGCAACGCCCATCCGCAGCGGCATTGCTCGATTTTCCTTGGCTAAATACTTGAGGTAAACCATGAATATGCAACGAAGTCATAGTCAGTAGATCTATCCTCAACATTTAATGCTACGAGAGTGCGGCTGTTCATGTTCCCCACATCAGAGACAGAGGCTCGATGAATTCATGGCTTTGTTGAGGATTTGAGAAAGAATTACCAATTTATTCTGTTTTTGAGGTAGATAGAACAATGAATTCTCACATGAAGAAAATTTCAATGCCAAGTCTTTGGGGGGGGGGGTAATGGAGTTGGGCTTGCTTTACTTTTTTTGTTAAGCAGGCTCTCTTCCCCGGAGCGTCCATCATATGGCGATCTGAATCGCCAATGCCTCCTACAGCACGATACAGAGCCACTGAGAGACTTTTTGGCCGTCAGGTATTGGCCCTCTCAGAGCTCCGAGCATCAATGAGGAACCAAGAACCCTATCCCTTCGGGACAGATCATAGGATCCCACGGAAGATTGAGAAGATCGTTACCACGTGACAAATCCCAAACGCGGACCGGTGACTTTCCAGCCCAAATGAAGTCGAAGCGTTAATGATCATCTAATCCTTACTGATTGACTCAGGTATTGACTAATATCATACAGTTGAGATCATCCAACTCCTACGACTGTTTCTGCTCATGCGGAGAAAGATGGAGCCTGCCATTTGAACTGACAGAACTCATCTCATCATAATGGGCACACTTCCTGATGGCTTCGTTAACATGCGGGCAGCTCGGATCACGGCAGAGAATCATGTTAGTTCCACGGTCGTGGGACAGATTTCGAGCAAGGATACACCTGGCTGGAAGAGGAAGGCTCATTGAAGAGGCTCAACCCACACGGTAAAACCTGCTCAACACTAATATTACTTGAGACAACTTTAATCCTAGCTTGTCGCTAACAAAGACACGGCAACTAGTTTCCGCGGCAAAAAAGCTCCTAGCCGTCATCTAAATGGTTCGCGGATAATCGGGCAACTTGCAACCTCGAGATCAATTGCTCCAGACGCCGGTAGAGAGAAGTATGCAGAGAAGCTCGGATGATGATCTGGCCAAACGCCCGGATCGGGCGTCTAAGCAAGTAGAGACGCGCAACACATCTTAGTCTGGATTTTTCAGCACCTAAGTCAAAGCCTGAGATCGACCAGGTGGCGGAATTCTTCATGGACAGTGAATTGTTCAGCTCAACAGTCTAACTCTAATCCATCTCAAAAATGAGACTGAAAGGATCGCTTGTCGATGGCCTGGAATCCCCGCTGTCTCAGGAAGCCCAAAAAGGAAGCCCACACGAGACAGCAGATATTCACTCACTAGCTCCTGTAGTATGGTGTCAGAGCTGTTCGGCACGAGCCAACCGACCAAGTCAGTTAGCCCAGGCCGCCAGTTCCCTTGACCTCCATTCCTTCAGCCGCTGGCCTCGGCCTCCGCAGATGCTTTCCCCGCGGCGACAATGATCTGCGACAAAAGCTTCGCATCACTCCCAGCTTTCCATGGAAATTTGAAGCAATGGAGGCGGTGCTAAATAAATCGGCACAAACCTGCCGGCGGCCCAAGCAGGATACCAAATGCTTGGTTTGCTGATCATACAACCTAACCATATTGCTCGAGACGTACTAGATCTCCAAGCGAGGTTTTCGTCTAAAGTGTTGCAGAAAATTCCGCCTGACAGCCGAATCCGAACTTGGGTTGTCCGTACAGACTTTCCGAGCGAAGGGATGGCAGCACTTACATGACACCAGACGAACACAAATCCTCGATGGCTGTGTAGCATGCACACCATTTTCCCACGGACCTGTAGACATCATCTTGATTGTTTTGACAGCCTTCGGTTCCGCCGGCACGATGTGTAGGTGATTGAGTTGACAGACCAGGGGTATGGGAGGTGTCAGGCCAGCACGCCTCGACATGTGGTTGATTTCAATGTCCATACATGCCCTGCGACTCTATACCGACCGATTCTATAAAGCAAAGAATATTCCCAGGAATTATTCGGGCCTTGAAACCAGCATCACACCATCCGCAGCCAGATTGCTTCATTGCGCCGGACGCTTTTCTTTCTTTTCACTTCAGCTTTCGTCTTTTAGATATTTGACATCTCACATTTCCACTTCAATCAATCCCAAAGGCTCTCACATTCACTCCAACAACAATGAAGCCCATTTCCGTTCTCTTCCTGGCTGGCCTTGCTGCCGCAGCTATTACAGACGCCGGTCTCATCGCTACCCGCGACGAGATTGCCCGAGACCTCGAGGCCATCACGGACAGCCCCGCTCTTGTTGATAGAGACGAACAAGATTTACCTTTACACCCATTCGCCATTGAAGATAGAGCGGAGGAGGATGATGAGAACGATCTCACCACCCGTGACGTTGACGAGGCTGCCACTTTTGGCGAGCTCATAGCACGCCAGGCCAACAACACTGCTGGTAGGAAATCTGACAGTACACCATTTATGATCAGGCTAACCGAATGGCAGGAGGCGGCAAGAAAAACGACGGGAAGAACAACAATGACGGCAAGAAGAAGAATAACAACAACTGTCAAGGATGCGCCAAGGGAAAGAAGAGGGGCAAAGACGCAAAGGGCAAAGCATGTAGATGCAAGAACACCGGAAAGAAGAACAACAATGCCGCCAAGAACAACGGGAAGAAGAACAACGGAAATGCCGGTGGAAACAAAAACAACGGTACAGCCGCCGACAACGGAAAAGGAAAGAACAACAACGATGGGAAGAAGAACAACGGCAAGAACAATAACGACGGCAAGAAGAATAACAATGGCAAGGCGAATGGAAATGCTAGCGCTGGTGCCAACGCCGGAGCCAACAATAATAACAACGATAAGGATGGAAAGAAGAAGAATGGAAATGCGAATGCCGACAAGAACAAGGGGAAGGATAACGGCAAGGGAAACCAGGCTGGAAACAAGAACAATGGTACGGCGGTGGATGACGGCAAGAAGAACAGCGGAGGTAACGGCAAAGAGACTGGAAAGAAAGCCAACTTGTCCACGGGTGCCGGAGTTGCCGCTGCTGAAGCTGCTTAGGCCGTTGATGTCTTACTTCGGGTTTCTAGAACAAGTAAAATCATTTGCCTAGATGACATGTCAAGTATAAAGTAGTCGTAGATACAGTATAGATGCGATCAGGTTAAAACGTTTGAGGAAGTGCACATTTTTGGAAAGCAAGTAATGATTCACAGCCCATGTGTGTTCAGTGATGAATGTCATAGTACTGATCAAGTCTGCCTTATGTAAATGTTTCCTAGAGGCCTAGAGGGAGGGCTGAACAGTCTTCAATACGCTGTGTTGGATAAACATCTTTGAGATGATTTCTAAAGAGATGATGAATCGAAAAATCAGAATAGTTACATCTGATCGTGCACAGGAGATTCGTCATGGTTGTATCACGTGCACCAGTCCAAAATATATATCAAACTTGCAATGATCTCCAGAGATCACTCAAAAGTTCGGATGGTTATTAGAACTATTTTTGGGCTGGGTGTGCTTTTTGAATCAGGTCTTAAAGTTTATCAGGCGCCTTGACTCCGATATCACTCGGCGAAAAACGGCCGTTCTGGGCGAATAGAAACGACGTGAGAGCGCGAGTCGTGTTTCCCAAACACACAGAAACGTCGCCTTGAACCTTGTGTACACCAACAAGACGGTCTTCAAGGGGTGTATGCAAAACACCGAGGCCGATTCAATGTTCAAAAGTACTATAAAGCCTCAAGAATTTCGTCAACGGCTGAAGCAGAGTTGCCTTTACCCAAAACAACCTACTTCCTTAACCGCTAAACGATAGCAATCATGAAGTTTTTCTCCGTACTTGTGGTTGCTGTATCTCTCTTCGAGGCTAGCGCCCTCCCCGTTGAGTCAACGTAAGTTCTGGCGAAAGCTCCTGGTAGATCCTCTTTGTGCCATGCTAACTGTATGCCCAGTGGAGCTGAGAATCTTAGTCGCGTCAAGAACGCAGCCAAAATCCCACCATTCACCGGCGGAGTCGCGTTTCCAAAACGACAGAGCGACAAAGACACAATCATTAGAGAAAGAAGCAGAAAGGTTCAGAACCCAGCGAAAGCGCCACCTTTCACAGGAGGAGTTACGTTCCCAAAACGGCAGAGTGATAAAGATACGATTATCAGAGAAAGAGATAGAAAGGTCCAGAACCCGGCGAGAGTCCCTCCCTTCACAGGAAGCCCTGCTTTCACTGGTCGTTGAAGTTGGCAGATACTATTAAGAATACAATTTTCAAAAGTAATTTTGTCTGGCAGGCTTGTATTTGACATGATGGATTCGATACGTCATTTATTCACCTAGCTGAGTATTTTGACTCATGTTACCAGGTATCAGATATAATTCTGTTCCTGGCATAATTTAAGCCGAATTGTTTGATAGACCACTGGCTATTTAGCAGTCTAGTGGCTGCTCCTAAAGATCGTGCAGCTTTAACCTGACTTGAGACTATCACTACTTAGATACCTCGCCTTTAGCTTCTTGCCCTCCAAACCTCTGCTAAGGCTCTATACCACTTTTGAGAAAGATATCTCGAGACACAGGTCTATCTACTAGAATATGCCATGACAAACAAATAGATTCTGCAAATTTGGAAGAGTGACCTACTGACACGAAACTGGGTTCCGGAGACAGGCTGGAGCTTCTGTGACCCAATTCCGGGTGCGCCTATTGAAGCAACAGGTAATTGAGACACAGGCAGCGATAAACAGTTACGCGCGTGCAAAAATCTACGTAATTTCTCAGCGCATACGGCAAATTAGTATCAGACAGCACTTTCCCCTTTGAGTCTCTTCAGGGTTTCTTCCAACCACTCCTCTAGTACAGTCAATGCAGTACCACTAATTGCAACGCCAAAGACCGTTATTAGCCAAAGGAACACTGATTCCTTTTCCGCAGTAACAAGAGACTCACAGCCGTTACAACTCCAAACACCTGGTTTCATGACTCCACCTCGTTATGGAAAGCCCATGATTAAGTACTGGTGTGAACCAGGCAAAGTTTCCGCCTACGATGTCCCGCGCGCACGCCTCCCAACCAGCCCCAACTCTCCGGACTGATAACGGCTGGATCCTGCACTGCATTCCCGCAGCCCCGCCCAAACGTGAAGTCTCTGCTCGCTACCCCATCCGAACAAGGTCGTTATAAATCCAAGCAAAGCACTTTTCGAGTACAGGATGCTGGCATCGCTAAGGTACTATGCAGCAGTCTTCTCTTTAACACCCTTTGCCTTGCACTTGGGCAACCTCCCCGTTCTTGGACTAACGAACGATTTAAGGTCTCCTGTAAGACGCACTTCCCGAACTTGCCAGAATTTAAATAAAGTGAGGTAATTCTATCAAGTTGACCCACAAGACACCAGGTAGTCATGGTGTCCCTATGGTCCTCAGCCACGAAACACACCCACCCCCCCCCCCTCTTCCCCCGTTTCTTCTCTATACTATGAATACCTTCATGTCATTACTAATGTTTAGTAGTGAAGCATGCTGTCTGTGACTGGAATCAGACTAAAACGTTGTCTCAATCGGCCTCCACTTATGATCATCCGGTTCTTCATCTAATACACTGGTAGCAGCTGTGCTCCGGTTGTTCCATGGATTTTCAAGTAAATCTGCATCACTGGACGCCACTGAAAGAGCTCGGTTTCGGCGGTAAACACTTGACATGATACTTTCAGGGATGGTAGAGTCTCCCTCTGCAAATCTGACCAAGTTTGCAGGCGATCCTGGCACTTGCAGATGATTCTGTCGACTGGGGTTAACAACTTGTCTCTACCAGAACAATGGAACAACTCACCTTGATAGACTCTGGATCTGATGACTGGTAGCTTTTATCTGTGGCCCCGGGGAAAGGAGCCCGCCCACAAGATGTTTCTGGTAGTGCGTTTTCAATATGTAACAATTCCGAAGAAATGAAATCGATGGAGTATCTTTCTTTGCGATCAATGACGAGCATTCGTTCCATGATCAAATCCAGCATCGAATTAATGAAGTCTGTACACAATGCCGATGCTCTCAGAATCCCAACCCACTGATGTTAAGAAAGTCAGATCAGTCGAACTCATAGGCCTGAGCAATGTGAGGATGCTCCGACTCACCTTCTGTACAGCTGGGTGAAGCTCAGCTCGCTTTCCCCCTTGAGGCATACACGAAATCACGAAGTAACTGTGATCAGGTTCATCTATGTCATCCGTGTCATCCGAACCGCGGTTGAGGTTGCGGTCTCTCTGGAAGTTCTCAACATCCTCGTATCCAAGCAGATACCAGATGCAAAATTCAAGAAAAACGCATCCGAGGGACCAAATGTCATATTTCGAAGAGATGGGAAGGCCTAGGTCAATTTCAGGAGCTCGGTATGTCCCAGTATAGCCGTCCACCCTCATAACGCGTGACTTCGTAAGGCGGGAGTGGTATCTGGTCAATCCTAAGTCAGCAACAACAAGGTGGTCTCGATCTTCTCCATGGGTCGAGAACCACAAGATGTTGGTTGGCTTGATGTCGCCGTGCCGCCCCCAATCTTTGACAAATGGTTCCTCAGAGTTAGAGCTTGACGATCTCTCGTCCTTCTGCCATGTTGAGAGTCCATGGATGCGTTTGATGGCATTTGCAATACCTCGGCATTGTTGTGCTATCCACTTTGTCGACGAGGGAGATGCATGAACCTGTTTCTTTTTCCAGAATTCCTCGAGATTGCCATCTGCCCACTCAAAGACAAGATAGAGCTTATTACCGTGCTGGAAAGTAAGAAGTAATTTAATCAGATGTTTCGCCTTCTGTGCCTTGGCGCATGATTGCTCGAGGGCTCTAAGCTCTTTACGATAGGATTCATGATTGGCACCATTTATCTCCTTGACTGCAAAGCATGGTGGGCTCTCTGACACCTTGACCAGGAAGTTAGCAAAGGCATCAAGCAGTATAGGTATGAAAGACTCACGTTGTTTCCTCTGTAGTCGTGGTGACTCTGGTGGATTTGAAGCCGGTGGATTGTTCCGTTTCCACCAGAAACTTTCTGCTCGAACTTATCCCACGGAAGCCTGATGTTGCGATTGAACACATAGGAGCAGATATCCTTACTTCCCATGCTTAAGAATGGGACGAATATAGCTTTCTGGTAGAAATAGAAAAGGTCGATGTGAACGCGCTCCCAGTTTTCAAAGAGTGTCATGTTGATTCGACCATCCCCGACGAAGGTTTTGAACTCTTTTCGGCTCTTTATTTCGCGGCAAAGTGGTAAGTGGTGGTCGAATATGCCTTCCTGGATAAACTCCTCGACGCGGCTCGTTTGCTTCATCAGTACCAGCGTGGCAACTATCCTTCGCCGGCTTCCTGCAGCACCCCCCCAGATCTGGTCAGCCTTCTGAATGAAACATTCGTCCGTGGCAGTGTCGTAGATTGCCTTGATCAGACACATCATGGTTTCGATATTGAATATGTTCTCAAATGAATCAACAGGAAGGTACTCCTCCTGGTCCATCTCGCTCAAGCGCAGATTGTTCTCGATTTTGTATCGAATTTCATCCTCAATGTCCACAGCCGATTGACCATGCTTGAGAAATTGCCCAGTGCATACAGTGTGTTTGAAGATATCGCTTTGGCTGGGTCTATGGCCGTTGGACTGGTGTGTCAAGCAAGGTGCCGCACTAAAACCTAGGTCGCGGACCGAGACGACGGCATCTGTCTCGCCAGGCTCAGAACACCCGGGTCCGCTTTGAAACGGAATCGACGCCTGGGCTTTGTCATAGTCAAAACTTCCTATAGCTGCTCCACCTGTAAATCCGCCTTGCCATGCAACTGGCACGCCTGTTGCGATCCTCGAGGGCTCGCAACAAGACACGTCATGCGCCGTGCTTGACCCCAGAGGAGATTGAGCATTTCTGATCGCGCTTGAGGTGCTACAAGGATTGCATGCAGCGTAATCCGCGATTCCACGCTCGTGATTGAAGTACATGGCGCTCATTTCGCTCGTGGATTGTCTTCTCTGTCTCGCTGGTGCCGGTGGTGTGATCGAGGATAGTACTTCCGTGCCGGTGCGGTCACATTCGTGAATGTCGTTGACTCTCGATGCGAGCATGTTGAAATGAGATCGATGCACTCGCTTGCGATAGCGCTACCAGATCTTTCCAATGTTGGAAGAATGTTGGAAGGCAAGGGAGGTTAGACGCTCTGGAGCTTGCTTTAAATGGAGGATATGGAGAAGTTGGTGGAATATCGTATATGGACATTCTTACATGATCCCCAGCCCAGGGCCTTAGGTTGGGGGGTGTGGTCCTCATATCATCTCTCGCCAAAATGCCTCGCGAGGAGCCTGGGCAGTGCCCATGTCTCACCGGCTGACCGCTCAGCTGCAGACACGGTGCGCCAGTGGAGAGCTTTAGGCGGCGTTAGCGGATGTGTGGGCCTTCAAAATCAGTAGCGTTGGGCTGGGGCTTGGTCCTACTTGCCAGCCTGTCACCCGTCTCACCGTCCCTTAGTATTACCAGGTTGCTGTGAGATCTCTCGCGTCCTGCTTTACCTAGCTTCTCTCCCAGCCTACGCTGAATTAATTAAGCCTTACGAACACATATTACTCCATAAGGTGATCTAGAGCTAAATAAGCCCACTGAGCAACCTGACCATCGTAAACACCTTGCCTATGGTAAAAAAGCCCGTTCTGTCGAGAAAGTGTAAAATTTTCAGCCGGTCAAGTCACCACAGAACTGTGAGATGGAAGTCACCTGAGGCGTGGACCGGTAATTCTGGGCACGGGAATCTGGATTCAGGCCCAATGGAGTTCAACCAAGTGCTACGTAAACACGAGTCCATAATTTCACATGGACATTCTCCAATGTTGGAATGTCACGTTTCTTCTGCAGAGGAGCACGAAACTCGAATAGAAAGTCATAACAAAAACAAAAATAAAAACAAACACAAAGAGGACCCCCTTGTCTTTATGCACGTTCCTGTGTCCACCCGCCCTCTTTCCGCTTATCAGATATAACGAGAGTCTGCATCTAGAATGCGTACATGCCGCTTTGTCCCGTTCCGAATCATTGGCAGTAACTGCCTCGGTAGGGATAGTCACATAGATGGACGAGGTCAATCTGCAAATGCAGCAAGGGAGGCGCGACAAATAGCATAGTGACTCTGTGAGAAGCGTCCGTTCAAGGATGCCTTACTACAAACAATGGGAAGTAGGTAGTGATTAATAAATGTCGACCCAGATACATTCCTTTGAAACTTGCTTCTCACAAAAAGACGCAACCCCGACCCTCTCATACCGAGTATCATTTGCAACGCCTTGGCTTTGGCAGATGACAAGAACATGGACTTTCGGTTCGCGGCTTTTCTTATCACGGCCAATTATAACAGCCCGTAGATCTTTGGCTTTGAACTTGTTCTTCCTGTCAAAACAAACCTCTGACGCAATCTGCTGCTCACTTACGTCCATGCGTCTTGCAATACCGCGAAGGATAGTATAGTCCTCATCGCGACCGTAATATGACGATCCAGAGAGCATGTCTTGATGGCGAGAGAACGGGCTCTCGAAGTCTTCATTCGCCCACTCAATTTTATCAAACTCAAGGTTCATATACTGAATTTTTCCCGTTTTGGAGAACCACGACCAAGTAGGAACAAGCCACGTCGACTGGGTAATGGCCGTCATGTCTACTACTTGATCGCGTTTCCAGAGAATACCCCTGGCGAAATACTTCTCGAAGGACCCGTGGGCGGCTTGAGTTTGCAGTGCTCGCGCCAGTCTGGTTTGAAGACCAAGGATTGCGACGGCCCTGTCGGAAGCTTTCGTAAATGCAAGCGCAGAGTACCTCTCGTGTAGATCTTGAATCAGTAACTGCCTCCCATCTCGATAATGATCCAAAGCAGACTGAGGGAAGTTGGCGTCCCCCAAAAACACTGCCTTCGAACTGTGAGTGACAAAGTTAGAACTTCCATCTTCGCCTTCCGCATAGGGCCCGGCTTCAGCTTACTTATACAAGCGGCACAAGGTTTCACACCGTATCCCATATCCACATTCCCAGTACACCTGGGTTGGGGTGAAATAAATTGATCGTCTCGATAGAGCTCTTTCTTGCAAAACCCATCCTCGCCTGCTGATCTCTGCCAATTCGACATCTTGTTGAAAATCATCAATGTGTGCACATACATACAGGTCTGGTGAACCCTTCACCGGTACAAGAACGCTTGGCCTGGGCGGACGGTTAGATAAGAAGCCGTCGAGTGAAGATCTGGCAGAGGCTGCACTGATTGTACAGTATGCTGCACTAAAGACCTCTTCCATCTTTGTTGACTCCTTTTCCCAGTCATCCTTATTGTCCTGGATGATACATAGTGAGTCAATCCAGATGTAATCTATGCCGAGACCGCGAGTAACTTTGATAGCGTCCTGGAAGGTCTTTGGTAGATGGTCAAAATCGATATGGTCCTGCAGTTGGGAATGATTCGCCGTGTAGAGGCAAAATCGTTCGTGCTTCTGCAACTGACCCCAACAATGGCTTAGAGCTATGTACTGGCAGCTTTTAGGCCCCATTGTACTGCAGCTCACAAGTTGAATTGGCGTCGTGACTTTGACAAGGCGGGTTGGCATCTTCAAGTTCTGCTGGGCCGTGTGGCGGTTGCATTCGGGATGTGTATTACAACTTTGCAACCACTGGTTCAACACAGTGAACTGGTCTGGGCTGTTCATTATGGGAAGTCTCGGTAGGCCGACTTGCATTCCCCTCGGAATTTCACCACCTATGCGCAGAGTTCAGCCGGTGCAAAGTTGAGATGTCGCACATCTACGTACCAGGGTCGACATAGATCGAAAGAAGATTTGGCCCGCCGTCTACACAAACTGCGGTAAGTGTTTGCCGTAGCTTCACGACTTCCGGAAGCACATTATCATATACTCGCTGCAGAGCATTAAGAAGTATGCTGCAGAGACCACAGTGTAATTGAGCCTCTGATGGTCTGAATTCTGCAGGGAATAAATCTGGCGGCGATACGATGCTGCATTTTGAGCAAAAGATCTTCCTTCCTGTGAGCGAAGCTTCCGATTGAGCCCACTGAATTTTCTCGAGGACTTGGGAGGCGAAGTCATTGTCAGCAAGAGACTCCCAAGAGTCATTGAGTTGACTTTGTTTCTGTGCAGGCTCAATGTTAACTGCTCGTTGATCCATGAGATCAAATCCAGCGAACTCACAAACTATGATACTATTAGCAAGGCGTGTCCTACTGAGCTTCAACTTTCAACTCACCGACTATTTTAGAGCGTAATCAATAATTACGATATCTGAAAGCATGTGAGTGAGTTGGGGAGGTGACTAACATTCTAATTCGTAGGCGAAACATGAAATATCAGCATAAAAATTCATTCAGGTCTTTTACTGCAGGTCTACTGACATACTAAACCCAGTCTTCAGTCAGCATTGGAGTCGTTCATCGGCTTGATTATCTGTGAATAATCTAACTTACTTCATCAAGTCTATCAGTCACATCGGTATCTTTGCCTTCCGGTAGAGAGCGATCAGGATTTGGCTCCAACTCTTCCGTCGCCTTGCGCTCAATCCCAACCAGCCCGCCAAACTCGTCAAGGTTGTTTTCGTAAGAAGGCAGCGAACGTTTGATCATGTTATGCTCATAGTCGTGTCCTAGGGCCAGTCCATCGCCCGTTGTGCTACTCCTAACTCTTGAGTTGGCCTTTGAACAACCTTGAGAATTGGATTTTTCTCCCGTCGGAACTCACGCAAGGTAGTATTTTTCCTGGATTCCTCTCATCTGCCTGTGAGCTGCGGAGGCTATCTCGCGACACTCAGGCGAGCTGGATTTGCTGTCCTTCGATACGTCGACGACGAGAAGCCTCGATTCGACAAGCTCCAAAAGTTCTCTCCACGCTGATTGAGCCTGCCATTTCGTAGCCAAAGTTGTGATGTGGTCTCGTGTGTCAGATCCGACACAATACTTCTTCTCGTCATCGTTCCACTCCCAGAAGTACGCAGTTCCACCTCTGAAAGCTTTCACGGTCTCAAAGCCACAAGCAAGCCAAATGAGTAGCTCCAAGACAACGCATCCCATGGACCAGATGTCATAAGCTCTCGATCGAGTCTCGTGGGCGGGTAGCTTCTTGTTTCGGTTGATGTCCATCTCAGGGGGCTCATACCGAGATGTTCCCGGCGGCGTCAAGGTGAGAATCTCATGAGCTCTCCTAATGCCGGTCGCAGCTTCTAGCTCGTGGAAAGTAGTGAGTCCCATATCGGCGATTTGCAGTGACTTATTTTTGTCCGCATCGATGAATACTAGAATATTCTCTGGCTTCAGGTCTCCATGTCTGCAGTTCTTCCCATGCAATTCTTCGAGAGCCTCAAACAGGCCAGTGAGCTGGCCAAAAACCCATGCAAGCTCGAAATTGTTCAAGGAAGCCCCAGGGGTACGACGCCAGTATTGAGCCAGGTTCCCCCCTTCTGCCCAAGGAAAGAGGAGACAGCGATCTTGGTCTTGTTCGTAGGCCGCGATAGGTTTGATCAGGTGGTTCGACTTGAAATTTCTAAATCTCTCGAGATTATTTGCCTCTTTGTCAAAGAACTTGCGAAGCTCAGGGTCGTCGTTTGCCTTCTTCAGTGCAACCGCTACGGAGCCGTCTTCGGTCTATGAGCTGCTGTCAGTATATGATGCAAGCGCACGACAACGGTGTCTTCATGCTCACCTTGATCAAGTTCGGAGCATTGATATGCGCTGCATGAACAATTACTTGCAACACCTCCCCAAAGAACCCTCGGCTTTCTACTCTTTGCTTGACCTCCAGGTACGGAAGTACTACGCTTTTTCGGAAATGAAAGCGGAAGTCTTGCCCTGTTCCGAATACTGGGGCAATGAACCTCCACTGGTTTATCTGGAAGAGGTCTTTCTGGATGCGGCCACAACGCTGAATGTGAAGAGGGAGACGGGGGCAATCACCGCCAGAGGGTGAGTAGGGTTGCCACCAGAAAACTTTGTCGCCGACAGCATTTCGAGCCCCTTGGAACGTAATGGGAAGGGACTTGTTGGTGAAAAGATGGGCTTTCAGAGCTTCCAAAAAAGACACTTGCTCTTCATCTTTGCTTGACATCGATACGAGGATCAGGAATAACTGGTTGGCATCGTCCGACACAAAGTCGATGAGGCTGGTATCAGTACCAAGGTTTGCAAACCTGAGAACTTTTTCCACTTGATCTTTGTTGACGAAGCGAGCAATTTCGTCATTCGGGAGAAATTCTTCGCTAAGATGATTGTAGCACAGCTTGTCAGCAATCTCTTCACCGAATGAAGATATCGCTTTGTAGTTTGGGGGCCTGAACCATGTTTTTTCACGATTAGCCGCAACGCATCATTGGAACGACCACAACATCAATGCACAGGAGGAAAAATGATAATAGACTTCGAATTCTTACGAATCTCTGCTTTTTTGGTCGGGCATAATGCGATACGAGACCGAGGCAGCCTCGCGTCCAGGTACGGCGTACAAAGGGTAGTCGTTTAGGAGCTTTGTGAGAGGCGTTGGGCTGGGGTGGTCGTTATGTAGGACCGGCCGAAGTGGATTTAACGCTACGCGATACCCGGGCACCTTCACACCATCACGGTTAGAGAGACCAGCGTGAATTAGGCGGACACTACTCACATACTTGGCAGGTCTTGACACGAGGTTCGCTGGGCGAGTTCAGACGGTGGTGTGCTTCATGGTTGCCTTGCGCCTCGTGCGCCTGTCCAGCGTCGTGGAAGTTGGTTCGCCCCAAAAATGGCGGCACTGGAGGCTGTGGCAGTATCATTGGACCTCATTAGAAGATGATGGCGACGTATAAGCGCTTAGGCAGGCTGCGGCTTAAGTTGCGAGGTGTGTTTGCGAATGCATCCATATGGCCGGTGAGGGGGGGGGGGGCGGGTTGGAATACGAAAGGAGGCCTTCAAATCACACTTGGGCGCGGTCGGAACACACCAAATCTCTCCATCAAGTCAGCCTGGAAATGAGTGTTTTCGAGGTGCAATCTACCGTCATGTAAGCCGATATTCAATCTAGAGAAGGAGATTTTCTCCAGTATGTCTGGGACACGAGCTTTACGAACCCCGGAAAGAAGCCCTCCGCCCGGAACGGCTCGATGAAGCAGGCTACATGCAGTCAGCAATAGGCTCCCGCGAGGCAACCTTATCACGGCCCACATAATGTGGTATCAAACCGTGAAGTGGCTTGGTTTCCCTACTCCCAGTCAGTTGTGGGTTGCACCTTGCGACGCTCCTTATGCCAAGACGTCAAGTCAGTGGTGCGCTAGTCGCTGGGACATATGGGAGCGCCTATGAGAGCCCGCTGTAGCCTGTGAGATGGCACGCAGCACGCAGCCTCAAAGGCGCCTTATCAGCTAAGTCCGGTATTCCCGGCCAGATCGCACGGGGAGTCCCGCGCGAACTCCCTAACTCGCGACGATGAACTGTGTTGGAGTTTGTTTGGACAGCCTGAAAGCTTTTGAATGATACGGACATCTACTTTCTGAGAGTACCGAAGTGCGGGGTCAAGAGTGAGGTTCCTCCTGGCACCGTTCAAGAGTTAGCACGGCAACCACGACCTACCTTCCATTATTAGAGACACATTCTGCGTAATTTCGACTCGAGGATAGCGATAATCATCAAGATATGGGTCTAGTCGTGCGCTGAAAACTAGTATTCCAGCGCAAATACGCACCGAAATGGCTAGACTCGCCGGTACCTGTGCCAGATCGGTACAACCACTTCGGCATAATGAGCATGCGAGCAGCAGTAAGAACAGCAGAGTATTTCCTTATCCGTAATAGATGATGAACGGCAGGGCGGACTCAGATAATTCAAAAATATAATCGCAAAGAGGAACCCTACTATGCTTTCGTGAAGAAAAGAGTACATCTAGCTCTGAATATTGGTCGCTATGGTCGTCCGCGAGACGATTCAACTCATCCTGAGTATGGAAGCTGGGTGTACAGATCAACCGGCAACAAGAGAGTTCTACTTGCGGGGCTGTCTCTCATTTTGAATCGGCATCTGGCCAAGACGAACCCAGACCAGACTTCTGCCTGCCAGCACATCAATTAGATGCCTTACTTTTTTATCAGGTACCTTGCCTAGTCGACCTTTTTGTGCCCGTATATCTTTGACCCGGGCGCACTTTTCGGGCGGGGCTTCCGGACGGGCGGCTCCGCCCCGTCTTGTGTAGCTGGATAGTAGCTAGGGGGCAGTGAGGTTCTCGTTAGCCACCTCGTGCCATCGACAACAGGTGTGGCTCCAGCCACTGGCGATGGGAACGTGGATAGCCTGCTAATACTGACACCGCGAACGAGCAACCGTAGGTTTGAGAACCATTGACAAGGAAGACTCATATAGAGATGGCACTACTCTCATGGGCTTCTGGGAGATGATGTTACGAACGATGTTGAGACTATGCAGATTATCATATGAGCCCTGAAGAGCTCAGCCGGAGCACAATCAACTAAGTATGTACCTTATGTGTATATGACTATTATCTCGTCTAATAAGCATTGAAGCCAGTCGCCGATATTTCCTTCGAGATGTATAATGTAGCTCGGAAGTTCCTAAGAAAAACAAATATGAAGCAAACCAAAATGAACAGTGAAAGTATTTTTATCGAAAGTAGTGGCTCGACATCATGTATAGGAATACGTTAACTCAAAAAACACTCTTCGCCAGCTTCTCCAGATTATCTACGATCGTGGAGAAAGAGTCAACCACGCTGGCATCACCGATCTTCCCAGATAAACAGCCAACGGTAATATCTCGGAATGTTTCCCCAGCAAAGAAAGCCAATCTTTGGTGAGCATGTTTAAGAAGTCTTGTCTGGGCCGTTGTTTTGGGCTTGTCCTCCATTTCTGGCGCTACTAGGGTTCCCTTATCAATCTGATCGGCGCGAGACCAAAGCCCAACCTCGAGTAAGACGACACCAAGAGCTAGGAAAGATAGTCGATTAGCACTCGTCATGACACCGGCAGATTTCACTTACCATAGATATCATGAATCTTTCCGAACCGTTTAGTAGGCTGACCCCATCTCTCTGGATGCCGATAAATATTTCTTTTCAGTTCTGATTCGCCAAACTGATCCGAAAAGTCGGAGTCTTGCCGTGAGTATTCGAAGCCGATCAGTCTTGCGCTCTCGAGTGTTGTGGACATCCCAGCGTCTTTAGGGAGCAGCAGGATATTCTCCGAGCGGATAGACTTGTGGACCCAAGAGTACCCGTGAAGCCTATGCAAGCAGGCTGCCAACCTGTGTGCCAGGCATAATCTGGCCGGAAGTGATGGCCGACCTGCTTTAGATCGTTCGTCGAGAAGATTCGAAAGAGTAAGCGACGGGGCCGATGGACTAGTAGGCGTAGGGAGCTTGAATAAGAGACCAAACCTCCGACCTGGCGTATCTTCAAAATAATGCGTACATGGCAGGACTGCCAACGCTGGGTCGCTCGACGGAGCATCATGTAGTAGGGCGGCCAACTGAATTACGCGTTCTCGAACAACGACCGCACTCACAGCACTGCCCGCGTCTGGTGTGTAACCTTTCGACTCAATCAGATAGCACCCATCCGAGCCTTTGAGATAACCAAGCTCGAAGTTGGGGAGTTTGGACGTGATAGACAAGTCGCTAAAAAGTGCTTCTTTGGCGTATGATCCAGGGGAGATATCTGCGGGTGAGGTGATGACCAGCTTCCTCAGTTCAATTCCTCGCAGAAGCCCTATAGATCCTGCATCGACATCTTTTTCGAGTTTCTGAAGCCTTTCCAACGTCTCAAAGAAAGTCGATGGCCACCACGCCGCCTCAAGTAAGTTTTGTATTCTTTCGGTCCAGGCCTCGAACTCAGATACAAGCTTCTCGGTACTGCTTTTGTCGAAGGCTACCCAGAGCATTTTCTTAGCCCATCCCACAGACTTTTGCTGGGCAATGGCCGAATCCTTTTTTGACGATGAAAGACTCTTGACACGGTCTTCTTCCGACATGGATGCCAAGTCGCCAAGTTCGAGGCTCTCGGCTCGGTCCTGCACTTTGTATTGTCCTCTCACCGCAGCATATTCCATTAAGAGTCCATAAAGCTCTCTCAGCAGCCCCAGGATATCATCACAAACCGTCTTCGGCAGGTGCTCGATTAAGCAACCGGGCATGGCTGGCGCGAACTTGCTGTCTTCAAACAGAACTCGTTCCATAGAGCCAAGTCGGGTTCGCTGAATCGAAAATCTCAGCCGGAGACGGTCGGCATCCTTCCCAAAGTTGCTGTAGTTGGTCAGGGTGTTGTCTATCGTGGAACATATGGGTTTGATCAGTGCGACAGCACCGAGCACTAGTCCAGCGGCCTCCATGATGCGGGGGAAGCGACTTTGGCACGGGCTAGATGAAATGATTTGAATGCCGAGAGGAAATAATTGAGATGTGAAATAAGCCGTCGAGGAGGTAGCTCATTCAGAGACCCTAGCCGATTTCGCGACATTTCAGTGGCTCAGTTGCGACGCTATTCCTACTCTGTCAAGAGTTTCCTGCATGTTAGGCTGCAACGCGTCAGGTGGTGCAAGTCCTTCTAGATTGGGGTGCGGCTGAATACGAAATGCATCAAGTCAGACCATCGGAATGCGCGGTAATGGTGCACTTGAAAAGATAGACTGTTGTAAAAGTCACGGCCTCTCCCCTTTCCCAGTCCTGGTGACGACCGTATGAATAATCCCACCTCTTATGGCGAATAACAAAGTTGAACCGAGATGAGTTTGATATGGGACGTCCGCACTGTCCTCGCCTCTGAGGCATTTTCGACAGGCGACCAATCCGATCCCGATCCCGAATCAGCAACGACGACCAGGACAACAGCCGAGCTCGAGCCGATCGATGTATGGAATTACTTGGTCAGTCTAAGTGAAGATGAGATAACCAAAAACTCAGAATCGCCAGATGACCACGTCAAACTTAAACACTTCAAAGATGCCGACTTTGATCACAGTTGGGACGCGGCCCCGGTTCATCTCGGCGACGGCGCATCTTATTCCGTTGATAAAGTGACTCTAAGCATCAAAAGAGATGATGGGAATCCTATCATTGTTGCGGTCAAAAAGATTAACTTATTTGGCAACTCTGAGTCTCGAAGTGATTGGAGTGCCGCGACGAGACACCGTTCTGTCGCGACGGTCTTGAAGGAGCTCCGCATTCTCGCGATTCCATCCATCGAGGAGCATTTGAATATCGTCTCTATGTTGGGATTCAGATCTGAGTATACGTCGACATCCGCTCAGAACAGCACCAATGTCTCCTTGGTCATGGAATACGGCTCACACGGAACCCTCAGGGACTTTTGCAAAAGCCATTCAGATGACGACACCTTCGACCTAGCGGCCAAGGTTCGGTTCATGCATGACATAGCCAGCGGACTGGCTAAGTTACACAGCTGTGGCATTGCCCATGGAGATATCAAATTGGAGAACACCCTAGTCTTTGACGGGAACAAGGGGCAGTTGGTAGCAAAGCTGTCAGACTTTGGGCATTCGATCGTTGATCTATACGATTCTGAAGAACCGCAGGGGATTTATCTTGGTACACCGCTCATGAACGCTCCGGAGGTGAGAACTAGACGTCATGCTCTCCACCATGCACAAGACTTCTTCAAATGCGACATCTTTTCGTTCGGCTTGTTGGTATGGGAGCTTCTTCTAGGTGGGAAACATTACTTCGCCACACTGCAAAGCGTTGAGGATGCAGACGACAGCATGGACATGATGACATATTTATGCAACCTTCCAAAAGACGAACTTCTTCTCCAGAGTCTGAAATACTTGCAAGGGGTGTCTGAGAAGAATGAGGCTTCCCTGATCCAAATGATCAGCCGAACTTTGCAGGCGTCACTAAGAGATGATCCCGAGCGAAGGCGTGGTATAGAGGTCATTCTCGCCTTGTTTCGACAGCACAAATACTTGATCAGAGATGACTGGATGTAGGTACAAGATATTGTTTAGCTGAAGCGCATTATTACTGACGAATGCTTCAGGGGGCAGGGGATTGGCTCTTTCGCCATCAATTCACCACCAGATTCGGCCCCTGGTCCGAGTTCCGGAAAGGCTTTGACAACTAGGTCGGTGAGTTATGAATATCAGCTAACCCCCGGGTCTTTTTGATGTATGCTGACCGACAAGACCATTCCCCGAATGCCACGTATCATTCAAACCGACTTTGTGGACCAACTCCAGCGCACCTCAAGGGATGCTTCATCGCTATCCGAAAAGCGCTCTGCTCTCTTCGAATTAGCCATGTGCTACATCCACGGGGTTGGCACAGAGAGGCCGGATTTGGGCAAGGCACTCGATCTGCTCACGGAGTCTGCGCAGCTTGAGAGTGCAAAAGCTCTTGGGCTTATCTTTCGGCTTTACGATGTCCTCGGAGTCGACCCCCCGCCTCACTTGTGGCAAATACCTCATCAATTCGTTGAGATCGAAAAGGAGTTATTAGGCATCAAAATCGATGACAACTTTGTCAGGCGGCTTCGTTTACACGAGAGATACAAACAGCGAGATAATCTGAATCGTTCTTTCGACATCCTATACGACGGCAACCCCATAATCGAAGGCATATCCTTGGATCGTGTTGAAGAAGGACTGAAACGTTTGAGTTTGAGAGACATTAGACTCGAAGATTTGAACTGTATCTCTCAGCCAGGGGACTATGACGGTATACCAACGCGAGAGAGTCTCCTCAGTGTTGCTGTGCGCCAGGGCATCAAGCCTCTGGTCGAATTTCTGCTACATTCAGCGGCCTCTGGATCAATCAAAGCGAGAATAATCTGGACAGACAGTCTGCTTACGATTGCCTGTCAGGGAGGTCATCTCAATATTCTCGAGCTCCTCCTTTCAAAGGATGTGCCGACGCGCCTCACCGAGAGCCATCCCGAAACACCCTTTCACTGGTTGAGCATGTTTGAGCCTGAAGAGGTCGAGTCTGCCATGAATCTGCTTTTGAGCAACAACAATCTCAAAGAAGATCTAAAAGTCAGCGTATTTAGCCCTGGCATTGAAGTGGGAAACTGCTTGTTTCTTGGCACCGCGCTCGAATTTGCCATTGCCGCGAACAATGGTCCACTTGTTGACCTGTTCATCAAGCGCACATCGAAAACCTCCTCCAACTACCAGCTCCACACAATTGGATGGACTCAGAACACATTTTCTTTGGCCTGCTCACTGCATCTTCATGGCTTGATTCCAAAATTACTGGGCCTAGAAGAGAACTACCGTGCGACACAATGGACAACCCCATCAGCTCAGTCGTCTAGTCTCTTCGGCCTTCTCCATCCCCACGACGCTCTTCTACCACTCATGATCCATGGCCAGATGTTGCGAGTTGCACTCGACTCTACAATCGACCTACTGATTCAGAATGGAGCTTCTTGTGCTGAAGAGGATCGACGTGGGTCATCCATACTCATGAAAGCCTTGAGCGCTGCACCGTGCAGATTCAACACCGATCTGCTACTGGCCCTTATCGATCGCGGTGCACGCTGTACAATTCGCGGCAAAGAAGAGCCGATGAATGCCGTCGACCGCATCTGCAAAAGGGAAGACCGCGCCGGACCGGCCATAGTGAAGCTTTTGCTAGAAAAGGAGGTGCTGTCGCCAACGATTGACAATTTGGCGATCGCTTTAAAGGAAGGCAACACTGCTGTTGCATCCGTATTCCTCGATTTCGAAAGTGATGGAAAAAGAATCGGCGCCAATGATCCTTTCGTAGCTGGTGACGCGTCTTTGTCCTTACTTTTCCTCGCGACATCATCCGGAAATGCATCCACCGTCGAACTTCTCCTAGATCACGGAGCCGACATCAATTCCAAGTGGGGGGAACGAACGCCCCTGGAAGCGGCAATCAGTTTGGAGAAGTGCAACGCTGAGACCATTGATCTCTTAATCGCCCGGGGCGCGACTCTAGTATACGGCAGCTTCTCCTTGCTACATCGTGCAGCTTCACTGGCTTCTCGGGTCAATGGTCACCATGTTCTGTTTCATCTCCTCAGAAACCCACAGATCAGAGATTTGATAAACACCGCGACCAATTTCGATGATGAGAACCCTGACATCACGCCTCTTAATATGGCAGTCTATTCCGGAAATCCTGGCGCGGTTCACGCCCTCCTCCAAGCCGGAGCTCTTGTCGAGACAGGAGATGCGCTAGATCGGATTTTGCGACTCGCGGTTAATGTTGGCCGACGTCCTCAGACCAGTCCTTTATGGGAAAATAGAAGCATCAATGCAGGGAGTCTCTACAAGTGGCGCTTAGACATGGAGAACATCATCATTGCCCTGCTAGGTAAAGGAAAACCAGGTCACAGGAGGAGTAGTCTTCACATTGCTACTGAGTTGAACAACCGACCAAGAGTTATAGAGCTAGTCGAACGTCACGGCTACCGCATCTTTGTTGGAGATAAAGAAAAGCTCCTGCCTACAGCATACCTAGAAGACATCGAAAGTTTGAGTGGGAATGGAGACGAACCGGAGTACCTAGAGAACCTGCGGCTACTCAAGGAGTACATTCAAACTAAGCTACTTGAAGAAATAGCACGGGATTCAGAGAAACCAGAGTTTATCGAGAAGATGCTGGAGGATATCTCAGTCGAAGACGACACAGACCTTAGCAATGAGGATGCGAGAGTCACTCTTGAGAACACTCTCTCAAAACTCGAGACTGAACGGAACGAAATCCATTTGTCTTTGGGTGATGGAGTCGAAACACCTTGGGAAAGGGAGATGGCATTGAAGACTTCTCTCGAGACGCAAAGACAAAGACTGGGAGCCATTCATCTCACAACTTTAAAGACCGCAACTATCCTATGCGACTTGCTCGCATTGCTTTACAGGTTTGACGAAGCTGCGCTGCTCAATCAAGAAATCCTCGCAGGCAGAGAAGCCCAACTACCTTCGGATAGTCCAGAGCTTTTTGAATCCTTGCTAGACCGGGTCTGTGTCCTTGCAGGTCAAGCCAAGGTTCAGGAAGCCCAAGAGGATGCTCAACGCATTCACCAAAAGGCAGTTGACACGTTCGGGATCACTCATCCCTTGACGCTCAAAGCAGAAGCTTTTCTGGCCTGTACATACTCCATTCTTGGGCAGCTCGACCTTGCTATATCCATGGCAGAAGGAATCTTGAAGGCCTACGACAACCATGACCTGGACGAAGACGAAAAGTACGAGGGCTATAGACATTCCTTGCTCGAGCTGAGATGTAACCTTGCCGTTGACTACTGCAGAGCCCAAAGGTTCAATGACGCAGCAGAAATAGCGAGGACCTTGCCATCTTCGCTTCTTTATGTTAGGAGAAGTGAGTTTTTCCGTACGTTCGACGCAATCATTAACGTTGCTGCCAACTTCGAATTCTATCAGCGATTTGAGGATTCCGACTCTATCTATCGCGACATAATCAGAATCTGCATCAAGACGCATGGAAAAAAGAACGCGTACTGCACCCGGCTTGCCTTAGAGAAGCTTTCCAACAGCTACCAGTCCCGGTGTTTGTGGAAGCAAGAGTCAGAGACGCGCCAGACGCTGGTTGAAGTTCTTAAATCGGCATCGAGCGCGGCAAACCACGAAGTATCAACTCAAATGATCAACCTAGCCATCTCACTGAAGAATGAGCAGCGTTTGGTTGAAGAGAGCGTCGTTCTCGAACAGATTCTCGAAGGGTATGAACTCTGTCTCCAGCCTGACCCTATGAACACTTCCCAAGTCAAGGTCATGCTGTGCACGAATCTAAGGAAACAGAAGCAGCTCGACCGGGCGGAGCAATACGGGCGTGAGGCTCTTGGGGAGTATCGGGCTCGCCTTGGTCAGGAGGACGACACAACTGTCATTGCTCAATATGAGCTTGCCTCAATCATGCTTCTCTCACATCAAGACAAGATTCATGATGCTATTCAGCTTCTACAACAGAATATGGACATCGTGGCTCGCAAGTTTGGCGAAATCCACCCAGAAACTAGGGCTGCAACTTTGCACTTGGCCAAAGCTTACATTAGGGCCAAACGCTTTGGAGAGGCTGAAGAGGCAGCACACCAGTGTATCAAGATCAGCGGCGAGGTGCCAGAGTCCGGCAAGGCTTTGGAGCAAGCATATCATTATCTCGGATACGCCAAAGAGCTTCAAAATGAACTGGACGAAGCGAGCACCTTCTATAGAGCCTCTATTGAAATAGGGCTTGACAGTCGCGATGGGGTGCACTCAGATGATTCACTCTATACTATGAGGCTCTTGGCAGCAATCCACGTTGGAAAAGAAGACTTCGAAGAAGCTGAGACTCTTTTGCTGGAGATCTTGGCAGCTTCTCCGCAGGTCTATGGGACAACCCGCCCTGACATGGCCTGTCGCGTCCACCATCTACTGGGACGGGTTTACGAAAATACCGATAAGGCCCAAGAGTCCGTCCAGAATCATACTTTAGCAGTAGATCTGGCTCGTGAAGCACTCGGTGAAGATGCAGAGGAAACTCTGTGGTTTACGGAAAGCCTCGTCAGTGCAAAGGTGGCGACTCGGTCATTCCGAGAGGCACTCCAGCTTGCTGAAAAGCTTCTGGCACATTCCGAGGAAGAACTCGGCGAATTCCACGAACTCTCGCTCGCAGTCAAGCAAAGCCTTCTCATCGTATACCCAGAACTAGGAATGTGGCCAGAGTCAGAGCGCCTCCATCGGGAATTCCTCCACTCTTTCGAAGAAACTGGGGCTGCCTCCCCCGACGAATATGCCTTTCTCTATCGAACCCTATCAAAGGCATGCACCAAGCAAAGCTTCCACTCCGACGCTGAAGTTTTCCTTTCGAAATTCTGGGAATGGTATCAGAAGAGCGAACCAGACACCGAAGAAGAAATGATCGAGGTTATGGCCGAGTTGGCACGAGCCTATGCAAGGACGGAAAAGTTTGAGGTTGCAAATCAATTCATATCCCGCATGCAGGCCACAAGCGAGGCTCTCTTCCCTGAAGATGACTATGACTATGAGGATGAGCGGGACATTCTTTGCGCATCCGCGCGTGCAGATGTCATGTTCCAGGCAGGTCAACGGGAAGAGGCTGCAAAGTTGAAGCAGAGATATGTCGACCTTCAATCCACCGACTTGGATGGAGTATTCGCCTTATTGGACATGTACGAGACAATGGGTGAGTATTCCAAAGCGGCTGAGGCTCTACCTTTAGCCATTGGCGCTGCTTGGATCCTCAAGACGCAGTCAAGCCCTGAGGTTCACCAAGTGGCGATCGTCAAGGTTGCTACTTATGATTCGAGGATACATACAGCAATAGGCGATTTCGAACTTGCCCAAGAACAGGCTACTTTGGCAGTGAATCGAGCATCAAGGTGGGATCTCGGCAACTTCACCTACGCCGAGACATACCGAAACGCTCTCCAAGGCACGATGACTTTATATGGGACACTCGGACGGGACAGAGAGAGGGAGGAGACAAGACTCAAGGTGAGTAATGGTCTTTTGCTTGGGATACTTGCTCTAGCTAAACATTTTATGCAGCTCATGAAAGAACTTCGCCGACAGGAAGAAGCCAGGGACAATCACTTGGACGAATTGGCACGAAATCGAGTGAAGGTAAAAAGCTTTTTGACAGGAATGCTTTCAGTATCAGACCCTTAGTAGTCTGGACAGGATATACGGGAAGGCTTGATGTGACTTTTTGTTTTTCTGTTTCTTTACATCTGCCCTCGTTTCGACGTCCGTTTCCTTAACCCTGACGCAGTTACGTTTTTATCCAGGTAGTATAGAAACTTCTCATTCGCCTTCTACCTACTTACTCCAGACTTCTTGGCCTTTTTTGTGACGTATGTAGTACTGTAAAGTTGTTGAAGTAGGTTAGTTCATGGCCTTGTTCAAGATTTAAAGAGTTGATAGTCGAATGGCTTGCTTGAGTACCTAGTCTACTTGGTCCTACTTTAAGAGTCCTTCTACAAAGCTACCTCTAATACTCCTCGCAAATATTTCCTCGTCCTGAGATTAGACAGAAGTCCGTTCATCCAACTACTCAGGAGTAGTCTAAGGTAAGGTAGTCTGAAATAACTGAACACTACCTTAACGTCGTTCGGGTTCGGAAAGTCGAACAAAAGTCTCCACCCAAACCCAAAATCCCGATCCCGGACCCCCGCAATTCCACCTACGGCCTCCGAGCCCGAACCCGAACTTCGCGGCCCGTACCTCCATACTCTCTCAACCAAGCACATTGGTAAACACCAACTGGACCTAGTCGAACATCCTAATATGAGGCATATTCTGCCTGCATGCTGCTCTTAAACTGGCAGAGCTATTATTCGAAGGATCTCACTTGCACATGAACTCAGATGGCTGGTTCTCCGACCGCCCGAACAATCTCACGTAAGACGCACTTCCCGAACCAAGTGCAATGAGCCTCCACGATAGCATACCGTCGATAGCTTTCGAAACTAGGAATCTGGCGACTGCATTGATTGGATATGGTGAACTCGCGGGGTCGGCTTGCAGGACAAAAGTCTTACCTACCTACTCTTTCTTATTCTGGCTACGCCAGTTGCAACTCGCGCTAACGCTGACACATGAACGGGGAACGCTTTCAGGTCAACGTCTGACAAAGAAACCCCGCCAACATCATCACACACAACGCAATTAAAGACGGAATCGAACCCGTCTACATTGTGACCTCTCTCAATCGAACTCACATAACCCATCGCACCATCTCCCGTAACTCTAAAGCCAACCGCCAAAATGCCCTACTTCACCCGAAACCCCTCCTTCAACCTCTTTTACCTAGACGAAGGACCCCGCACGGCATCCCACACAGTCCTCCTCATCACAGGCCTCTCGTGCGAAATGCACGACTGGTCCTGGCAGGTCCCCTTCCTCCTCTCCCACAACCTCCGTGTAATCTCCATCGACAGCCGCGGTCAGGGAAAATCCTCCGCCCCGGCGCCGGACCCCAAAATCCGCACCTGGCCCGGCGTCGCTCGATCCGCCGACCCGGATGTGATAGACTACTACCCGCAATCTACAGCCGAAGACATGCTCACGCTGCTATCACACCTAGGCATCACCAAAAACCTCATCGTCATCTCGCACTCCCTGGGTGAAGCGGCAGGGTACTACATCGCCACCACTCATCCGGACCTCGTGAAAGCATCCATCGGCGTGGATCCCATTCACGCCTTCTCCAACGCCGTCCGCGAACGCGACACCTACCTCTTCAACGACCCCGACGCCCAGGACAAAATCATCCCGACCCTCATCGAATTCTTCGGCACGTACTGCTACTCCCCCGAATGCCCGGCCTGGCAAAAGACGTGGCACCTCCGCCGCATGGCACAGTTCGACAAAGCCGTCATGTACGCGCTCTGCTGGGGCGGCTGGGGCGACGCGGAGAGCCTGGGCAGGCAGGAGAACGCAGTCAAGGCCTTTGCGGGAAAGCTCAAGTGCCCGCGCCTGACGCTGGGTTCGAACGATTGGTATGTTGGCACTGATCGTGATCATCTGCCGAAGGGCGATGAGGCGCTGGATGAGATTGTGGTGATCGAGGGCAAGGGCCACTGGTTTCATCAGCTCGAGAGCGAGGAGTTTAATGGGCATTTGGAGAGATGGTTTCAAAAGATCGGCGTGCTGCCGGCGGTAGAAGCTGGCGCGGCATCATGAGTGCAAGGTCGCGCCCCAGTTTCTAGTCAAGCGTGTTGCGTGGTTTGGAAAGGGCTCAGGTTCAAGTGCCGGCAGCTTTCATGGTGTACGGACTGTCGGCCGCAACGTGGACGGTAAAGGGTCCTTCACGGGATGGTGTGGGACGCACCGTGACGGGGCTGTGAGAGGGAACAGCCGGCCCCATTCTCGGCCCTGCTTCTCGTAACCTTAAACAACCTTGATCTCGCCTTGAACCCAGGCATAAACAAAATAAAGGGGTTCGCTTCCTCACGAGTCTGTGTCGTGCATCCTGGCATGTAGTTGACTAGTTGTTCTGTAAACGAGTCAAACTTCCGTCCATTGAGTTATCCGGCAATTGGGATTTCGAGTACACATGACTTGGGATGGAAGTGATGTCTTGTCAGTCCTGCCGACGGAAGCGGCGTTAGGCTTTCACGGGATGGTGGTCGAGTCCGTCACCGATGGAGTATGGAGCCAGTAGCCGGCGCTGTAAAACGATGGCCGGTTGACTGATATCGGAAGCGCGATAGAGTTGGGCGTGTAAGAGCCGCTCATCGGGGGCATCGCCGAGTCCCCGCAGTCCCGGCCAGCATTGCCGTCAAACGCCGGCACGCACTTACTGTTGCGGCGTCAAACAGCAGCAGAGGCGGGGATGGTTCATGGAGGAGGGCGAGGCGGGCTTCCAATGTGAGGAAGGTGGCTGGAGCGTTTTGTGTGTGAACAGACGACTGGGCAGCAAAACGGCAACCCGCCGGCGGCGGTGCAGTGGCCGTGAGAATGCCGTCCGTCCAATGAGGTGTGTCATGTCGCATGAATAACTTGCCGACTAAGTCCGTCGGCGATGAGGACGGCCTGTGGCGGCCCTGTCTAGGATCCCGTCGCGAACTCTGGACGAGTCCGCTGCCGTCCCTCTCCATGGTTGCGTTGCGAGGATCCGAGCTCTTCGCTTCTTCTCATGTGCGTGCCGTCAAGGCCGGGGAAAGTTGGGGAAATTCGTCTGTGCTGCTTCATCCACGGAGAGGTCATACTCATGGGTAAGGGTGGAAGAGGATGAGGGGTTCAACATCAGACCCAAGCTCCTTTTTCTGCCCTCTTCCCCCTCCCAAAATCCCAACGCAACGGCTTCTCCCCCACCATAGCTATGAGGGATCTTTGACGTCAGCTTCTATGGCTCAAAGCCTGTGTCACCTTGCCGCTACAGGTTTTCCATGGGGTGAAAGGCATCTATTCTCGAGTAAGTGAGACTGCTTGATCCTTGAATCACCGAATGAGATGCAAAGGGGATCTCGATGTTGGTGTCAGCTCGCACTATCAGCTGCTTTCTAGAGCCCCATGGATGATAGTTGGGTCGTACAGATGGTGCCGTTAGCCAACTCTGGTAAACTCCGTACCTGATGTATAAACATAATCATTTGGCCTAGTAGGAAATTCTAGCCACCCAGTGCCTGGCAAGGTTCGACAAGCCTCGATTTCATATGAAATGCCGCGTTTTGGCATCCGAGACTTTGCCATCCATCCATCCAACTGAACAGACTTTGCCATGGCTGAGCAGACTTCTATTGGAAATAGTAGCAATGGCGTCTTGGCTCGTCGTGGCTTGTGGATCCAGCGGCATCGTATGCCGCAGATCATCTGGCCGCTGTCAGGGTCCAACGTCCTGCAGCTCGATGAGAGCACGCGCCAACGGAACAAGACCCTTTTAACGCGTGTGAGTGATTATCTAGCAGGCAAAAACCCTGATGCACGGAATCAGGGTGTCGTCTGTGCAACTTAAGCCTCATGTTCAAGTCTGAGCTCAGAGTTTTCGGCCTTAGACTCGGCGTATCATGGGTTCCTTTGACACTTCGGCCTGCCTTCTCCATACGGCTAGAATTGCAGGTTTGGTATTGGGGTCAGCATCCCTCTGCGCCGGCAAAGCCTGTCCTCAATGTCGAATTGCTGACGACCATCTGTGGGACAAGTCATTCCACAGTAGTATTCTCAACGAGAGAGAAGAGCCAACGAACAAAGACAGCTAACCACCGGAACTTGCCCCGGAGGATTCTTCGAGGACGCTGTGTGAGACATTGGGCGCTCTAGTAACAAGCGCGGCGCGCTACTTGTACGCTTTTAGAGTTTGACCGGTTCGGGGCAGGTCAAAGTGACGTCTCAGTCACGTCCGCCACCACCGGACGGACACCAATAGGCTTTGTCCTGAACCAATTCACCGAGGTCGTTCGCCTGGCCTAGGGGCTACTGCACGCGCCGTGTTCGCCCGCGTTGCCAAGGATAGATGGTTGGTCGACCTCGACTACATGGGATATGCCGCTACGGCTACGAGCGATCTTAACCGGGATCAGCCAGATCAAACATTCTCCAAATTTCCACATTTATCGTGGGTAGCTTCCCCAACCTTTCCAACACGATTTGACCTCTTCACATAGCTTCAATGTTCGCAACTTCCCTTCAGGCGCGTCAGCTTTGGTCCTGTTGGAGTGCTGCTGATGAAAGAGTCGCTCGAATGTCGAATCCACACCACCGCTGGATTGACGAGACTTAGTCGCCATGGCCAGTTTGGCCAAACCGCAACAGGGCCACTCGAGGGTCGAGGAGAAGCGCATGACGGTAAGCTTCGGAGATCCCGGCTATGAGGATGGTAATGGCCCATGCTGATTTGAGAGTGAAGCGCGACGGCCCCAAACCACGTAGAGCATTCCTCTCTGCGTCCCAACAACGACGGTCTTCCGGATACCCAGCATCATGGACATCTAGATGGAAACACCGTCAGCAACCTCCGCCAACCCGAGTCCATTGTGAACAGCAGGACAGCTCACCCGGGCCACTGGTCCTTGTTCGAAGAGAATCCTCACAAACACTGTTGGATCCTGAAGAGGAGCCGGAACTAGTCCTTCCAAAGTCCATCCAAATCGGCCCAGAAGTTTTGTCTGTGAACCGCTTCTACACAAACTATGCCGCGCAGGCGAGTATTTTGATATTCAGTCGACTTCCCGAGTACTACGACGTCGATCTATCCGATGCGAGCCACGCACGACACGCCACACACGCTGTGGCTTTAGCGAGTGCATCTCGATCTCTCCGTCAATCAGGGCTCATGGTCGAAGCTCGGCGACATTACGGCAAAGCCATTTCGACTCTAAACCAAGCTCTTCAAGACCCAGTTGCAGTGCGAGACGATGCCAACCTCGTCACGTTGTTTCTGTTCGGCATGTTTGAGGTAAGCTTGGGTTGGCCCTTTCGAAGTTGACGCCTATTGTGTTTTGGACTTCTCCCCAACTCCGAGGTACTCTAGATACCTTAGCTAAACCCAGCAGGTCATCAATGGCAAGCGAGGCACAAGCACGATTGACTTGCAAGAAAACGTATTCCCCCATGGGGCTGGAGGCTTGCAGTTGTTCAAGTTTCGGGCAGACCATGGCTTGACAAACGAAGTCGACAAAGCCTGCTTCACCTTCTTCTGTCATGCGGCAGTGAGTAGGGTTGATTATTCCGTGATCAGCACCCCAGCTAACTTTTCTGTGTCAAAGTTGATGGAGATGTTCATACAACGAGACCACTTGACGCCTCTATGGTCAATGCTGGAAGAGGTAGAAACTCCGTGGGGCAAAGGTCCAGTTCTCGAGCCACTTGTCAGACAAGTGGTCGATTTCAAGAGAGCCTTTGACTTCAAGGTGCAAGTCCAAGGTAACTTGACCAAGTTAACCGAAAGTCCCCCGGAGGATTTGCTCGACCTAATCCGAAACGGCATCGAATTGAGCAGCGATCTTGAGGCAGCCGTCGCGTTCCTCGGTTTCTCTGGCGCTTCAACATGTTCCGGGCAGCAGCAGAAGGTGTTCAACGGTCTGTTCTCACTGTCGTCTGAGTCATCCGTTGCTATCGCGCGAAGTCATTATCGTTCGCTTCGTGTATACCTTCTAGAGAGGATTATCGAGTTACGGAACATTCTAAAGGAGAGCAGCGGCAAAGTCGCCACTAGCTTAGGTCCTATGCCGAGTTGGTCGGATGGTGTCTCTGTCGTTGAAGACATTCTCGAAGATATCCGAACAGTATTCGGCCTAGAAGGGAAGAAAGAGGCGCCGACCGAGGGTATTGCTTACAGAACCATGACAATGTTCTGGCCAATGGTTATGGTACGGACCTCATGTTTCGCAGGTCCTCATAATGGTAGGTGGGTAGCAGAAAAGATGCTGGAGTTAACCACGGAATCGGGATTTGGCCTTGGTGTGGAAGCTGCGAGTGCTTGAAGGCATCGCATCACATCACCGAGGCGTTGCACTGTGGAGATAGACTATCGGTCAAGTTTATCGGACTTTTTTCAAACCCTTTTCTGAATGGCCTTCAGCTACATGGAAAGGTATTCGGAAAGTGGACAGAACGACTGGGAATTTCACGAAGCTAGGAAATCGGGCACATGAGAATGCATGTATGTTGGTCACGGACTCACGAGTCATGGTCGGGATATGGGTCAGAATTCCTCCCATGGTGATGGGGAATTTACGAATAATTAAGATACCATTAATGTTTCAGAATGAGGGCAAGGATGGGTACATATTGGGAACCTCGAGCTATGGTGATTAACATATCGAAGCGTGTTTTTGGGAGTCGTTGCAGGCAGTGATTCATCGTGAGTTGGTCGACAATGGCCATCGTGCTCTTGCGCTGCTTTCTTCGGGCAAGCCTCAGACGAGGCAATGCGAGCTCCAAGTGGTTGGCAAGCTCAAGCATCTGAGAATCGATTTGGCAAAGACCACCCGGTTCATCAGGGTGGATAGTGAGTCTTAGACTGACGTTGCTACGACGAATAGTGGTTCGCCGGTTGACTGCAGCGAAGGAAGCAAACAAGCCGCACGAAAGCAGGGAAGGGGTCGAGTGATTCTGGCAAACTTAGATGAGGACGACGAAGCCGGCTGCTCAAGAAGGGAGGCAGCGACGCGCAGGGTTTGAGCGCATGCCCTTTTTCACAGCAAACTGCAGACGCCACATCGAGACCTGGTGGTTGAGGGAGAGGAATGGCGTGACTCTCAGTGTTGACCTAGGGAGACCTTGCTTGTGTATCTCGGCCGTCGGAGTGATTTGGAGAGAGTGTTGGGTGAGCGCAGAAACTTGAGGGTCGCTACCGGTACGAGTCGACAACAAGGGTACGGTGGGTTGGTTGGGGAGTCATAAGCGACAGTGCAGGATTGCCATTCTACATCGCACGTGGAGATCACCTGGCGTCTCCAGTATCAGGTACCTGTAAACCGATGTCTTTTGGCATATGTCCCGCTCGCAACCGCTTAGGCTGGTGACCGTCGCGCTGAGATGATCTTACGTGCGTTGGTCCAATCCGTCGGTCGTCGCTCGTTGGCTAAAAGACTACAATGCAGTCAGGCGGGATGCATTTGTAAGAGAAGAGCACGCTGGCGATTGGATCGCTATCGAACTCTGCAACACCCATTGCGAGTCCGCATCTCGCTTCTGTCCTGGCCCGAGATGGACAGGTAGGAGAAGCAGGTCCAGCGCAACGAAGCTGGGCAGAGCCTTGAGCAACTCGAATTTCCCATGAGAGCGTTTGCCGTATTTCTCGAGTCTGGTCTGAAAGTTTGATCATGGGTCTCGAGCTCGAGTAGGCAGTTCGTTCGGTCTCCAAAGGCTATCCCGGCAAACCAAAGAGTAGGTGAAGGAGCGGGCTGTGATCCGTGATTCGTGGAGACAAAGTCAAGTCCAGCCCGCGATAGGCAGGCAAACAACAGTGCAGTACACTTTGGAGTCTGGTTGGGCATCGTAGTGAGGGGTTAGTCGTTTGCTCTTGCTGCGCCGTTGAACCTCATCTGCACCTCCACGCATCCACGTTGTATTCGTAGTCCATCACATCAGTTGATATGGGCGAGAGGGTGTTCCCCATCACTGCGTCCCAGGTTGCTGGCACTTGTCGATGCAGGCTGGTCCCTGTGGCATCGGTGTGGTGTTTTGCCTCTATTTTCGGTTTGCTGGCCTGCTGGCAGCTCAGCCATCCGTGGTGGGAGCCCCAGCTGCGGCACAGCTGGATAGACAGTGCATATCAGGCAAACGAACGCATACAAGATTGGGTGCAACGAGTCCAGGCTCCAGGGATGCAGAGGCCAAAATAGGTGACTTGGCTAGGCAATCTCGTCAATTCTCATATCCAGAGCAGTCTAGAGGGAAGAGAACAATGACAAAACCCTTGAACTCTCAAAAAGAAGATCGGACCATGAGCCGTCGGTGGGTCTCTTGTCTCAATTTGTTCATCTCCAATCAATGGCTTTTTGTATCTCGATAACCGGCCACGAGGTGAGGGATCAACAGCAACGATTCGGATCCGTCAACTTTACCGTGAACTATGTAGAAGACCGCACCGTGTGCAGGATGATGACGCCTCAGGGCCACATGCTCCGACCGATCTGACCGACAAAACGGCGGGCTGCGTTGGGAAATGCAAGATGCTAAGGAGGATGACGAATGAAGTTTCGATATTTCGGCCGTTAACGTAGCCAAGTCGTTAAGCCACGCTCACGTCCGCCCGGGAAATAAAGTGCGTCAGGACGGGCGGTCAGAGAATCGGAAGGCTGCCAGGTTGAAGCGGTGGCCTCGCAGGTAAAAGGAGTTGAGGTAGTTATGCGGTGACCAGAAGAATTGATGTCTTCCTTCTTCCATTTCTTTGCGGTTTCCCTTGATCTGCTATGGATACCTGAGGTTGCCATGAGGTACCTTACCTCAGGGAGGCAAGAAGTGGGAGTTGGCAGGAGGCAGGAGGCAGGAGGCAGGATGTGGAGCCACTGAGGCAGGAAAGACGTACCTGGGGTCCAGCCAAACGTGACTCCCTCCTGCACTGTGAGCCTGGAAGTGTGAACTGAGCGGAAGGATCGAGTGCCGCGTCTCTCCGTCTCGCGAGTTCATCCCGTTCGCCTCATCTCTCATTTTATCCAGGATTAAACGAATCGACATTTCATCCAAACTGAGATCCAGACAGGCGGTCATCCGATCAACGTCTTGGGGCGCACATCCAACGGGTACACTGCCGCCACGGCGTGGAAGTGAGACACTAGGGCAGACAGATGATCGAGGGTGCGAGACATTGTACCCGTCTTACGTGCCTACCTTACTCGTCGACAATCTCCGTAAGGCGCATTTAACTTCTTCACCTTGCTTCGCTCCCTAAGGTAATGTGAGATAACCTCGGTCGCATCATGACCATACTGGACACTGAGGTGATCCCAATTGGGGCTCAGAAGAGATTGCTGGGTATTGGCACTTTATCTCTCACTTGTTCTTCTCGTTTCCGGAAACATCAGTGGCAAGCATCACTCATGTTAATCTCGTTCTCATGCTTTCATCGGGATCTCATTCTACTTACCAAGCTTCCCTTCCCTCTCCCTCGTCAATAATTCTCTTTGTTTGCCCGGACCACCTCTATTTGACTGCCACCTTGCCCAGCCCTGCCCAGCCCTGTGTAGAAAAGAGCCTTGCGTTGGCCTGTAGAGATATGTTTGTGAGGATGCATATCCGCACAACATGTCTGGCAGGGTCTCGTTGGCTGGCCTTCATACAGTGTGGCAGCCAAGATGATGCAGATGGGTTGGGGTTTTGTATCTCACTCGCCCTACAGATACTGTGCCCGAGATGTGCTCGCCGAACTGTCGTGCCGTCTTACTATCCCGCTGTCATGCCTTTCCGCCTTTTTCTCCCATGTAGATATCATCCATCACTTTCATCCCCAGTCAGTCCACATTCAGGCTACTGTATCCCATCTCACATCCTATCTCATACTACCTCAGCAATTCAGCGCCCCGCGCGGAAAAGGTTGCCAGCATCCAATATTCTGAAGGAACTTGTCCGGACGGCATTTCATCGAGGCCCGTTGAGGCAAGGTAAGGTAAGCCATCTACCTTACACATCCTCGGTCATCTCTTTCCTCCGTCTTCAACTCCACCTCCACGAATGGAAGACGGCACCTACTTCCCCAGAATAAGCTAGGCTCGTTCGTCTTGTACTTGCTTCCTCAAGCAAGGCTGTGCCAGTATCACACCTTCCCCGTTCTCATCCCTCGAATCCATCTCCACCGTGCCTTCCCTCCACAGTGCTCTGTTTTGACTTCATCTCTTGGCAACTGCCCCCCCTGAATGTATACGTTCTTTCTCTTGTCCCTTCCCTCCTTCTTCCATCCTCTCCTACGGTACTTCCCCTTGACCCCTGCCCCTTTATAGCGTTCATTCACTTCAACTCATTCGCGCAACCATCACATCCTGGATATTCCTCCCTCGTGTCGACATTTACAACTTGCAAGCCACAACTCTTTTGATATTGACGCCAGTTCCAATCAGAGAAGAATGCCGTAAGGTCTGCCTCGAATTGGAAACAGACACCGCTTCCCCCCTTCTCGTCTTTCGATCACCGCATTCAAACGTCTTTTGAAGTTTCTCTTGACCAAGCGCCCCCTGCCGCCTCAGAGAAGATCCTCTCGTACCCGTTGCCGCTCGCCATCGATCTGTCCGCCCATGTCCCTTCTTCTTCTTCGCCCGTTCTCGTTCGTGTAACATCTCCTTGCGTCGGCTCTCTTCCCCGTCCCAAGCCAGGATTTCCGCAGTCGGTCATCCACCTCAGTACCTCGACCAAACGTGGCTACCAGTCTGGGCTGCTTGAAATTAATACATGACCTCGCCTGCCCTTCTATCTCGACCTCTCGATTGTTTCCTGATCGAACACGCTCGAAACTCCTCAATCCGCTCCCACCTTCGCCTTCGCTGGTGCTGCAGAGGTCAGCAGCTCGTCACACAGAGCTGCCGTCTAGCAACACGGCATATCACTTTGGTCTTTGGGTCCTCGAGGCTTGTACTTCCTGTCGACCAATACTTTTCGTTGCTTTAGTCTCTCTCGGTTCTTATCAACTGGTCATTTCGGTTCTTCTCTGCGTCGCGGTCGCCACTTGTGCCACCTCTGCCGTCAGTTCGAGCCACGACCTGCGCTTCATATTTCGGTTCTTTCACATATACATCAAGGGGTCCGGGTCTCGCAGCATTGCAGACTGCATCTCAGCTGTTGGGATACGGAGGCAGGTATGCTTGCAGCTCTTTCCCAAGATGCCCTTCCCTGCGCAGGAGACAAAGATGACTAACCTCATGACCCAGCCGGTCTTCGAGTTGCTGCCTCGTTCAACAGCTCCATCACTTACCAAAGTTACCAAACTACGTCAAAGCGAAGGCCTTAATCATCAGTCAGATTCATGGACGGTCAGGACGGACCAGTTGCCAACATGGGTGGGAAAGTGCAGTCCCTCAGCCAGTCTCAGATCGACGTTATTATCGCCTTGGAAAGAATTGGCGCGTCCCTTTCGTTGGTCGGAGTCACCCTGATATTTATCACCTACTGGCAGTTCAAGCGCATTCGAAGTGTTCCTAATCTCTTCATCGTCTTCGCGTCTTTTGCCAACGTTGGTGCCAGCGTTGCCTGTGCCATGGGCTACGACGGCATGCGAGCTGGAGCAGAATCCGCTCTGTGTCAAGCACAAGCATTTTTGCTCGAAATGTTCGTCTTATCCTTCATGGTTTGCCTTCTTTTGACAATCATTGCTGACGGCTTAATGCAATAGGTTCATGCAGTCTGATCCGTGGTGGTCTTTCGCCATGGCTGTCAACGTCTACCTCGTTTTCTTCGCCGGTGCCAATCCTTCTTCCTTCCGACGCTATATTTGGGTTTACTGCGCTATATGCTTTGGCTTCCCCATGATTCCAGCCGTTGTTTGTCTCCTAGTCCGTCCTCGTGGCCCAGATGATCTTATCTACGGAGATGCCACAGTACGTAGATGGGTTTCTTCATTCTCGCCATGAAGTACGGTGACTAACATTCGCAGATATGGTGCTGGATAAATCATGACTGGTCCAAGCTTCGTATATTCACTTACTATATTCCCATCTGGACCTGCATTGTCGGGTCGTGCGTTATCTATTTTGCCGTCGGCTACCACGTCTTCCATCACCGCAATCAACTCCACAACCTCACCTTCAGCAACACCGGAAGAGACTGCAAAGACACGTCATGTTCGGATGAGCGAGACTCAGCAGAAAAGGTGCGTTGTCGAACAGCCAGGAGGTACTTGTGAAATGGCGTGAATTTGACAATTCTCAGAGCCTGACAACCCGTACCGAATTTTTCTATGGAACCGCTGTGACGGATATACAAATTACAACGATGGCACCCAGGCCTTGGACTCCTCAGGTGCCTTCCATAGCCATTACAAAGGGGTCGGACGACCAACAGCCCCGACATCAACAGTCATGGCGTACGAGTGAAGAAGATGGACACTGTACACCAAGCCCTCGCTTCGAAACCACATGCACATCAGACCCCCCGCCGCCAAAGCCCCGTCGATCTGTCTTTCAGCGGATTGGGCGCGTTGGTACAAAGTTCTCTGCCAGGTTGGATCGTCTAGATCCTGTCAAGCTTGCATACCTCAGAACCAGTTTCATCTTTGCCATCTCTGTTTTGGTGACATGGACACCAAGCTCGATCAACAGAGTGGTCAATCTTCTCAAGCCCGAAGTTGTCAGCTTTGGCCTGAACGTCGCCAGCGCCACAGTTCTCCCGCTTCAAGGGGTATGGAATGCCGTCATCTTCTTCATGACTAGTTGGACGACTTTCAGAGAAGAGTGGAAAGATAGGGGTTGTCGTCACCAGGTCCGACTTGGGAGTTGCGGTATCGAAAGTCGCCAAGGCGGCGTAAGGATCGAGGTTCTTCGAAGCGATCACCATGACAGGTTTCGAAACGGTCGCCATGGGCACACGAAAGCTATCGGCAGCGATCAGACGAGTGAACTCGAGTTGACAGTCCCCTCGGGAGTTGGCAACGTCCGAGCAATGAGAGGATCTTTTAGTATATGATTTCGTCGATTGCACCTGGCGAAAGTTTATGGGCCTCAGAGGATGATCGTCATCTAAGAAACAGGGTGATTGCGAGGTGGTTGGGGATAACTCTGGATGTCAATATGGGAAATGCTTTGGGAGGGGGCGGAAAACACTTAAGCGGGACTTTTTTGACCGAGGAGGATACCAACATACATTCAAATATTACGGAAGATTTTGGAGTTGTATATTAAACGGAAGCGTGGCGGTCGGTCACGCGCGCGATCCAATTACTTGCACACTGCCTAACCATATCGGCGATACAATGTTAATCATGGCAAGATTCCATGCTGTTTTGATCAAACCATGGATGCCTTTGAACGTGGTCTCGGGCAAGATTCGCAGACAAAAGCGTTAGCTGTGGGTTTGTGGGGCCGAAGTTTCCAATGGCTCGACCTGTAGCTGCTTCTATTTGAATGATCAGCAGCTGGCGTCGTCCGTAACAGCAGGCATTCGAGTTGATCTCCCTTGGATGCGGGCATTAACTTCTCGCCAAATCTGCAAGACGGCAGGTGCGTCCTAGGAGGCTCATCTTTCGGATTGTGACAGGCCCACTTCTTCTCGGGCGGAGGTCAAGGTTGGGTGTTCGTGAGATAAGGTACTCGTTAGCCCGGAAAGCAACTGGCTCCGGCGCCCCACCACCTCCTGCCGTCCGGGCCGGCGCCGTACTCTAGGTCCGGGTTTCAGCAAACGAGTAGGTATGCATGCGAACACTCTGTGGAAAAGCATGCAGCGAAATTTGGCGCTCAATTTTTGGACTTGAACGTTGGGAAGTTCTGCAAAGTAGCAAGAGTTGGACTGGGGCAACGGATTATGTCCATTTGAAAGAAAATATGTACCTCGTCGTAAAAGTCGACGATGGATAGTAGGTAGATATACACAAGAAAATATGTGAAAATGGTGCGTGCTATATACAGCCAAGGTGTTTTCTCCATAGAGATTCGGTCCCTCTTAACCTCCAATCATCCTCATTCGCGGCATCGGCCTGCCAGACTAGACAGAGCCTAGTACACGGCGGGAACGAGCGAGTTGACGTAAATCTCGAGGTTCGCATAGCCGCCAGCACCGATCTTCATACCGTCCGAGGCATCATTGGGGTTCAGACCGTTGGCGGTCTCGTATTCATCGGGGATTCCATCGCCGTCGGTATCCTTCTTGGCCGTGCCGGCCGCGATGTCGCCCGCGCCGCCCATGTCAGCCTCATCGGAGATGAGCTTGCCTGATTTTCCGTAGGACAGGAGTTCTTTCACCAAAGCGGCATCAACGCTGTCACGGGCGATGGAGGCACCGACCTTGGCCGCGACGTGCGCGACGGCGTCAGCGGCGGAGAGGAGCTTTGCTGGGGCGGGGTAGTCAAAGGCGGTGGTCTGGATGGCCATGTTGGAGTAGCATGTCGTTGAGACGCAGAGGGCCGCGCCGTTAAGCACGCCGTCCTTATTGGAGTCGTAGAAGTTATCCTTGACGTAGCCGCGGAAGTTTGCGTTGCCGCGCGTGAAAGCCGTGACGGAGGTCGAGGGCCCGGAGATGAAGTAGTTCTGAATAATATTCGCGTAGCTCGCGCCCTCGGAGTCGCCCGCGATGTACCCGCCGCCGCCGCCCCAGTTGTACACGGCGTTGTTGATGAAGGAGTTCACGCCCTTGACCTTGGGGTTGCGCGTCTTGTTGTCAATGTAGAGGTTTCGGAAGAGGGAGACGCCGCCCTCGTTCGTCTGCATGAGACCTCCGCACGAGTGAGTCTCGAGCCCCTGACCGATGATGGAGTCCGCGATGGTGACATTGGAGACGTCGCCGTTGATGGAGAAGGTTTCGTCGCGGCCCCAGGAGACGGAGACGTGGTCGAAGATCATGTTTTTGCCGTCGGCGATGGTGATTGCGTCTTTGCCCGAGTCGCCACCCTTGCCCATGCGGATGCGGATGTAGCGGACGATGCCCTCGTTGGCGTTGGACCAGGAGAAGCCGTTTCCATAGACTGTGATGCCCTGGTGTTGATGTTAGTTTGGGTGCCATAATTTTGTTTCCTTGGTTTATGCGTCACTTACACCGCCAGGAGCTGTCTGTCCTGCAATGTAAACGTTCTTGGATACCACGATCCGGGCGTCAATCTTGATGACGCCGCCTACGTCGAAGACGACGATCCGGTTGGGTTGAGAGACGGCATCGCGGAGGGATCCCGTGCCGGAGTCACTGCAGTACAAAGACGAAGAGATTAGAGAAGCACTTCAAACATGGATAGCTGATAGCCAAGTAGAGTGAGTGCTTACTTGAGGTTGGTAACCTTATACACCGTTCCCGTCCGGCCACCAATCGCATTCCGGCCGAACCCTTCGGCGCCAGGGAAGGCGGAGGGGGCGGCGTCGGCACGTTCGACGACCTTGGCCGGAGTCACGGCAGTACCGGTCCAGCCGGCGGCGGGGAGGGCGGCCGCGCCTTGGTAGAGGATGGCGGCCGCGGCCAACAGTGTCGCGGAAGCCTTCATGGTGTGCGTTGGATCGTCGGAAGGTGGGAAGGTCGAAGCGAGTGGTGGGGGCTAACGTGAGAGAAAAGCGAAACGGAAGCGAATGTACCAGACAATCCCGAAACCAAACAAATGGGTTTGAATTGAAAAGAAGCTTGAAAAGAAGCTATAACAAGGGGGAAGCCGAAGGGATGGGAATGGATGGAACGGCACGCGTAGCAGGATAGCGACGAGATCTCCAAGACTTCAAGAGGAGAACCCAAAAGATGAGACGAAAAAGGGGACCTGGGTTTAGTTTTGTAGGTTTCGTTTCTTGGTCATGTTGCACTCTTGATGGACAGCTTCTTCGCGGTGATGATCCACCGGGATGGGTGGTGTGGTGGTTGCTCAGGGGGTCTCTCGCCTGTCACCACCCACCCCATGATCCATCTCGCCCTGTTAAGCTACGGGAATTGGAAAGGGGCGTGTATGCACATGGGGATAGAGGTCAGCGTTTGTTGGTGGTGTTGAACCATGCGGCGGCCGTAGATGCTGGTTCGGGGGTGCTTGACCGCACGGAAGTTAAGGTAGAAATGCAGAGAATTGTAGCTTCCTTGCGTATGTTGTATTATTCCGCTTCCATTCATCTAGTCCCGGTGATCAGCTCCCGATGTGAACTCACTTACAGAGTCTCTAGACGATTCAATACATTGAGCATATCCAGCCTGCCTGATTTGGACGACAATTGGATGTATCTGGAGACGATTGGTGGGAAATGGGCACAAAGTTTGAGCTCCCAAGGGGGGATGGCGGACGGGAGGCGTCCTCCGAAACGGGCAGAATTGGTGGGGAATCCCTGGTGTTTGGGTGATATTGAAGGGGCAGAGGACGGGGCCACTCGGGGCCGGGGTGTGATGGACATACGGCGGGCGGCGGAGGATTTTTGGCTTCTCAGGTTGATGATGGTGGCCGGAGAGTTGTTTTGGAGTTACATGGTGGACATGGGCTTTGTTTGTGAGATACGAGTGCGCAGAGTGCGAGGCTTATATTCCGTCTTTATTTGTGTGGAGGCCATGCATACCAGGTAAAGTAATACGGTGGAATAGCTTAAAGGGGGATGCTCTTCGGCCTTGCGCATGTTCCATTCCCATACTACGTACGCATACCCGGTACACACCTTTGGTGGTAAATGTGCAAAGTGAGATGCTGTATTAAGGTTGGATAGGGATGCTACTCTGCATCATTCGGCCGATGACTTTCCCACCTGTCAGACGTCATTCTCGATAGTGCTGTACATAAGTTGTCCAAGTCTGCGATGCGGCAATCGTGAAGACCGATAGCCTACAAGAAGGAGAGCCGATGGCTTGAAGGCTCTTCTCTCGTGACCTGGCTTTACTTTTCGACAGTCTGAAGGGGCAGGGACCAAATCGCTATGAAGCCGACACGCTTTGCTATCATCATCTCATCGACGCGATCTTGCAATGAGTGAGACCCCAAGCCATGACCTCAGGCGGCGTGCCTCCAATATCAAGGTTCACGGTTCAGATTCCGCCATGAGGGTTCATCACGCCTTACCTGCCATCCGATCTCACTTCAGACGCTGTGGCCAGTGATTGTGGCTCACACATTTCTGTGGCTGAACGAGACGTTCTCATTCCGACAACGTTCGGAATTTCACTCAATCTGATCAACCTTGACTCATTTGGTGGGATGTGAGTGAGCGCGGCGATTGGCCTTTTCGCCGAAAAAGCTTTTTCCACCTTGGGCATTTGCTTGGCAAGATCGGACAGCTCGTGCCGGGGGAAGCTTAGGGACCGTCTTGGCCCAGGCGAGTGAAACGGCAGCATGGCAATTGGAGCGCTGAGCAGCGCTAGGGAATTCCCAAAAAGACCGCTGAGAAACTACCATTATTTTAGATTCTAGAGTTGGGGAGCGGCGATGTCGGAGACAGGGGAGACGTTGCGGTCAAAACATGACACTGTGAGGAAAACCCTTTTCATTCTCACAAGCGCTGCGGTCACGCGCCGTTTGCGTGAGTCACGTGGCTGGAAGGATGTCGAGGTTCTCGACCGACTCAGTCTCCCTTGCACACACGCATACGCACGACACGTTGGTGAGGTTGGGGTAGTGAGACAGCATAAGGCGGGTGAGGAAGCTGGGGCACGTGTTCTTTAGACTTGGGTTTGTCGATCTCTCAGGCACGAGGAACAGGACTCATTGCTCTGCTGAGCAAATTGTTGGGAATCGACTGTGTTGATTGAGGCTACTATTTGATGCTCCTGAGAGAAGAGTTTGATTAAGACATTGATGCATCCGCATGAAGGTTATAGCTAGAGCTGATATGCGGCTCAAGGGCGTTGTTCAGGGCAGAAAGAACAGCGTCGAACGAATGCAGTGCAGGGTAGCTCGGTGCCTACGTCTGAGCTTGCCTTCACTAAGAGCATTGTAGAGTTGAGGTTTTGTGATGGCGGATGCTCAGCGGTTGTCTGTGTTTGTTCATCGGAAATTCCTGAATCCATGAGCCAGGTCTTTTCCGGGCAGTTTCCATTGATTACTTCAAGGTCGGGTACTGGGTAAGCGCAACCTGCCGGTGATAACGGCCTTTGCCGGTCGACCATTCGCACCTCGCCTACCCCTCACCTCGGCACTTGACGCCGTGAATTGCATCGTAGGCCTCCTGAACAGCCTCTTGTTGGAGATATTTGCCAATGCATACTTTTGTATCAAATTTGAGATATAAAGATATCAGATAACTAGAGGCTAGAATAATATGAACAATTCATTATCATCACTGACAAGGTAGGAAGCCCCGAAGGCGGAGATGCCGGGCCTGGAGCAATTCCGCAATGGTACCGGTCTTTCTCCGATGTGGCCGACGTACAGCCTCGCCAATCACAGAGTATCCCGCGGCGGGGTGTTTGGATGACTAAACCCTCCAGGTAAGGTAGCCCCGCTAACCCCTCGATGCGAAGCACCTGCGTCCCGCCCTGCACCACCAACTGCGACGAAGGCCGTAACGCCGCACTGCCGCAACGTTGTCCCACGCACCCACGCACCACACACATACTGCGTACGCACGCACTTCCCACTCCTACTCCCAGTCTCCCACTTCATTCCCTCCCCCGGCCTTTGCGCTTGTTCAGAACCAAAACGAGATATTTTACCCCCCCGGAAGAAGGGCAGTCTCAGTGTCATTCTTAACCTTAGTCACGCAATCCCCGACCGGAACACAGAAACTCCAAAACACACCCCTCAGCAACCAGAAACGTCCCTTTGCCCGTCGTCCCAAGAAAAAACTACAAAGGTCACTATTCAATTACCTTGACCAACGTCAACTGTTCAGCAAACGAAAATAGGTACGCTTTTCATCGCATTCCCTATTGTATCTACCATTACCGTATGACGTACTCAGCACGAGGCTGACCAATTCCGCCTCTTCTTTTCTTCACAGGCAGATCCCGTCATTCTCCGTCCCCCGTCCCCTTCTGCCCGCTGCTGCCTTTGGCCCAGGCACCGACCGAACCGATAGCCGCATTCCGAGACACCGAACCCCTCAAGGAACATCACGGAGCCCTCGCCGACCTTCCCTTAGCTCCTCCCCGCCCCATCCATACAGCCATAGTTGATACTCGACACCCATTCTCTCCTCTTACAGGACTACCTACCATCCAACTCAGTCATCCGACCGATCGCCGACGACAGAGACCTAGCAACCCGAGGGGACAGAACGGAAAGTTGATGAGAGCTGGTTTCCGGCTTTTCTCGCCCCCAGCCTACTACCACCGTCCGCCGACCCCTCCTCTCCGGCGTCTCAGCACGCCGCGCAGCAACAACCCCTTCGCCGCGTCCATCACCACCGGCGCCCGCCCGCGAACCCTCACAATGGTAGCCACCCCGGAGGAAATCGAGGCCATGGCACCCCCCGGCTACTCTTTCCCAGAGCACCGCCTCCGCCTCCAGCAGTCCGAACCCGACCGCGAACCCCTCGTCCTCGTCGCTCCTGGCTCCTACAGCCCCATCACTTTCCTCCACCTGCGCATGGCCGTCATGGCCGCAGACTATGTCCGCTACAACACAAACTTTGAGCTCATCGGCTCCTACCTCTCCCCCGTCTCCGACGCCTACAAGAAGCGCGGCCTTGCACCCGCCTGCCACCGCCGCCGCATGTGCGAGATCGCCGCCGAGCAGACCTCGCGCTTCCTCATGGTCGACCCCTGGGAGGCCGAGCAGACGGCGTACGTGCCCACTGCCCTCGTCCTCGATCACTTTGAGCACGAAATCAACGTCAAGCGCGGCGGCTGCAACGGGAAGCGCGTACGTATTGCCGTGCTTGCTGGCGCTGATCTGATTAATACGATGAGTCAGCCGGGCGTCTGGTCGCCTTCTGATTTGAGACATATCCTGGGCGACTTTGGCGCTTTCGTGCTCGAGAGAGCTGGTGTGAACATTGACGAGGCCCTTGGCAATCTTAAGGAGTACGAGGACCAGATCTACTACATTCCGCAAGTCGTTCCCAACGATGTTTCGAGTACCAAGATCCGATTGTTGCTGAGGAGGAATATGAGCATCGACTACGTGAGTTTTCCGAAAGCATTGCAATCGTCTTGGAGGCAACCAACAGCTAACATATCTCTAGCTCATCCCTGCTGAAGTCATCAAGTACATTGACGAGCACGGCCTCTACAACGAAGACGACACAGCAACGAATGACAAGGGAAAAGAGAAGGAGGTGCAATAAGAATGATTTCCGACTGTTTCAAGCGTTGAACAAGAGATGCTGCGGTCAAACGCCCGGTGGGAGTTTGTAGAAAAAGACCTGGAGGGGGCGAGACGATAGCGATGAGCGAGAAGCGAGAGAGACAAGATCCCAGATCCAGACGAGACAGAAAGATCAAAAAGAGCAAAGAGGAGGAAGTGAAGAAAGGGGAACAACTGGCGTGGTTATCAGCGTTTGGGTTTTACGACACGACGGCACAAAGTCTATCCATTTCCATTACTGTTATATTTTTTCATGGGTTTAATTAGGTGCATAGGGCGGGCTTTGTTGTGAAGAGCGAGATATATCTATCTTGAACTACAGAGACTTCTCCCATTGAACAATCAAAGAGTCCCCATCCCACATTCGGGACTGCCAAGGACTACTACGCTCTATATCATGACGTCGTCTGTTGAATCCTTGAGTCGTGATTCTCTACTATCCGGCGGTTAGGAAGCCAGAGAAGACTGTTCACGGGAGGGCGGACTAGCACAAGCCCGCCGGAAGTAGACAGCAGCGCTATGTGTCCATGCAGAAGCGACTGATGAAGGGCTCCGGTCGGTGGTCGCCGCCGCCCTGCTACGATGAGTACCATAGGCTTTATCTTGGTCTTCAACTGCCATAAGGGCACTTCAAGGGTGCTATCAATGGTCTATCTGAACGAGGCCAGCCTCTCCACAACCGTTGACAAAGTCGCCAGACCATAAGCCGAGGCCTATGTACGTATCTGTTCACATCCTCTTTCTTTTGTGGCTTCTCCTACCACCACATGATGCCTAGTTGTCCGGAAACTTCCTGTTCAACAATTCAGATCGCGCTTTCGTCGTCAAGATACCTGTTAATACTTGTGGCAGCAGCCCAGTGGCCAGGACTACCTGTATTGTCAGACCTTAACTCATAGACGGCGTCCATCTTTAGGATTGTCCAACCAGGATTCACGTGGGCGTGAATCTTGAAGCGGCAATGCCGCGGAATGGGATTGGTGCCAGCGTCCGTGGCAATGACGTTGAGTAGCATAAAATTGCTCTATCTCAGCTCGATTCAGACCCAAGGTAACTAAGCATGTACTCATAGACCCGGGCGTTCCCGATGATGGACAGATGACAGAGGATGTAAGTGCCGTCCTTGGTCTTGAGCCGATCGCGATTCCCGTCCGCAGAAGCGTAGCAAGGCTTGCAGACTACTGTCATCTCCAGTATCGAATCATGTCGTCGACCTCATTTAAGACAGCCTTGTTGTCGAAGCTACTATCGGCGAGAGAAGTAGCAGCCGCAACGCTCCGGCCTCCCATGAGGCGACGCATGGGTCTCTTCAACCAAGCTGAAGCCATTCGTTAGTACGGCAGGAGCATTAAGTTGAAGAAGTTCTATAACCACATCTTGCAGAGCCTTGGCATTGTGGTACGGACGGATAGCGACGGTTCTCTTCACGATGTATCAGCGCTCTCTACAGACTGACGCCACCGCTTGCTGATATTCTCGAAGAACTCTTCAATGAGGGGGAGTATTTTCTCGAGATGAGAGCTCTGCACTTCGTTCTGGAAGGTGTTCTCTATGCGGTTGGCTATATCTTGGAATATTGGTGGTAGTGGTTCCCTGAGGAGAAGACGTAGCAATTTGGTAGATGAAATAATTGATCGGACAGGTGCGCTCGAGGTCGCGATTGGCACCACGGAGGTTAACCCGATAAGCTGACGACCCCATCGAAGTCGCAGCCTTTGCCTCCCTTCGGACACGTCTGGAGCGGGACCGTCAACGAAGACATCCTTGGCTCCCTCTCCGTAGCAGCGCGTCACTTTGGTAGATTTAGTGCCAACGTCGATGGCGAGTTTGCTAAGGGCCCATGTCAGTTTCAAGTGATACCGACTGGCGATGGGAAGGGATGCTAACACCGGCTTCAGTCTCTGAAACATTGGACCAAATCTGGGAGGCTCAGAATTGACGTCCGTCTGAATAGAGATACTAGTCATGGCGAAAATACAACAGAATGGGGAGAAGACAGATCAAAGTCATCAAAGCTCAAGACCCCTTGGCGAAGACAGGCATGGGCGTTGGCGATGAAGGAAAGATGAAATGTTTTAAGTTATCTAGAGGCTTCGGAAAGAAAAGAAACTCCAGCAGAAGAGAAACAAAGAGGGCACAGTTCTGAAGATCCGTCGCAGGAAGAATTGAGAGGGCACATTCTTCTCCAAGAGTCAAAGGTTCAAACAGCACCCCTTGATGGCGATTTCGGTGGGTTTGCACGGTTGCAAAGAGCGCGATGTATTAGAGGCAGGGAAGGCCAAAAGGAAAAGAGTCAGGTTTTTTTTTTTATCTCAGATTGGAAACACCAATCGAACTTTGCGGACTTCACCAGCAGAATCCTCGGTATGTGGTAAGACGGGGATGTTTGACATCTAGGAATTGTGATTAAGTATCCGTGACCGGCGAAGTCTTTGAAGAAAACTGAAGGAAGTATGGAGGAACAGATCCAAAACGACAGTGGAAATGATCATATTTGAGTACAATATCACAAATGAAGGGACCCCTCGTGAAGTTTTCAAGAAAGCTGAAAGTAGTTAAATTTGGTGCGTCAAGCATGACGCAGAGTAGACATGTAAAACAACCCGGGGACAGTTTTGATGTTCACTTCAAGGAAGTTCTGGCATTTTGATATAGAGTTTCTTATATAGATAGATTGTACTACGTTACTGCGAGTATGTCTCGGCATACACTCTTTTCGAACCAGGCTCCTGGGTAATATGGATACCTTAATAGAGCTTGAGCAGCCAAAAGCAACATATTCCATCTCAAGTCACTGTAGACGTTATGACAATGGAACTACGCATCCCTTTTAAGAATTGAGGACGTTTTTGATTTGAGCGTAATCTGTCAATCCATCTTACTAATTTGGGAGTCAGACACCAGAAACCGATGACAGTCTTACGCTGGCTATATCGTAGTTACAAGTTGCGTAAACTCGCAACTCTGGACACAGAAACAGAAATCGTCCTTGGTGGAATTTACGACTCCAAAGGGCTAGTGATAACCTCTCTCGAATTCTGTAGCTCTAGCAATCCAAGGCGAGTTCGAACATCAATGTTTTAGGAAACCTCAAGCACAGAAATATTTTACGACAATGGTAACGCCGTGATCGCACATTGAGATATGGACTTGAAGCATGTTCCTCAAAGTGTCAGCCTGGACAAAACCACTAAATAGATATAGATTAGTTAAGGACTGGTCACAGGGCTCATGAGATGATCATGATGTGGTCACTTAGCTAGAAGACCTTGTGAACTCGCTGGTACGGATTGTACATACAAGTGATTTCCAGACAACCGTTCCACGGAAAGACCTGAGATCTTGATAGTTCATGAGAAATGTAGAGATCAGCTTTACGCCCAAACCACATATTCTAGCGTATCTCAGTCTAGTAAGGAAATATTGGCCACTTTTAAGATTGAATGCAGCGATAACAGTTGGATGGTCAAGAGCCCAAAATGGCATGTCCCCCCTTTCATGGTTTTGCTACAAATTCAGAAATTATTAGAATTTGCTACTCATACCTTTAACTAATCGTGGATGATATCGTGACATTGAGAACCTGTTGTGGTACATATTCCTATCCAGAGAATCGTGTTGTTCATTAACGCCACAATCACCGCACGCCACTCCAAAACACGACCTCGTGCTCTTTCAAGTTCAGCCAAGACACCTTACACGGCTCTTCAGGGTCCAGTATGCCCGCTAGTTTGCAACAACATCTACCCCTCAAACTCGTTCTCGTCGTCACGAATGTCCAAATCCTCGTAATACCAAAACCGGTAAGCGCCAAAATCCACCAAATCCATCACGCAATATCTCCAACTCGGCCTCAAACCTAAAAACTACCCGCAGACGCAAGACCGGGGATGGAACCTCGAGCCAATTACATATTGGCAACCCCCTCGCTCAAGTAACTTAGGAGTTGAGTCCGCCGGCGCAGAATTGACTTTCCCCATGACCCCTTCACAAGGAACCGTACATCTAAATATTCCCAGGAGCCGGCCAAGCAGACAACACGCACATTTGCACATGCAAGACGCAGGCCCAAAGTATAATAACCCAAAAGCATCAGCAGGATCCCTCCAGCCATCTCAAACCAAACAATTTCGTCTTCTTAGAAGACCTTAGGATTGAACCCTGTGGACCCCTTTCCCCAAACCATGGGGACGGAGTGTAGTCGTCATAGGATGACTCCGATTCAATACATTTAGCCTTTCCTACTATCCATCTTCGAAGGAATCTCACCTGTCTTACTCTGCTCCGTATGGGAAAGATGAAAGGAATAGGTAGACCCATGCGACCATCGCGAACAAACGCCCCCCTCTCCCTTTCTTACCGAACGTGGGCAGTCTCTATCTCGTCTCGGCGTGGGGAAACTCTACCACGAAACTGACTCCAGGATCGCACATAAACCATGAAAACTAGAAGGCCCCGCGCGCTTATCCCACATTTCGCGAGCCGTGACGTGTATCAACGGAGAAGAAAGATAAACCTAAAGGCCGATGATAACCCAACTACATCACCCAACTACACCAAGAGAAAACCTATCCGAACCTATCCCACTGACGGCTACACCTTCAAATAATGCAGCCGCGATATGCGCAGAAAAGAGAAACCACATATCTCGTGTTTGAAGGGGCTTCACTCGCGACGCCCTTGACGCCCTCGACGCTTCTTCGTAGGTAGGAAGATCGTTGCCTACAACGATCCTAAAGTTTCCCTCTGCATATGGGGGGATGGGAAGGGAGCCGGGAACTGATCTGGAAACCTCAACATCCAACTCCTCAAGGAAGCACCTGGACGAAATCTTCCGAAAAAGAGGAATACAAACAGGTATGGAGAACAGCCGCTAAATTGCCTGTTTACTTTCTACCCACCCATTGGGCTCAGACTCTCAGCTGAGTCAAGCTTTCGACGACCCATTACCACGTTGGAAGACCATTCGACGTTGCACTTGCGACTTGATACCAGGTTTTCCCCATTCGAAAACCCGGAAAGATCCATACTGGCTGGCTCGTTGCAATTTGCAAGACTTGCAACAAAACTTTGACTACCCGCAGCAAAGAGGGAACTACGGCTGTTTGAATCTGGGAAACCTTCCAAGAGTCACACGTACTCGTATCCCGAAGCCGGGAATCGGAATCTTGGCTTGCAGATACTCTCCCAATGAGTAGTACCTGGTGAAAGTCCACGTGGAGTCATGAGATTGCCATTGAAGAAAATTTCCCAGTTTCTTTGTTCTTCACGGGTACGCGGAGCTGACGCGAATCCCACGCAAACGCCAGAATCTCAGCGCGTTTCCTCTTGGGTATCCATTCTTATCCAAATAACTGGATCTTCTCTATCCGTACGGAGTACCAACAGGAATTACTGTGGTCCGGTTCAGCAGAATCCTGGACGGCTTCCGTGCAAAATAAATGCCTGTACGTGAGATACTTCGTACGAATGATGCCTTACTGCCCCGGACCGCCGAGAAAGAATCCCAGGCGGCGAATCCTTTGAGTCGGGAAGCCACGAGCAAGTGTACGTTGTTGGTGGGGGAGGGGGGGGGGCACAGAGAAGTTGGTCACGATCCGAGGTTGAAGACGATCCTTGGCGGGCAGAAACGCTAACTTACTTGCTCCCACTCACCTCGTGGCAATGAAAGAAAAAAGAGCCGAAAGCAGGAAAGCCAAGTAGAAGTGCAACAAGGCGGCACCACGCCATCGGATGGCAAAAGACAGGGTGACGACGGTAACACGAGAAACGGGGACTCGCGAAATCGACGTTGCCTCCCTCCGCCGCCGCCGCTGGGCAGCAACTTTGTGACCAACTCGCAACCTGGGCGTTGGTCCCGGCGGGCGGGGAAGGAGAACCAAGAAACAAGGGAGATTGCGCGTCTACGGTCATAAGAAGTCGCTGTCCGGTCTCATCTGACCCGTTCCGTGGCCCCGGCATTCATGCCGTCCGGGGCGCACTTGCATGTTATGTGTATAATGTGTTGTACGATGACCCCAATCCCAACAATTACGGCGGAGAAGAACCAGGAACCACGAATGGCTATTCAGGACGACATTGCGTCCGAGAGTCGCCGGGGAGAAGTAGGAACAATGAATAGAACTGTGCAATAAGGGGACCTGCGCGGGGGACGAAACATGGCACACACGACAATGCAGGGGAGCCGCTGACACGGGTGGCGGCAAGAGGAACGGCCATGATCCCACCACCATGTTGCCCGTGGTCCGAAATTCGTAGGATACTGGTATTCTGAGTCTCTCCCCGGCTTGGGGGCGGGGCAGAACACGGCGTGTACAATGTTGGTCTGGCGGTCGAACATGCGAATGAAAGGGGATTCGAAGCTCTTCTGCCGAATGATCGTGGGCGAGTGTGACAGGAGACATCCTGTTCCTGATATGTCCTGCTGATGAGATGTGAGTAGGATTCATGATAGGGCATCGCAGTGCGAGCGACGTTGTAGCGTTGCAACAATATCCTGCCGGAACCTGAACCGTCCACGCAGACGTGTAAGAGTGCAGCACTGACAACCACCCCCTGGATTTTCCCTTTTGATGACGATCCCCATACCGGGAATGCCATTGGCCGGAGACGATCGGCTGAGTCGGGCTTATTGTGGGATCGTCGCTTTGCTGTTCTGAGTGCCGGGCGTCGGTCTTCATGCTGGGCACCGCCGATCGCTTGTTCCCATTACCTCGTTCGGAATCTGAGGAGGGGGAAGGGGGGAGACTGATTTGGCAAAAGGCTGGAAAGGGAAGGGAAAGGGTCCTCTCCAGATGACAGGGAAGACGGAAACATTGTGAGAAACCGGCTGCGCTAACACTGTACGAGGCTGGAAGATGGTGGAAATTTTGGAGACCTTGGGCTTTTGCGAAATCCCATGCTCGCATTCCTGCTTTTCGGAGCCCTCGCCGGATGGCTTGCAGGAAGTTGATATGGGTACGTCCTT